GGCCCCGGAGCATCAGGACTGGACCGAACCACCAGGAGTCCTCCATGAAGAGCAAGAGAAGACACGTTCTCTATCAGTATCTATGCACACTGCAGGGTACGATGGAAGGTTAAGGGTCTTGCGGTCTGATGGGTAGGAGTTGATGGGCGAAAGTAGACATAAGCCGCACCTATCAAACCGTCATTGCAGTCAGGCTCCGTATGGCAGCAGGGAGCCATTCAAAAACGTGTATATATGTATATATATATATATGTGTAAAAGATATATCAGCATACATATGTGTTTACTTGTATATGTAGATCTCATTTTCTTGGAAAGTGCGTCGGAACACAGGCCCGTGTTTTTCGAGTAAAACAAGCTTTTTGTTGGTGATTAGGGCTGATCGCTAATTGCAACTCACCAATCGCGATGATGGGCTCCTTCCTAAACTGACCCAAACTCTTATACTCGATGGTAGGTGATCAATCCACTCGTGCAGTAGAGATGTGGGTTTTTGGGAGTAGGTCCCCTTGCAGAATTCTCGGACTGATGGCCTATTATTTCGTACTGGAATGTAGGTATATGATCAATCAGCAAGATCATGTTTTACAACCGTTTTTCAAAGGCGTGTCATCCACTGTCTTTCCATAGTTTTTGCCACACATCAGTCCTGCTAGCTGAGACCAAAATATCCGCTTTAGGGTTACCGGACAGGCCCTCCTTGAAGGCTCGTGGCACAGTTTGTGAAAGCCGCGATCGTTTCCAGGGGTCCATCCAAGATTGCGGATTGAACTGTTAAACTTGGTGGCTTCAGATTCTCCCTGTCCGACCTCATTGGCTGAATACTCTTTGCTGGCTTGGCTTTTGAATTTAGTGGCTTCTGCTGCTTCTCAATACTAGCTTGCATAGCCAGGATGCAGAGACTAAGTGCGTGCGAAGCACGCACGTGCGTCTAGTATATGTATATATATATATATATGTATGAAGATACTTATACTTAAATATACATATCTATGTGATTATTTTTGTATATATATATGTGGGGGTGATACCATATATATATATATATACATATATATATATACATATATATATATACATATATATATATACATATATACATATACATATATATATATATGTATATATATATACATGTACAAAATATATGTCCCTTCTTCTGATTCATTTGTATTTCGATAAACCGCACAATACATGCTTGAATAACTTCAAAGAATCATTAGCCTGTTATACTTCTGTGAATCCCCGCTTGGGGGCTTCGGGCAGTCAGTCCAACCGGAACTTGTGCACCAGAAATCTGGAAGCGTGCACAGCTGTTCGGTTCTGGCCCCTGGGCGACCAGGGGACACAAAACGACACTGTAAGGTATTAGGCCTGCGCTCATGCCTAAGGAAAGGCCACAAGCCCGCAGGCTTTTGCAGGTTGTGATCTGAAAGTGCACAACGGTAGGGTTGGGTAGTACCAGCAAAACCGAAACGTCGGCGGTGATAAATGTCTTCCTATCTTGGAGCTGAATTCCAAACAAAGTCACGAATCTTGGCCTGGTGACCCCACCTTAAAGTCAGGATCTTATTGCAGCAATACGACAGTCACAGGGTCCTAACTTTGGGGATTTTGATTGTCAAACTCCCCTTCCTACACATAGACCCGAAGATACCGAAAGTCCCAGGAAAGGGAAGATTGACCCCAAACACTAAGGGATTCCTGCAAGCCCCTTTCCTTCGAAGGGGCTTTCGAGAAAACCCTCAACCCTACTCCTTAAACCCTAACCCCCAAGTGCTCCCCCTTTTCCCTCTTCCATTGTAGGACGAGGCTCGAGTGGCTCCAGCGGGGCAGGGCTCTCACGGCCCACACACAAATCCACCAGAAGAGCAGGAGGATGGCACCTGAATTTTGGAGCCATGTTGAGCCCGCAGTAGCTCGGGATCTCGGGGTCTTTCAAGGTCCTAAACGTCCCTCAGAAATCGTGCTTCTCCCTCCTTCTCTCTCCTGGAGCACCGAGACATGCCCCCACGGCGAGCACGGTGGCGTGGTCGCCGGAGCCACAGAGGAGCCCCGGCATGGTGAGGTTGCTCTGCTTGCCGTTCGGGTGCGTGAAACACCTGAGACCCGAGGAAGCCTCCTTTAGGGGCACCCTCAGCCATACAGGGAGGCTCAGACCTCAAGCTCCTGAAAGATAGGGGAAATAGGGGAAAGAAGGAGGGAAGAAAGAAGCCATTCCCCAAGGCCTAGGCGCATGAACGGCACCAGCGACAAGTTGGAGAGCGCGGGGAAGCAGGCCATGGTGATCTGGCCCATCGAAGCCAGGAGCCACCCAAGGTCCCCCTGTGGGAACACGAACGTCGCGGACAGGAAGTAGAAGAGAAGCAGCCAACAAAGGGAAAGGGGAAGAACCGAGACTTGCGCCACAAACTGCTCGACCCATCCGGGGCCGGTAAAGCATGTGATGCCCAAGTCGGCGGCCTCGAAAGCGAAGGCCTGAAGAAGTCGGAAGGCGCCAAGCAGCAAGTCAGGCCACTGAAGCTGCATCTGGCCAACAATCGCCAGAGTTTGCAACAGATTACCGCCGATCTCCACAGTGGTCGCAAACGTGAAGGCAAGCATTTCGCGAGTGTGGGCGATGTGCTTCACGTTCCGAAGACGAACGAAGGGCCAAGCTGCTATGCACACGCATGCGACCACAATGGCAGAATACCAGCCACCTGTCAGGCTCGCTCCAAGGTGTATGGTCAAGACTGCTCAAAATGATCAGGACCAGGACTATTTCCCGACGCGCCTCTAACCTCTTGAATGAAGTTCCGGACTGTACATAAGCTACATAAGTCGGGGTGCGAGATGTCCCACTCTGTAGGGGGCTGGCGCTCTGCTCTACACTCACGCCTTGTACGTCTGTTCAAACGCCCTTGCCTCTCACATAAGGACCGCATGCAACACAGCGTTCCCCGTTCCATCGCTGGTCTGCTTCGCAATCTGCACATGCTACGCCTGTACTTTCCTTGGCAGTACGACTTTACGACAGGCGACCAAGGGGCCCCCCCCATTCATGGACCGTGAACCAAAGGCGCCCAAATGCCGCCCAAGGGTCCCCAGAGCAGCTGCCTGGCTTTCCACCAGGGCACCGCGACTCTGCAGCACACTTGTAGATGTAAAGGCTCTCAGATTCAAAGCCTCGACAACACTTTCACTTCGGAGCACCACATCGGAGAAAGGCTAAGCGGCTAAACCCTCAAAGCCTAGCCATCATCATGAACATCCTGGAGCATCCTCACATTCCCAAATATTCCCAAGGCGCTCATATAGCCGGGCTTGATGCTTGGGACGAAAGTCTCCCCGAGGGATGAGTTTCCACCGATCAGGGACTCCAGGCTCGACATGATGGGGCACTGCATCCCAGTCTCACACCTCCAAAGGCTACAAGAAGTCTCCAAAGGCTCCAAAGGTGAACACCCTGTATACACTGTAGGCACAGGCTGTGTTTGTTTGTGCGTGCGCGCATGTGTGTGTGTGTGTGTGTGTGTGTGTGTGTGTGTGTGTGTGTGTGTGTGTGTGTGTGTGTGTGTGTGTGTGTGTGTGTGTGTGTGTTTTTGTGTGTGTGTGTGTGTGTGTGTGTGTGTGTGTGTGTGTGTGTGTGTGTGTGTGTGTGTGTGTGTGTGTGTGTGTGTGTGTGTGTGTGTGTGTGTGTGTGTGTGTGGGTGGGTGTGTGTGTGTGTGTGTGTGTGTGTGTGTGTGTGTGTGTGTGTGTGTGTGTGGTGTGTGTTGTGTGTGTGTGTTGTGTGTGTGTGTGTGTGGTGTGTTGTGTGTGTGTGTGTGTGTTGTGTGTGTGTGTGTGTGTGTGTGTGTGTGTGTGTGTGTGTGTGTGTGTGTGTGTGTGTGTGTGTGTGTGTGTGTGTGTGTGTGTTGTGTGTGTGTTGTGTGTTGTGTGTGTGTGTGTGTGTGTGTGTGTGTGTGTGTGTGTGTGTGTGTGTGTGTGTGTGTGTGTGTGTGTGTGTGTGTGTGTGTGTGTGTGTGTGTGTGTGTGTGTGTGTGTGTGTGTGGAAGCCCTGGTTTTTGGCGTGTCAGCTGCTTGGTATCAATTCTTGCACCATTTAGCAATGCAGGGGACTGGTGCTTACTGTTGGAGTCACCACTCAACGAAGGCACTCCTTCTGTATGGTGCTATCGACCTGGGACACTGGATCGGCGAACCTGCTGGCTGCCCGAAATACTCAGAGCTGTTGTTTCGCCTTTGGTCACATTGTGATGAGCAGAGTCGTGTGCTTTCGTCTGATTTCGTGCGCATTCTGTTTTGCAAAACTCAGCCGTCAGGACTTCAGTTCTAATACCTTGCATGGTGCTTCAAGCACACTTGGGTGAACAGATCCTCCTCAACAAGATCTTCGCCACAGAGGCGTATATGGTAAACCAATGGTTCACCAAGACTCCGTGTTTGTGTGTGTGTGAGATCGAGAAAGGAAGCCGCTGAGGATACTAGGAACCACGGCGTCTGAGACCTCAGATTGCTTACTCTTCTACCAGCACTCTCTGGCCATGTATCACTCCTGATTGTTGAACCCTTGTTGGCCAATCGATCAGGGATCGACATTGTAAGGGCCAAAAAAGACAGAATCGAAGCTCTCAAGGCCAAACAATCCCCAGCGCCCCAAAACAAACTCGCAAAGTACCAGCTCAGCGATGCTTCAGCAGCTGCCCCTCCTGCCTTGAGCACAAGGGGACCCCATCAAGCCGCGACGTCTCGATGTGTCCTTCATTCGGTGACTTGCAGGCTTCTGAAAATGATAAGGGAAAGGGAAGAGGGGGGGGCTCTTGTGGAGAGGATTGCTAACTTTCAGGGTGTGGAGACATGGCCCGTTGTTTCTGACTCATGCATGTGCATGATTGGGGCCGAGCATGAATGAAGATGATTTCCGCATGCCCCCTTAAAAGGGGAGTTGAAAGTCTGCAGTCTTTCAAGCAAATCCCAAGGCTTCCCTTGATCCATGTCCTGCCGGGCAGCCGCACTCGAGCATGGAGATGGATCCGAGCCCCACTGTGGTGGAAGCGCTTGAGCAGTTCTTGCAGGTCACAGCACCCGGCTCATCTTGATAAGTGCCGATGCCGCACCGCCTGCAGCTCCTACTTCCGGGCATATCTTGGTACTCGCCAAGCCCACAGAGCTCGCAGGACACTGCGGCGCCCGAAGGCTGACTGTGTCCGATGGGGCACAAAGCACAGACGAACGTATAGCCCCGCGAGTCCCGAAGTTGCTTTGAGTAACGTCCAGACTCACAGGCCTTGCAGCCAGTGTCGGGGTCGGAGCGGTCCGGCAGATAGTTGCCGGTCCGGAGGTCATAGAGACCAAAGCCGGGGACACACTGCGTCTTGTCCGGAAGCCAGGGTGTCCAGATCGCTCTGTTGTTTCGAAGCCAATCGCATGCGACGTCATCTACTGACTTCCCGGAGAGCGCCAGATGTTGGAGAAGCCCACGAAGCATGTAGTTCGACATGTCCATGTTGGTGACAGTAGCTGCAGCCGAAGGGGCCATAGCGCTCAAGTCGCGAGATGACCATTTCCTGGGTTGTGCTGCTCGAAGCCTTCTGAAGATCAGTTCAGAATAGGTTGCCTTTTCCACAGAGACAAGGAAAGTGAAACTTATACCTGATGAAGAACTTCCTTTTGTGCCCAGCTTCTGATTTACGACTCCCCGGAACATCGTCCTCAGGTCCCCCGTGACAAAGGCCGCGCTGTCGTAAGGAGGAAAGTGGATGGCCTGAAACTCTTTAGGACAGCACGCTCTTGAGCTGCGTACATACAATGTAGTGTCTGAGTCCTGAAGTCAACTACCCGTGCCTCTGCTACGTGAACCGATGTTCCTTTCAAAGAACAATGTAGTCAGCGTGGCCAGAGCAGAATCCTTACAGTATTTATTTGAAACTTATTTGTCCCTGCTCACCTGTGGATTCATAGGCAGGAACAAGGAGTCGGCAGGCTCTAGCCACCAGAAAACCACTTTGAAGTCAAACTGAAGGTCGAAAGGTGCATCCAAGCGCGGCTTCCCAATCGCCAAAGGCAGCATGAAGGCAGCGCTCTTCTGAAGCATTTGCTGAACCTGGATGCCAAGTAAAGGGCCCGCAGATCGTACACCCTAGTAAAGTGAAAGGCCTTATGCTGATGGGGGCAGGCAGTTTTGACATATCTCCACCTCCCGCCCCCTCGGAGTGTTGTAGGTCAAGGCAGGCACACATTGCGAAGCATTCGCCCGGCAGCTCGGGGCCAGGAACCAGTAGCCGTCTGGGCAGATGCCGGTGCCATTCTCAAAGACCCCTGCAAAGTCCCCACTGACAGCCAAATAGCTTGCCATGAAGGCCGGGTTCCCAAAGAAGGTCTCATGACAGGGTATCAGCCCTGAAGTAGGGATGTCTGTGATCTTGTCGAAGTACCTCCCCGGCTGAAACCAGGATGCATTCCAGTTCAGGTAATAAGTGAGCGACAAGCCCTCGGATTGGAGCGCATCCTCATTCACCGCACCCGAGATGTAGAGGCTGGAGATGGTTTCGTAACTCATGCCACCTCCTAATGTCACAGGCCTCATGTCTTCGTCAAGCTCGAGTGCCACACGGTCATAGTTCAGAGCTGAAAGATAAATGTGGTACCTCGCTGGCCTTCCGCTGCAACCCTCAAAGATCTCAAACTGCTCGCATCCAGCCAGAGCATAAATCGCCCCCTCCGCACCAATGTTCGAGCGGTCTACTACGGTGTTGTAGCCGAGAACATCTTGAAAAAGAATTGAAAGGATCATATTCAGCAGCTTGTTGGAGTCCAGGTTGCCAGCCATGAGCCCAATTGGGTAGGTTTCGCCCAAGGAGTTTGTCAAATTTTGCCGGTCCCTTTCGGGGACAGCCTCTGGCAAACACGAGCCGGCTTCGTTCCCACCTATTGTGATAAACGCCACGCATAACCACGTCCACCACTGCCAGGACATGCTGCTCTGCGCGTTGCGTCGCTCTCGAGCTCACAGCCGCTATTTTGCTACATGGCGCCCCATCCCCCGACACATCCTATCGTTCGGTAGCTGCAGCACGCTGTAGCCGCAAATGGACTCTTCGGGGATACGGGACGGCCCAGGGGCAGTTGGGATTCTCTCTCTTTGCCTATCGTTAGTCTTGTCACATGCTTGACAATTGAATCATGGTCAAGGCCAGAGCCAAAGCAGCCCGAGTCAAGAGCACAATCAAACATCTCACACGCCACATCTCAAGTTCTACTAAGGAGAATCGCGCCATGATAGATGTTTCTGCCTCACCTTCCACCTTCAACATTGAAGCTGCATCCTGCAACTGATACCCGCTACACGTTTCCAGGTTTTTAGAAGGTGTACAGCAAAAGGATTTAAAGATACCGCGGGCACCAGGCTGCTCCACTTTCAGGACTTTCAGGGTCGTGCACACCAAAGACATCATGGAATCATGGATGCTACTGCCCCGCACTGGTGACGTGGAACTACGCTACCGCTACGTAAGGATCTCTGAGGAGGCACCTGGATAGGACTGAGCAGACTGTGTCGCGACTCTGTCGATTCTGCACGCTTCGTTCCAGGAACAAAACAAAAGTCGCAGAGATTTTGAGACTTCATGGATCGCTTCACGCCTGCTGCCCTTGCTGGTCTTATTAAAGGGAAAGAACGAAAGGAAACGATACTGAAAGATTCATGCAAAACGAGGAAGCATATGTGAAATTCTAGGGTTTGTGCACGTCATTCGACGATTCACGTTTCTGTCAATGGACTTCCTTCAGGGGTGTTCTAAGGAATCCGGTGGGACTCTCTATAGCTCCAAGGATCCTCGGCGGGTGGGGGAGGGGGACTCCAAGAATATTCAGTGAGATACCCTCGGTGGCAGGCCTGCAGGACTTGAGACTTCAGAACGCATATTGACAAACGTGGGGATGGTTGATCTTTGACCCTGCATATCCGGTAGAACTGCCTAGGTCTCTGCGCACTACTCGGCGAAACCTAAGTCACTTTTACTCCTTACTCGACGCGTCGAGAAGTAGCTGTGCTAGTGAAGCCACAAAGGTCATGCTAAGGGGCCTGCTCAATAAAGTCACGCTGGCCGGCAGAAACAAAACCCTCGCTGAAGTGTAGGCCAGTGTAGGCATTCTGTAGGGGTCCTGTTTAAGGTCAACTTCTCCGGACCTTCTGAGTCTTCTTGCCGAGGTGGGGGTGAAAGCCTAGAACAAAGTCTTCTCCTGGCATCCCTCAGCTGTTTGAGGAGGTGACACAGTCAAGAGGCTCAAACACTGCTCTCATTGCATCTTTTGCAAGTGTCGCGACGCTGCGAAAAAGGCAGGTCCCTCTCGATATGAAATGATGGAGGAAACCTATGTGCCATCATTCTTTGCTCAAGCTTATGATGAAAAATGAATATATCTCAGTTTCGTGTAGAAACATTCCAAAGTTTTCATATTTCAGAATTGCAATTGTTCGAAGCAAAAATCATGTCAACATTTTCCACGTTTTGGACATCAATTGTGTAAGTATGTTCGAGATATCCCTCGAAAAACCAGATTTTTCTCAACCTTTACAATTACAATTCATACAATTCAATGATTCAAGAATATCAGTCAACATATTTAACTCGTAATGCTATATGCTATATATATATACATATATATATATAATATGTGTATATATATATATATATATATATATTTATTTATTTATTTTTATAATCTCTAGATATGCTGACTGAAACTTTCTAGTATTGAATGAACTGCTTGGATAGGGGATGGGTGTTCGAAGAAGTCACAATCTCAGGCACTGTGGTGAGCCCTGATATCAGAAATATGTCATCCTACACTCTTCTGTTGCCTACGCACTTCATCGAGCTAGTTGAGGTGAGGCACTTTCTGAAGTGCTTGTAGCCGGCTACAATGCAAAAAAACATATCACCGGCGCCCGTTCAGCTCAACAAGTTTCACAACAACCACCACCGCAATGGCATACTTTTTTGGGGGCGTTTCGTAGCATTTCGCGTGGCTTAGATTTTACGAGTTTGCGTGAAACCAGGTACCCCGAGTGAGTCATGCATGGCAAGTGCAGAAACTTTTTGAAACGCACGTACTGCAGGGTGCCTGGGCCAAAAGCAAAGCCGAAACTGCTGTCAAGGAACCTAAGCTGACTTACCACAACCTGCCTTTAATTTAGGTTCCTTAACAGCAGCCCAGGCTAACCGCAATTCCCCAAAGTGGGGGAGCGTTTGCATGCACCGCAAGCTACCTTCTTTCGATAGCCATGGAGCACGTGCTCTCTGGGGATTCCAGAAGTGATCCCTTCTCGTCCACCTGGTGACTGGTGATCCCACTTGCTAGGTGGAGTAGAAGGCTCGAAGACACGAACATGATTTGTGTGAGGGCAAACGCGTGCTGGCCCCCTGCGGAAATACTGAGCCGGGCTGAGATGGGCCCCAAAGCTCGCCCAAACAAATCCGCCATGACCAGGCCCAGCAGTGTAGTTGTGTTCCTCAGGTATGAGACACGAACCCTAAGCCCTAAGCCTCACACTCCACACTTCAAGCTGTTATAAATTATAAAACCTATCAAGGCGCAGGGCTCCGGGAAGTTGTACTGCCAAGTGTCCGGTCGAGCAGTGAGCCATCCGGCATCGCATATTCCTGCATCTTCCTCGGGTGAAAGGAGGGCTGCTTGCAAGGAGATGGGGGTTGTGGTTAGAGCTTAGAGGCTTCGAGTCGCAAGCACACTCAAGGGCAACCGCAGCATCAAAGCGAGCGCCATGCCACGGTACCGAAAAAGCCGGCTGGTTTAGGCCCCTTTCCCCTTTCTCGCCTCTTCCTGTTACGGCTTCATGAACTTGATCTTTCAGTCACGTCGACCGACTTTTCGTAGCCTTTGCGTGGCATTTTCCGTGGCTCACCTTTATTTTTACGGCCGTCTTACGTTGCTTTAGCGGCATTTTCACACTTGTTTATGACAGCTTCTTCAAGCTTTGTTGTGTCTTTTCTCTCTTTGTGGCCTCTTCATTGTGCGTGGCCTGCTCGTAGCCCTTGCTTTTCTTACGGCTTTTGTCTTTTCACATTTTTACACCTCTTTTTTGGTCCTTTCACTTTTTTCTGGCCTTTCCTCACTCTGTTATGGCATGTTTCCGATGTTTGTGTCTTTGTTTTGTTGTCTTTTTGTACGCTGTTTCACGGCATTTTTTAGGGTGCAAGTCTTTTCGTAGCGTCTTCGTGGCTCATGCTTTTTATGGTATCTTTACGCGGTTTGATGATTGTCTTTTCAACGCCTTGTTACGGTCTTTATACGGTTTTTCATGGCCTTTTTTCGCTTTTTTTATGGCATGTATACGATGTTTTTGGCTTTGTCATTTTTTTCTTTTAACGTTGTTTTTGGCCTTTTTGGAAGGGAGCCGGTCTTTTTGTAGCCTCTGTGTGGCCTTTTCGTACGCTTTTCGTGGCCTGTTTGTAGCCTTGGCGTAGCCTGTTTCGTGAGCAGATGATTCTTTTTCATGATTTTTCTATTGGTTGGTCACTTCTCTAACTAAAATATAGTCCCTTGTAAAGTCCTGATTACAGGGCGGGCCCCTCTTGTTTGCACGAGTGCATCACTTTCAAGGGCCCAGGTAAGCACCAGTGCCTTCTTTTTTCGCTCTGCGGTGCAGCTCAATACACATGTGTAAAGTATGGTATAGAACCGGACCCACCGACATCGACACAGGACACAATTGGCAGTTGCTTCTACTGACATGGACACAGGGGGTGTAGGTAATTCTAGTGATTCTACCGTGGATAGAACCATGCGCTGCCACGGGGGCATAAGGGTCTCAACTACTTCTGGTCCAAGCTGCGCCATGACCAGGCCACTGCTCAGGACCATCATCGGGAAGAACAGGAGGGCCCCAAGGTAAAACACCAGGAACTTCTCGCTAAGCAAGAGGCAGCTGGCTGCCAAGCCAGTCCAGAGCATGGTGCCCAGGGAGAACCGGCATCTCTCACTACTTTCGTAGAGAAACTGAACAGGCAAGGTTATGAATACGGTGATGGCGCATAGTAAGCCGGCAGACAGATGATCAAACTTGTAGTGTGTCTGCGCGAGCTGAGCGAGGCCAACTTCCAGTGAGGACAAGGCCAGGTTCCGGAGCACCAACATGGCCAGGCACAGGCACACAATCAACGCCTGTGCACGCGATGCTCTTTGAGGGGAGCTTTGCACGGTCACATGGTCCAGGGAAGGGATCGAGCGGAGAAGCAGCAGGCTCACCTGCATCCAGGGGGCCAAAGCCACAAAGGTCAGCATGCCTTCGAAGCCCTCCTCGCCAAAGGGTCTTGGCCGCGAATAGGTCGTAGCAAGGGAACTGAGCAATGGCCCAGCACCGATGCCAATGCAGCCTCCCACAAAGACGCGCAAGTTGTACAACGCCCGATGTTGGCCACCGAGGTGAGCTACTTGGGTGAAGGCCAGGCTAACCTGAAGGGAGACAAACGCTTTGTTGAAGTTTCAGGTTTCCATGCCAATCGTGTGGCTCGGAATCTTAAAATTATGCCCAATTCCACATGGCCAATGAAGATCAATGAAGAGCCCACACCCGACCTGAAATCCCCCGCCCAGTCCCATGAGGGGTCGCGTGATCGCCATCCCAGCGAGACCAGCATCTCCGAGAAAGGCGCAGGCTGCAAAGGCTCCAGCCGAGATGACTTGCAGCACCACTGCAGCAGAGTACACGGTCGAGGTTTTCCGCCAGAACTCTGGCGAAACCTGATGGATCTGATGGGTGGTAATAGTGTGTTAATACAACCTGCGTGAATATATTGACCGTGTGCGTCTGCGCATGCACGTTGTGCATTGTGCCGTGTAGGCGGGTGTGCGAGTGCATGTGCGCGGGTGTGCGTGTGGGCGGGGGTGCGTGTGTGTGTGTGCGCTTGCGCGTTCGTATTCGTGTGCGTGTGCGTGTGCGTGCGCGTGTGCATGTTCATGTTGGTGCGCGTGTGCGTGTGCGTGTGCATGTGCGTGTGCTTGTGCGTGTGCGTGCGCGTGGGCGTGTGCCTGTGCTTGCTCTTCATCTTGAGGGCTATTCTTCATCTGTATTCACATCTTCCGAGGGAGCCTTCAGGGCCAGGAAGACCGACATCATCCCCAGAGCCGTGCCCAACTTGTGGCCACCCACTAACCACCCGGAGATCAAAGGGTTGGCATGGAAGTGATCTGCTAAGCCATGGCTGCGGACCAGGACCAGCGTGAAGAAGAAGTTGTCCTGGAAGGGGCTGGTCACGTGTTTTGGTAGGTTCTGGCAGCTGCCCTTTGTTGCTGGGTGACTAGCTTAACTAACAGGACATGTCCTGGAAGTTCATATAGACCGCCAGTGCCATGGTGTAGGGGACAGTGGCTGCGTTCACGACACATGTGAAGACCAGGAACAGAGTAGCCGCACCCAACAGCGCCAGAGCCACAGCCGGCATGTACGTTTTGATTTCGTCGACTGCCAGGCTATTGCTCTGGGTTTGAATCTGCTGGGCGGAGGCCCGCGTAGTTCCCAGTTGGAGCACGGACATGTGGTCGTGCTGCTTGCACGTGGCATCTTTGGCCGTCGTGCTTGTCGCAAAGCTGGCATCACTAGTCCATGAAGCAGCTGCGGAGGTTGTGAGCAGCACTACAACCAACAGCAACGGCTGTCGACATACCATGGCGAGGATCTATTCAATGAATCAAGAGTGCCCATCGCGACATTTGCGCAATGGGCCCTGAAGCCATGCGCGCCACCACATGCCGAATTCGCATCTCTTGCAGACACACAAGCGCGCATGAGATTGGGAGGGAGGGAAGTTGGGTGAAAGGGGTTGGCTCAAGATAGCCATGCTTCTTCCGACACAAGCCCGAAGGAGCATTTTAACACACAACAAGTCGGAAATCTGCGAGGATGTGGCGTTTCGGGTCTGGCATCTCAGTGTGAATGGATCATGTAAAGCCACTTCGAGGTCCCCCTCGCTGAAGAACCCACAATTCTCAAGTTCTGCATGGCAGTCAATTTTACTCATTGCTCGATGCATCGACAGGTAGCCGCTGCTGGAGCCATAATTTTGCCTGTGCAGAAAACAAAGGGGTAACGCTACGGGAAACTCCGATTAAACTCAAGCTGGCCGGCAGAAACAAAGCCCTTTCTGAAGTGTAGGCATTCTGTAGGGATCCTGTTACATCTTTTGGAAGTCGTGATTCTGCCATGAAGGCAAGTGCCTCGTCGATCATGTCTGCAGACAGGGCATGGCCAACTCCTTGAAAGGCCAGGGCCCGCACACCTTGCTCCCAAAGCGAGCCACAGGTGCAATAAGGGCAGAAGCCATGGCCACTCTACATTTGTGCCACTTTGCTCTCGCCCAAAAGCACCACAAAACACACCTGAGCATCTGGCTGCAGCCTAGCCGTCGGAGCTCGTCTGCGCAGGTCGTGGCAGAGCCGATCGGCACCAGACCATCCTACGATATGATTCGGTAGGCATTGAGGCGCCAAAACCGCCAGGACCCGTAACACCTGCCGTGCTACTCCCGCAGTCCTCACGTCCATGACCTCAGCTCTCAAGCTTCATTGCCTACAAGCCCATGCACAGAACTGCACAGAACTGCACTGTGATGAACCGTTTGGACAGTGGCAGCCGAGAAATCTGAACGGTCTGAGATCTGGGGCATTGGAGCACTTGCAAGGACTCAGCCCCGATAGCCCAGTCCTGGTTTGCTGTAGCTTCAGGCCGCTGCAGCCTACTGCCCAAGCTTGCGGCAGCTTTTTGAACGCCACATCACGATATTCTCATGATTCCATGTGCCAGCAAAAAAGCATGTGTTGGGTCTTTCTGCGGTTGCGCTTCATGTCGTATTCGAAAGTGACTCCTGAAGTCATACCTTGTTTCCTGTTTGTCCGGGCAGGCGCGTTGGCAACAGCAAAACGCAAGCACGCTTCAGACATACAACGAGCACAGACCCTACCCGGATGTGGACTCCTTTGCCGCCTTTTTGCAAGTGAGAATATCCCCCCCAAACCTACTTTCCAAACAGCCTTCTAGGCATACAGACCGTGCAAGACTTCGCAGCACTCCCAATGCCAACAGCAGAATCGAAGGCAACACCGGCCAGATTTCAGTCTCGCAGTTTGACAAGGATGAAAACAGCGTCGAACCTTGTCTGCACCAAAACCATCAACAGACCTAAGGAAGGTGAAAATCATAAAACCGTCCCCCCGAAAGAACTACAAACGAAATGACCAACCTCAGATATTGCAATGCAAAGCAGTCCGAGCCAGGTCCCTCCAGCGTCTTTGGAGACGCCCAGCCACCTGTGAAGCTGAGGCCTGGGTGAGGGTGTAGGGATGTGTCGGGGGGGGGGGGGGGGGGGAGGGCTACGTAGGGGCAGCTTAGGATGGTTCAGGGATTCTGTTGTGGATTGACAATTGACTCTGTGAAGGGCATTTGGTATAATCATCAGGACCCCCCAAACAGTTTTAGGGCATCTTCCCGAAGTGAGCGTGCTAGGCGGTACTGCGCTTATTTGGGGGAGATCCCAGGCCTTCTGTGCCAAACAGCAACAACCCAGCGAGCGGTCGCGGAACCTGACCAGCACCATTGGACACGACTGGACCCCAAGAACATCCGCAGGTGGCGGGTCAATATGCACCATGCCCCATGCTTCCCCACTGCCTGCAATGCTGTCCAGGCTGCCAGTGTGCCCCCCATGGAGAAGCCCGCAAGAACTACACGCTCAGGCGGTATGCCCCACTCTTGGCCTGCGGCACCATAGTGACATAGTGCAATCAACGTACAACTCAGCACAAAATCCTGGAGCCGCAGCAAGCTTGCTGGCCTTGAGAGCTGAGCAATGCCAGAATCTCAGACCGACATTCCTGCAAGTAGATGCAATGCTCTATACAGAGAAGGTGAAAATTTGAAAAGACACATCAAGAATGGCCAGGTTCCGCCTCCAAAGCTTCGGCTTTACGTGCAGAACGCGTATGATCAAACCAAGCCTTGGCCGTGCGCTTCCACATACCAGACATAGATACATACATACATGCACATATAGGTATGTGTATATATATATATGATTATGTATATGTATATGCATAATGTACATATATATATATATGTATATATGTATGTGCACGTGCAGTATTTGGGCCACAAACGCGGCCTTCCCACACACGTCATACAGCACTCCACTGTACTTCTATTGCAGTAGCTGTAGTAGTAGCTGCAGTAGCTGTAGTAGCATCGTCTATGCGCCATCACGCCACTCGTTTTCTGAGGCAGTGTTTCTGTCGCTGTGCCTGTCAGCGCACATACTTGGCCAGAGTTGCTACGAAGTCTGGCTCATGAGTTTCATGTCTTTGCACTGCAATCGAGACATACATCAAGACATACATGAGCGAATTCGCAAGCCAAGTGTTGGCGATGAAAGATCAATGTGTCCTGCAAAGGACGGGGGCACCTGGAAGAACCAATGCTGCATTTGACATGTTCGAGTCTGCCAGTTCATGTGGAACCTGCTAGACTAGAGCTTGACGGTGCGATAGAGAAGTGATGAGAAGCATAGCTTCTACCAGGTGCCTGGGCAGTCGCCCAATAGGTGAAGGTTCGGAAACAAATCCTGCGCTGTTGCAAAGCTGTACTTCAAATGTGGGGGCGGAAGGTAGAGCCACTTTGCTCTGCCTCACCCAAGACCTACCACGACCACAAGAAAGGAAGTTGCTCACATTGGTCGCCGTTGAAGCGCGTATTTGCATAATAATAATAATAATAATAACTGGCAGACAATCATGCTTTGTTGTCTGACTGTGGTCGGCTAAGTCTATGAGCGCCAGAAGGCGAATCCATATCAATTCATGGATGAAACTATGAATGAAGCTGCGCGGAAAAGCTGGACAGAAATTCTGGGATAGGTTTACTCTTTTCTACTCCAATACGTCCGATTGCTTTTGCATGCTTCATTCGGTCACCTGCCGTTCCTGTTCGGGGGCCCTGCGCACACCCAGTCTCCAGAGCACCTGTTCGAAGCCGCTTTGCCCGGATGCCTGACCGGCTTCGTCATGAAGCACGTGAAATTCACACAGGTCATCTGTCCTAGGCCTTGCGTGTGCTCCGGAAGTCGATTCTTCGCCTTCAGCGTGCACGTCACTCGAGATGTCGGGCAAGAAGTCGCTGCCAACATGACCACCGTGGGAACCAGCCGACGGTTCCCTTGATCTAGCGGAGTGCCGACGTGGTGTAGCTGCAGCGGAAGATGCGCTGCTTGAGGAGAACGAGGACTTGTCATCTCTACGAGGAGAAACCGCCCTGTTGGGAGCTGGGGATGCAGATCGTGAAGTTGCGCAGCTTTGACCACTGTACGAAAGAGATAGAGAGAGAACTTCTTGTTGACTGTCAGCTGAACCACTGCTCCCTCGGCCCCATGTCGGTGTGTGAGCCATCTGAGCAGCCCGGTCTCTAGTTGGCGACCTTGACCTCGGTGACTTGCTTCTGGGAGGTGCGGTGGTGGATTGTGACACTTGCGATGAGGGGCGCTGGCCTCCGCACGATGCACGTGGAAGCGACCTGCCAGACCTCTCGGATGGCAACTCCTCCACCTTCCGAGGGCTTTGCGATGGCGATCTCGAATTGGGCCGTTCTCCAATGTTGTATGCTGACGCGAGTCCGCAATGAATCTTGTTTGAAGTGGGAGAAGACGGGCGGGTTGGAACACAAGAGGGCAGAGGTGAATTGTTCGCCTCGTTCGCTTGATAGTGGACACTGACAAAGTTCATGACAGGGAACTTCAGCTTCTTGGGCTCTGCCCCTGCGCTCACGGAAGACACGTCCGAGAAGGCATGCCCCTCAGATGAAGAGGATGTTTGCCTGAGCAGGAAGCCTAGATCGACAACTGAAACCGCGAATACCCCGATACAGTCGCTACGCATTGTTTTCGGCACTGAGCTTCTACAAAGACGATGCCTCTTGCTAGACGAACCTCTAGGAGGCTCTGAAAGTACTGGTCACAACAGAGGATCTCTACTTTCAGACCTGGACAGGGTCTCCATACTTGCGGCTTACATATTGCGGTGTAGGTTAGAGCCAAACTTCGGGGATGAGGGCTTCTCCTTGTATATGTCCTGCCGAAATGATGAAATCCCACCCCTGCGCGCACGCCATGCAAGAGCACACGTACGAGTGGCCCGCCTGCGGAGCTCCTGAGATTTGCCAGCCTCATGTGTTGGTTGAACGCTTTGGCACGGCTGGGCCGGCGTGGTGCTCTTGCCACTTTCTGCAGCAGCTTCCACCGCTGGCTTTGGAGTGCTCATAGTGCTCCCCTCGTGTCCCGGAGCGCTGAATGGCACCAAGGAAGCCTTTGATGGATTTGAGGGATTTGTATCCAGCAGGAGCTGGTTGGCTTGCTGCAGCTTCCCGGTCTTTATTGGTCCAAACTCCTCATGAGTTGCAACTCCACACATCTTGCCCTGGGCTTGTTGTTGCTCAAACCATGTTTGGCCTGACACCTTGTATCTGGAGCCGGCTCCCTTGGGCGTTGGCGGTGGTGGCGGCATCTCATTTCCTTTGCCGCCTTTGCCCTTACCCTGGGGCGCTGGACCCTTGCCTTGAACTGGTGTAAGTGGTGCCTTCGGCATCGCTTTGCTCTGCTCTGTTGGTAAAGCGGCCTCAGGCTTGGGTGGCTTTGCATCCTCCACTTGGTCTTCGCTTGTCCATGGTATACACGTTGGGAGCTGTTGAGTCCGCGGTGGGGCAATGCTCTCGGAAGGGAAATGGGGAGGAGGCATGCCACCCGTTCTGCTCCACACACTTCCGGCTACCGAGTCGATGGCATCCTGCAACGGAACAGGGGACGCACCATCCTCCGGAGTGGAAGAGGCTCTGGACACCTGACTCTCTTTCAAGTCGAGCAGCCGTGCGCCCTTCCACATGCGCTTGCGCACCTTGCGCGAAGCAGCCATGACCAACACAGCTGCACCCGAACACTTCAGCACCAATGGCAAGATCCAGCTGCGTGGCTGTTGGACTTCACGGCATGCCTTGTGCTTTGGAAGCTCTACAAGTTTGGGAATGGGTACCTTCTCTGACCGCTTCTGATGATGATACATCCTGTGAAGTGCAATTCCCGTGGCAAATGAAGCCACGCTCGCCAAGATTCCCGGGGGTGGAGCTTTCTCCCGGCACTCCTTCACAAACATGACTGCGGATGTCCTCACTGTAGCACCGGGTGGGATGCTCGCAAAGTGGGAGAGATCCACGTAGTCCCAGTGGCCCCAAGCGAGCTTCGCATCGTGGAAGCCCATGTTGCCCATGTTGTACATCGCCATTAGAGGAACGGCAAGCAAGGGACAGGGATAGCCTACGAGAAACGAGAAATAGCACACAATGACTGTCGCCAGACCAAGTTTGCTAACGGACCATCGTTGGACTCCCACTACCAATGCAAGCAGTCTGCACTTTCTCGCTCATGCTCTACGGAAACTTGAACAACAGATTTCATGTGGTGAAAGGATGCCATGCGAGCCGTCTCTACAAGGCAGTGTTGGCTCAGCATCGGACCGGCCCCACACTCCAGCCATCCTACAGCGACTCGCCAAGGACCGCCAAGACGAAGGAAAATATGGAAACATTATGAAACATTATGGGGCATTCTGGAACATGCACAGGAGGAGAAGCACGTGCTCCCTCAGCTCCCGGCGCGCGTCGGCGCTGTGGGCATCACCTCGCATTGTCAACTTGCCAACGTTCCTGTTGCAGCAACCCTGAGCTGCATCCACATCTGCAGTGCAAGCAAGGGGCGAAAAGCATGTGGGGCACTGAACCAGAAAGATGTCGCACAGTTTTCTCCAACATCCGCGCAGACCTTACATTCGCTCCGATTTTCTCTCTTTTTTTCAGAGTGCATTCTGAACCGAGGCTGGTGCTGAAAGAGCCTTGCCGCGAAACGGCAGTATGAACCATGGTACCACTAAAACATGCAACGAAAAAAACTATATGTATATATATATATACATATATACATATATACACATATACACATATACATATATACATATATACATATATACATATATACATATATACATATATACATATATACATATATACATATATACATATATACATATATACATATATACATATATATACATATATACATATAGACATATATACATATATACATATGTGCACACATACATGCACGCACATCCCCTCCCCCCCCGCCCCATGTTTTACGCGTCGCCTGGACTGTTTCACAGCTGGTTCGATTCGATAGACCATTAGACTACCATTAGACCAATAGGTTTCCCCATGCCAGACCCCATGCGACACCCGACCAGCAGACCGATTGTTGTCCTCTTCAGACTTGTTTTGGAGTTCAGAGTGCAGGGTTAGGCCAGTGCATTGACCCGTAATTAGGCTGCCCCCCTGCGACACCCACCGGACCATGGGGCCAGTCCGATGGGGGGAAACTGTCTAACGACTACACCACCGGACCATCAGACACATTGCTCGCGCACATCCATTACTTTTATTCTTCTCTGTACACAACTGTCGTACGCAGACTCCCATGTGTAGTCTAGAGGCTTACATAGCTAGCCCTGTCTGGCAAGTCATACTGAATGAACCACAGCGTTGTCCACGGAACTTTCCGATCCATGCTTTGTCAAGCCCGGCCCATTTCGCGTAGCAACCCTAACACACGGCTAGCACGAGGACGTCAGACAAAAAGAACTTTCACTGCACAAGGGTATACAAGCTTCCCTTGTGCAGCATTTATTTTGTGCGGAGACTTCGTATAACCATTAAATTTTAAACGGAGCTCAGCCTTTTTCTGCTAGTCAACCTTCCATGTTGCATAGTCACTTCCTCATAAAGACTAATCTCCCCAACGCAGAGCAACAAGGCCACCTGTAACAGCCAGCTTTGTGCATGCAGATCCTGCATATCACACCAAATGTAGATGGAGAAGCCCCTACAAATCCGATCTAGCATGGGAAAGTTCCTCTTTCGCTTTTTATAAACATCTTATAGATTCACAAGGCCTCCTTCTGGACATCCACTACATGGCAACACCCTTTTGCATTCCACTACTTTACATTGGTTGTCCAGGTGCTACATACTGATCTTCAATATGATTGTAAGCAACTTTCTCGTGACTGAGGCCAGTGCTGTGGCGAGGCAGAGGCAATGTGCAGTCACCAAAAGAACGAGGATGCCGCGCATGCATGAGTTTTCCAGTACTACCCTTCATGGTCCGCAGCTTTTTCAAAGAATAACTCTGTGGGAGGTCAGGGCTTCTGCCTACTAACGTTACTGCGCCAGACATAGTTCGACCCACCAGCATATGCATTTGTGTAAAATAATATATATATATATATATATATATATGCTAGCTGCTAGATAGATATATATATATATATATATATTCATTGGACATGATGCGTAAGGCTGCACAAAACATGACGCAGCGCACCCATGGAGCAACACCACCATGGCGCTTGGTTGGCCTCCAGGAGCAAACCGGAGCAGTTTCGGGCTGTAAGTGTTGATGTATGCTTGTCTACTTATGTTGCTCCGCCTTACGCCTGCTCTGCTGCGGCTCTAATACTGCTCCGCGACTCTACCGGCAGCATCAGTTGCTGAGGCAGGCACCTGCTAAGGGGCGCATTACCAGAACAGGCCGCAGGCCATCTGCTGAGTGCAAGAAGAGCCTGTGCCCCTCTGTAGCCTGCATGTGAGAGTTCCGCTTTCGGACAATGCTTCACCTTACGATTATCACAACATGTCCTCCAATTCTTGGCAGCTGCCGGATTCGTCTTGAAGGCACGGTGCCGGCGCAACACCCCCCAGCCTCAATTTGCAGGAACTGCTATGCAACCCTTGTTGATCCCGGTTCGCAGTCCGATCCGAAATGCCTGGCCCACTTCAAGACCATTTGCAAGACTTTCGCTCCGAGTGACGCAAAGGGGCCAGACAATTTGAGCAGCCGGCGGGCCTGAACATCCAGCAATCAGCATACAAGACCACCTTGCACCTGCTTATCTCTTTCTATATCCTACAATAAGTGTTTTAGTCATCCAAGGCAACGTCATCTCCCAGAGACCGAGTCTGTTGAAGTCTCGCTTGCGTGACTTGCGTGTCTTTCAGGCTGCTGAAAGGGCTTGCACATGATGTGCAATGCGAAGCTATAGTAGCTGGAGCAGCTGGAGTTGTGCCTGTGCCAGTGCTCCAGCATCGAGCTTTGACAGCACAGCGCGCTCCTAGGACAAACCATGTCTCAACAAGAAAGATCTGCATGTGCCAGCACTGGCTGGCAAGAAGAAGAACTGCCAGCACAGCCAGAGCACCTCGTCTGTGGATGCACTCTTGCTGCGAAATATTTGGCAAAGTGTGTCCACCTGTCGCTCTTCATGGTGCAGTTCGAACGAAGAACATTCTGGAGGACTCTGAGACTTGGGGGCTCCCCGAATACGGTGCGCCTCTCGAGCAGTAGATGAGATCACCTGGCCAGGCCCGCAAGAAGCAAGCGTCAGAGTTGACTGCAGAAGAGTAACTCAAGCGGGTCTGACGGCCAGCCTTGCTGGATCGTGGACTCACGGAATTCGGGTCGGCGTTGTAGCCCAGCCTTGTGTGGCTAGGACGTCATCTAGGTTCGCGCGGGACAAAACGAGTCTCGCGATCCCGCTGAGATCTCGGCAGCAATGCAACCAAATCAAGGCTCTGGGCAGTGGTCTTGGCCTGTCCATATCGTACCCTAAACCCTAAACCCTAAACCCTAAACCCTAAACCCTAAACCCTAAACAAAGGTACTGAGTCGCACGCAGCTTCGAGAAGCAAAGGTGAATCAGGCGATTGGTGCGAGCGACCATTGGGGTCTGCTCTGTCACGCAGCAGCGCCTGTACCTTTCACAGCCACCAGAAGAAACGCACTCAAGCTGATCTTCTTGCATGAGATCCTCGCCTGAAACAAGTCACTCTCCTTGACAGCATCGGCAAGTGCCACAGCCTTCCATATCAAGTGATTGCAGCAGCAGCAGCAGCAGCAGCAGCAGCAGCAGCAGCAGCAGCAGCAGCAGCAGCAGCAGGCGGCAGGTGCAGCGGGTGCAGAAGGACTCTTCACTTGCATCAGCAGTGAAGGACGGGCCATCTGGGCCATCTCTGTCTCCCCGGTGGTCCGCGCCTACCGACACCGGTGCAAACTTGATCCCTCTGCTTTAGCAGATTTTGCTTCCAGCAACCGATCAAGGGTCTGGCTGTTTGTGCTGGTCGGGCCCGGGGTTCCTCGTCATCAGGCCATACTATATATGAGCTACTCTTGGGACATGTCCGGCGCATGCAAACAAACACCCAAGATTCAGAACACTCGTCGTTGCTCACAAAAATCTCGTATCGCTTCATCTCGACTCACGCGTGCTTTCTTGCTCCGCCTTGCTCACAGGCGGCATGGGCGGCTGTGGCTTGGATGCCCTTGTTGGCATGAACTCTTCGGCGCTCAGCCTCCCCACAAATTGGCAGCAAACGCAAGATGCGGTGCACACTCCGTCTGAGGGACTGGCAGGTCCAAGTTGGCTGCCCTGCGACATTTACTCTTAGGGCCTGCTAGGTGACCTCTTAAGCATCCTGCTAAAAACGTGCGCACGGACGGCCACCTCACTCGAACCTGTCGGACACTTCCATCCTCTTCTAGAAGTTCCACCTTTTCCCGTCACGAGCGCTGCAGATTGAAAGTGTGCCTCATTTAAGGCCCAAATCAACTCTCCTAGACATTCAGCTGAACGCATTCCTCCCGCTGAGGTCTCAGCTCTGTGCCTCCCTGAGGTTGGATCAAACTCGCGAACTATGCCTTCAGACGTGCCCAAATGTGCCCAAGGCTCACGGCCAAAAGACACATGCTTATCCACCGTAGAAGCGAGGACCGGGCCAACCCGACCGTTCAGGTCTAGAGCACCCTGCAGACCTTTCAGAGCAGCTGACTCTGAAGTGGCGCAGCGGCGCAGACAGGCTCAGACCCTGTGCTTGCCCTGCTTCGAATGTAGCAGGCAGCCTACAATCTCAACCATCTCGCCGTTGGCAAAGGCGGCTTCAGCTGGCTCTGCTGGTACTGCCGGAGCCTGACACAGATCTAGCTGCAACATTCTACAATGCTTGATGCTAGAAAGACTGAGAAAAGACTACGCAAGGCAGGAAGGTCTGGCCTGAGTGGGAAGTAGGTGCGGCATCCCAGTTGTTGTGACGCCGCCTGCGCCCTGCTGCGAAGGGTACGAGTGCTGGGTGGGCTTTGCCGTGTTGGTCCCATCCGATTCTGCCGTGCTTCTTGCACCTCGCTGCATGGGCTCTTCGCTAGCAGCACTCTTCTCACATCCCTGCATCCTGCAGCCAAGTCGCTTTTCCATTTGAACCCGGGTCTGGTCCGTCCTTCGACACCTTGCTAGAGCAGCGTGCTCAGGGCAGACTTAGGGCGTCCTAAGGGTGAGTGCTGAGAAAATTGAGAAAAGCCGGCTTCTGTCTTTTTCTTATGTTTCTTCTTCTGTTGCTTCTTCTTTGCTTCTATTCTCTGCGCCTGAGCCCGGGCCGGCCATCACCTGCACAGCATGCGGAGCGTCGCCGCTGAGCCAAGATACACAGCGCCCGCAAACCTAGAACGAGGCCACGGCCACGCGAGAGTTTCGTACGGATATGCTAGGATCTTCTAGCTTGTGGTTCTGCGATAGTGTGTCCATATATTGTCTACAAGCTGCACCAGGTCACCAGACCGTGACATGCACAGAGCATGGCATGTGAACGACACAAACCCGCGGAGCAACTAACGTCATGACTCACACTGCGAAGTTGTGCGATCGTTAACGTGGACTTTTACTTATATATCAGCCACATTCAGCCACTGCAGACAGCTGCGGAAGTCAGCAAGATGATAGTGCAAGATGTCCGCTTTCTCGGCTGCCGACAGAGATGCCGTCCGCGGGAAAGACCATATTTGGAAACACAGGTACAGATTCGTACAGATGAAGCGCAGGTGCAGATTTGTGCTCCGTCGCACAAGTCTGAGAACCCAACAGCACTTGCAGAGCCCTGGAGCTGCACTGTTGCCACTGCTGGCCCCTCTGGTCACTGCTCTTCGCCAATTCACCCGATGTCACCCGAATTCACCCTGTCCAGTGTCAATCTGTCAATCCTCCTATCTTAAGCAACAGCAACAGCACCAACGCGTTTGCAAGGTCTGCAAATATCTTTGGCAGACCAAACGTGCAGCCGGGGTTCAGGAGCAAGGGCTTTGAGGAAGTTGCGTGGAGGGTAGGCTAAGCTTGACCTGGCGCAGCCGCAGCGCTTGCAGCTCCTCCTCGACCTGTGTACGGTGACGCGTGATCCACACAAGTTGATCGCGGAGATCGCCATGGGCACGAAGCATCGACTGCCTGCTCTTTGCATCCCACTTGATGGAGCCACCCCCCTCCTTTCGCTTCTCATGGTTCTCGCCGCGCAAGGCTTTTAGCTGCTCGTACTTCTCTCGCATGTTGTTGAAGGACTCCTCATCCCCACCTTTGTCAGGATGAAGTCGCGTTGACTGTTGCCGGTAGGCTTTGTCAATATCTTTTTCAGTGCAGGTTTGGCCATCGAGCCCAAAGAAGCTGTAGTCCTCTGTGCCTCTCAGTGCATCACGCTCCTTCTCCGCGGCTTTGAGAGCAGCACCTCGGCTTTGGACTTCGCCACCAAGCAGAGTCAGCAGCCCCGGCAACTGCTCGGAGACTAAGCCGGAGAGCCAGTGTTGAAGCTCATCACTCGAACACCGGAGCTCGAAGTCAATCGCATTGCGCATGAAGCGCCACTTCTTGCCATCAGATCGCTCGACTGCAACAGCAGTTTCGCCAGAACTTGTCTCGAGCACATAAACCCGCACGGGAGGAACTTCGGGTTCTGCGTCGGCTGAAGCTTCTGCGAGCTGGCCCTCCAAGCCAGTTGGACCTTGCGAGCTGTCGCGCTACTTGTAGCTGTCAATGTCAACTGCATGCGGCGAGAAGCACAATCAGAAACTAAATGACTGCACCTACAAAGATTCTCTTGACAATGACTTGCCACATCTTGTCACTATTGCAAACAAGCGCCTTTCCTGGCTCCATGATCTTCCATGTCCGTCTTCGAATGCGCCGTACGGTCTTGTGTGGGACCTCCACGAACCAACAAAATTGAAAATACTTGCTTCGACCACCCGATGTGTTAGGATACCTCGCCCCGAAATTCTCAAGGATACTTGGCAGGACCTTTCGTGGGCCTTTTTTGGGGTGGGCACTCCAGGGATGGGCTGTAGTGACTGTAGTGACTGTAGGGTGCAGGGGGTGAGCACTCCAGAGATACCCGGCGAAACCTTCTGGCTTCTCTTCCAAGGACGCACCCACACCGAAGGTCGGGAACTTTGTGCATCGATCATCCCCACCCTACAGCCAAACCTGAATTTTGCAACAGTTATTCTCCTGGAGACGGCACTTTAAGGCCTGCAGGGGTACTCTGCGGGATTGGACACTGCAGAGATTCTCTGGAGGTTAGTCGGCGGGATTCGTTTGGGGGTGGGCGCTTCAGGGATACCCGCCGGGTGGGCGCACCAGGGAAGATACTTGGCAGGGCTCTGCTCCAGAGATACTCGGCGGCAGTCTCTACGGGCACTCCAGGGCCCGGGGACGCTCGGTGCGACTCTCTGGGAGCGGGAAACAGGGGGCAGTGGGCTGGGCCAGTAGTACGGTCACGAAGAATGGATGACGCAAAATCTACCAACCCCACCCCCACAACTACATGAGCACATGTCATAAACTGGCACTACGCAGTAGTTACCGTGTTCTAAACCTTTCAAAGCTGGCAAAGGTCGTACTCGCCACGGCCTTCTTGTGCATGCATCGTTGCCTAGACAAGTGCAGAAAACTCCAAGCACATTCGAGCCCAAGACGGAGTGCCGAAGCGCCTCATCACTTGCAGACCTGACAGCATCAACGACACTACAAGACTCGTCGAAGAGACCTCGACTCGGCTACATGTATCTACATCACACCACGATCTGCCTCACAGCTGATTGGCAGACCTGACAATGTGGCAGCAGGGAAAGGAAGGATCGGAAAGATGAGTAAGCTGAGCCACACAGAATGAATCGGAATTCAGTTCGCGCTCGGCAAAGCTCAGCTTCTGACTGCTTCGGGCTGCGAGGATGCGGGTGCTGGTGTCACTTGTATCACCGGCCTTGTGCCTGCTGCGGAAGTGAGAAGTAGTCAAAAACTGTTCAACACAGTAAAGCAGAGCTGAATTCAGTTCACATCGCAGGGGACCGTGCTTGGGTTCGAAGCCCTTCCGGGTGACCTGGCGATTCGATGCAGTTCCGGGATGTTTCAAGAAACCTTCTTCGTCAATTCCTGTGTGGCAAGGGACACAAGGATATGCAAAGCTCAAAAAAAGCAGAGGAGCATCAAGGGCGGCTGCTTGCTGCTGGCCCCTGGAGGTACGACCTGAATGTGAAGGACACAATGCCAGGAAGCGCCCCTGATCGCCTCATCATGGGTCGCTTCAACTCCGCTTCCACGTGTTTTAAATCTGCGCCCGGTGGAGGCTCATGGAGGCTCGATCCCTGCAGGATGGCTCCGAACGAGAAGTGCGAACCCTTTGAGGGTGGCACCATGAGGCACCCCGTTCTGCCCAAGAACTCGGGATGCTACTGGTAAGTTGCGAAGACTGTGTGCCCTTTACATCGTCAATGCCTTTGGATCATTTGGCGACCTCGGAGATTCTGAGTCGGAACCGATGTTCTGCAGAAGCAAAGCTTGCGCCATCACCATCTCACCCACGTCATCCTCTTCCTCCTCTTCCTCCATCTCTCCGTCTGCATCCTCATCCGGAGCCGGCACCTGCTCGGATAGCTGCAATGCTGGATCAGGCACAGCCACCTGCACGATGGAGGCATGGGACCATTCCTTGGCCCAATCCCAGAAGCTTCCTTCAACAGTGAGCGTGTGAAGGTCACCTGCATGTGCTGGAGGCTCATACGGCTCGTCATCCGCACCGGGTCGGGCAGGCTGTGTCGGCTCGGATTTGTTGCGGAAGGTCGGGGACGGCAAGCACTTGGCGCTCTCGACTGCCCATGTCTGGAACAGTAGCTGATCCGATGCTGTTCTTACAGACTTTTGTGAGGCCAGCGACCGATCTGACACTTCAGAGGGTTTCTGCGGCACATCGGGTGCCACACGGCTCGCCTTTGCCAGTCCTGCTGCCCGAAAATGCCACGACAGTGAGCAGCAAAGAGCCATGCACAAGAACAACGCGAGGGTGGCAATTGCAATGATGCCATATGTGTTCATGACTTCAAAGTTGGTCGTTGGCGTCTCAGTCGTGACAACGAGTGGCATCTCCTGCAGCAAGCAAAAGGATCAGATGAACAGCCCCATGACGGCCAATTCAACCCAATGATGCGTCCGAGCAGCTGTGGGGGATGGGCAGACCGCCGAGAAGGCCCAACTCAAAGTGCCGGTCAAAGGGTCTGCCCGACATGATATTGCAGCAGTCTCTGTTTTCAACGGATCAGGATCACATTTAGCACGACATTCCTGGCCGACCTTATCGGTGGAAGCAAACATAAATTACTGTGGCTGCAGAGTGCCTCTAATTTCCCAGTACGAGAGAACAAGAGCATGAGCAAAAGCAGCGCACAGGGCTACAAACATGGGACCACAACTTCGACCACAACTTCTTTTTGTGACCTGCGCCATGCCGAGATGCCCGACGGGGCCCATAACAAGTGAAGGGCGCTGCTCCTGGAGGCGACGGAGGCATCACAGACTCGCCTCGGGACCCGGACTCTGCCAAGACAGCTACGACAGCTACGACAGCTAAGCCATTGAGTCGAGATGCTGCAGAAGGGGACGTTCATATCCAGGGTCGTGACTGCAGTCGCCCACCAAACCACGCTCGTAGAGGTAATCGTCCTGGAAGACACAGTTACTGTCAGCGGTCTGGTGGCTGTGCTAGACGTCCATGTCGCCGTGGAGCTCGTCGATGTCGTTGCTGAAGCTGTTGAAGTCGTGGACGTTGAGGTGGGCTCTGGTGTTGGGGAGTGGAAAGCCGTGTAGACGCCAGTGCCCTCGTAGGAAACGCAGGTTAGCTGCATGGTCGCTGTCTCCACGTCCTGCACCTGCAAGTCCTCCATCTTCCAGGCACTGTCGGCTTCATGCCACTTAGCACAGGCAGGCATCAGAAAGTATCCAGTTGGCGGGGATCCCGGCGGTGGCAGAGTGAGTCGAACATGCAGAGGGTCCGACAAGTTGAAAAGTGTGACAGGGCCTCCGCATGCACTAGCTGTAAAGCTCCGGATGGTTGCGTCTGCTGGCACATGAACATTCACGCCCAAGGCAGGATTGGCCCAGGTGTACATGTTTGTGGATCGCCATACGCCATCTTGAAACTCCACGTTCGGCCCAGATGCTGGAAGCGAGGGGGTAGCGCTGTCAAAGTCAGAGGCCAGCAGGGGATGAACCATCTGGAGCACCGACAGCTCCATCAACTTGGAAGCATCCGAGCAGCTAACGGAGTTCAAGCGGCGAACGTTGGGACTGGCAAGCCTTCCAAGCTTGCCTACCTTGAGGCCGGAGCCACCCCCTGTGCCAGTTGCATCGCCTGCATTCACCTGTTGCACTAGGCCTTGGCCCAACTGGGAGAGCATCCTGGAAGCAAGCTTCGCTGTGAGGCTGTCGACTTGTGCCGTCAATCGTGCACTATCCCTTGTGTCCAGACTCTGGGCGGTTGCTACAGTTGCTGCCCCGATGGTGCCGATTCCCTCCAGTACAAGCTGTCCTTTCTCCGCTGCATCTGTGCTGACCATGTCCAAGGCATCCAAGGCACCGTCAATGGCAAGGCTGGCACTCTGCAGAGTAGCACCTTCCACTGTGTGACCACCGTTCCAAACGCCGATCAGGACTGCGGTCACTACTTCTACGCACTTCGTCGCAACCTCCGGAGAAGTCAGGAGGGCAGTGGCTTGCAGGAGCAACTGCAGAGACAGCTGCGCTGTGTCCTCTGAAGCTGTATGGGCCGACGAAACCACAGTATCAACTGCATTGATGATCGAATTGGCATCGTTGCTGCTCTGCGCTGCATCAAGGAGCTCTACCATGCTGCTCTCATCAACATCAGCGACCGCAGTGACCAATGGTGCCGCAAGAAACTCAGTGCCTACAGCATTTGTGCTGTCCCTCGCCCTGACGATTACATAGAATGCCCCTGCTGGCAGGCGCATCTCTTCCAAAGTTGGCGTTGTGGAGAAAGATCTCATCAACACGCCTCGTTCTTGCACGAGCTCACTGCTCAGCAATGAAAGTCTGACTCATGCACAACCGAGACATGTCGAGACTCGATCCAACGCTCGATCTTCGATTCCGCTGCGCGTGATGTAGCGTGACGGTCACCCCTTACATGGTGCGGGCGAGCAACCTCCCTGCTTGCGCCAGTGTGATGGGTGCGAAGCATCGTTCCATTCCTTAGAACAGACAGGCAAAGTGATGAGGAGGGCTCACAAATGCTCACAATGAAGCCAGCGATATGGAGGCAAAGCTCTATGTCCGGCATCTCGAAGCTATGCATCCAACTCTCAAAGCCTTCACCTTCCGGACTGGGCCCATCGCTCCTTTCAGGCAGGCCGCTGACTCCATGGGCCAGTCGAGCCTACATTGTTGTGTTGACATGTGCGCCGCCTTCAAAATCCACAAGTGATCAGAACACTTGCAGCCCTGCCGGTCGCTGCAGGATCAATGGGTATATGATGCTACGACTTCACGGCTTCTTGCAGCCCACCCGTCCCCTTGACAGGAAAGCGGTAGAAGGCGTACTCCAGCTCTGCGTCCTGGTCAAACAACTAGGTGAAACTGGATCAGAGGGCTTCAAACCTCGGGTCCTCATCCTCCCAATCTGCAGTGGCAATTCTGAAAGTTGTCACCAGTGCCTGAGCTAGAAGAAAAGGCCGGCAGGACTCCGCCCAGTGCCCGAAAACAATCGAAAACATGTCCAGATGCCACAAAAAGGTGCTTGGCCCAACAACGGGGCGACGATTACCCTACCTCTGCTCGGTGGCGAATCGGCCTGAAATGGGACCTTGCTGTCAAGCATGTGAATTCCAGAATGTTTCTGCAAAGGACTCAGCAACTTCACAGCATCTAAACAGCATCTGCGTCACTTCTAAGACTCCAAGAACATTCTGAGTCCAAGCTGCCGAGACTGCCAGGGCCACCGAGTCGATCCTCGAGAGCGACTCGAGATCTGATGTATCGTTCCCTTCCAGTGCAGCAAGTTCATCGGCATCTGCAAAGATGATCGCATAGGAGTAGAGCCGTCCCGGGGTCAGAAGACCTCTTGGAAAGTCATTGGTGGCAAAGGTCAGCCTTTCTGGGTCCGTCATGACACCGTCAGTTGAGATGTTTTGCCAATCGCCAAGCGAGCCATTGTCATCCTCAACTTCATCCTCCTCGTCACCCACGATGTCAGAGTCTGAAACATTCCGGCCCTCACTCAGAGATTCGTTGTCCCACATCTCGGTTGTCGATGTGGTCGTCACACTAGTGGTCGACGTCGTTGTGGTCGTCTGCGTTGTCGTTGTGGACATTGTCGTGGATGTCGTGGTGAAGAAGGCCAAAAACCTCGTCGCACTACAAAGAACATACAGCAAAAAAACATGACAGCTTCAACATGCCAATGCTTGCACCGAACCATGCTCTGCAGCACACCGCACACCCTGTCAAGAAGCGCTAGAACCTCAAACGGCGCCACATGCTCCACCAGCAGGAACCGAGATGCCCAAGTGCTTGGCCTCGTGAAGCAGCGCTGACAGACGCTTCATATGTGCATGGGCGGGGGGGCCGGGGGAGGGGGAGGGAGTTGCTTGCTGAATCAGGCAGTCGTCATACCTCAGCAACTTGGCAAGTCCAGGGGTGCTGAGGAATTCGAGCTTGAACACAAAAAAACCCTTCAACGTCAATTGTCATGGCAAACCCTGCCCAAGGTGTTTCTGAGTTTGGCCCGGCATCAAGTCATGGGCTCTGCTACGGGAAAAACGATTCCATAACACATGATCGTGCAAGTAAGATAGTACGTGCTGTGCAGGCACCCGGCGGGCGAAAACAACGAAACAACCGATCAAGCAGCAAGAGATTGTAATGGAACATGCTCCGTTCGCAAAACTGCAACCTTCGCAGAGGCTCTTGCAATGCAACATGTCTCCTGATGGCTGCGATGCAGCTGTCATGTGGTATGGGTCCTCCAACACATTATGGCACTTGGAGGTAACGATGTCTGAGCTCCCAGCACACTGCACCCTCGCGTCTGGTCCACATGTGCGGTGACCATCCCAAGCATTCCCACATCGGAAGCCACCGAAACCTTGGCATGATCCCTCTCACACTTCCCATGTCTACTCGAAGTTTCGCTGCAAGCATCCCATGAACCGATCGGATGCCTTTTGTACGACCCACCTATCAAATCAATGCGGTGCTGGGTAGCTCCCGCTTCCGTCTCCCATGGAACTGCGATGGAAATTGCAGGCCTGGCACCTGACACGGGCAAGAGTGATGTGCTCGCCTCAACACTGCACGGAGTTCATCATCCTTTTAGGACTGGGATAGGGGAACAGAGTGATGCTGATTGACAAGGGCCTGCAACCACCCGCACTTCAATTGTTGCGTTTCCTGCATCTGCAAGTGAATCCGACTGCCGACTCACCGATAGCCCAAATATGTAGCGGCCCTTGGCTGACACATGAGTACTTGATAAATTAGCAGCGCACGGAGAATCCGAAGGCTCCATGCTGCAAATGCTACGCTTTCCAATGCCGGAACTCTTACTTGCGGGCAAAAGAAAGATAGAGGTCCAGGGGTAGCCTGCATACGGCACCAGTGCTGCTCAAAGCTCTGTAGCGAGTTGACCACCATGTACGTTCATCAGCGCACCATTCACACCACTGCCATCTGCTCTAGCAAAGTTCCCTTCGGCAAAGTTTTGCACATTGCAGCTTCCAGCACCGTCAAGCGGGGCGCAGGACCAGTTGAACACCAACTCGGCATCCCGCGTCCAGTCATCCCGAGATTGCGATGCATTCAACACAAAAGGGCAGCTGGCGCCGACCTCGCTTGGGCCCTGAATTTTCGCCACGGGTGGCTGCCTTGAAGCCACTGTTAGATTGAAAGTAATATTCGGCCGTCTCATCACAGTTGTGCCTTCATACTGGACGAGCACTCTGAATTGGTGGGCTGTGTTGGGTGGAAAAGTGAACGGCGCAAACCTGAGGGTGTTCGGTGCGTTGGAGATATCAGTCAGATTCTGCACCGTCTGCAGGCTGTGCCAGATCCTGCCGGCATCAGGTTTATACTCCCACTCCACCTTCACGTTCAGCGAACTGGTGTTCAGAGGGTCAACACATTCCGACAGCTTGTTGGACAGCGTCATGATGCTGAATATGGTCTCCTCCTGAGTCGAAACATGCTGAACCTTAGGTGAAGTAGCCACCAAGACAGGCAGAGGCTCCTCCTCCTTAAGGACAGTCACCATGCCTGAGGCGCTGGTTGTTGCACCAAGCCAGTTGGAGACCTGAGCGGTGATGTTCACATGGATCGGAACCTTTGCATATGAAATTTCGCCAAGTACAATGCGGGCCCGCTGTACGGCCACTGAGAAATTTTCTGGCGGAAACTCGAGGGCACGGGAACCTTCAGCATTTGCGGCATCGACCATCGCCTGTAGAGAGTCTCTCACCACCGTGAAGGTTGGAAGGTTAATGGACCACTTCACCTGTAGGGGACGTCCTGCACCTCCTCTGGACCCCAGGATCGAGAAAGTCACGCGACTGCAGGACTGAACTGCAGTTGGATGCGAGAGGCGGGGCGTGACTCGCCCCATTGCTTCTGCCTCCAGCACAGCTTGAAATGGCGGCGAATCCAAAAATGCTACATTTCCCATGGGCTCAAAGCCGGCCGGAGAAGTTACGAGGATCTGTCCCAACTGTGCCGTTGCGCCCTTGCCAAATCTGATTTCCAGCTGGCTGGCATTCACCCATCGGCAATGAGGAAGATGTCCAAGCGACTCCCAGGTTTGGGTTGAAAACGCTGCAGGGCGACAGCCTGTGCCGTCCGAAGGAGCGGTAAAGCGGGCTGGCACATTGAACCCAAAGAGCACTGAATTGAAAGGCTCTCGCACTGTGGCGGACAAGAGTTTGAGTGACACTAGGACGGTTTGAGTTGTTGTAGTGGTCGTCTGCGTCAGCGAGGTTGCAGTGGTGGATGTTGAGTTTAGGATAGCTGGATCAATCTCCTGGATTTGGAGTGCGGCAAAGACAAGAAGATTGAAAGTCTCAGTCACCCTCTGCGGAGAAGTACTTCTTCTGGCAAGCTCCTGTGACAAGATGGCTTGGAAACTGCTGCTGTCCACCAGCACCCGGTGACCCGCAACAAGAACGTGTCGGAACTCAGCGCCGAGGTCGACCGTGTACAACACGTGCCAAGAATTCTCTGTGGGAAGCACTGTCACATTCAACTGCCAGACGGCTACGCCCAAGGCTTCAGACAAGCTAACTTCGCTGGCAAGCTCCACGGCTTCATCATCCACCCGGTCTGCTACAAAGTCAAAATGTCCAGAAATGCGCGCTGCAAGGAGTGATATGGAAGTGGTCGTGGAGGCTGTAGCTGTAGCTGTTGTAGTTGTAGTTCGAGTTTCTGTGATGTTTGAGTCATTAACATTGTCATCTGCCTGGCCACATGGCAGTACTGTGCACATTCTGCACATTTTTATGTCAAGAGATACAATTCCTTAAGCCTACAAGATTCTGCAAGCCCTCGGATCATCCTAGGAGGAAAGCAAGTTCTTGAACGTAAGGGAGCATGGAGCACCGTAGTGGCCGAAGTTTTGGTTGCATCTACTTAACGCAGTGAGGCTATCGCTGCACAAAAATTCAAAAACGCCCCGCATTCTCGTATAGAGTCTAGACTCTAATTAGACCGTACAGAGGCAAGAAGAGCCTATCCAGGCCTCGTTTGAGGAAGACGCGTTGTCGAAATCGTCATTAACTGCGACCTCTCCGATCCGCCTGGAGTCAGCGACCCTCCGCACCGCGAGGAAGTAGTCAGCTTTTCCGGCTGCCTGGCGAGATGGGACAGGGAGAAAAAACAACACGTGACACGTGCCAAACAACTCTGGAGGCTCAACCAGGGCAACTTCGGCGCCTCGTCTTGCTCGGTGCTCTCTTGCAGCCTAGGCCCACGCCCGCTACAAACAACCTCCCACTGCAAGTTCTACACATCTGTTATTGATTTACCTAGCCATCATTCTCTCGCTTCTTTTCAGAAGGCCAGCAACAAGACAGGCTTGACAATGGTGACTGGCCAGGGCCATTTCAGTCCTAGCCACAGCTTCTGGCCTTGTCCAAGCCATGCTATCCACAATATGTGCACCAGAGACCTGAGTAGTTCTGCTGTGCAAAGCTGGCTCATCCACGCCTATAGCATCTCTTGCCTGTGCGTTAAACTGCCTACTTGTCCGACTAGTCCTCGATTGTCGTACATGTCTATGATGCACCTGATGTGACAACAAAGGCCCCCACCGTACCTCAGCTGCTGCTACAAGTGCACCATCTGCAGGAGCACGATTAATGCAGCGTACTAGCAACAAGGAGTGCCTGACTGTCCTGGTTCATGCCGTGAAAAAAAGCCAGAAGAGCTTCGGCATTCCAAGTGACAATCATTGCCGAAGCCAAATACGCTGCTCAAGCAGCGGGGCATCCAGACTCTGGGCTATGACTGGCCGAAGAGGATGTAGTGAAACATGGCCAGGGTGCTGTGCATATTGGAGTTCAGCAATTTCAACCGACCACTTATCTCATGACGGGTTGCAGGCACATGCGCGCTGACTCACATCAGGGACGTCTGGGGACTATTGCTGCATCAGGCTGAATCAACCGCTTACTGATGCAAGAGGTCAGCGTATCTCATGCTTTGGCAGATGTAATCAGCTTTTTACATGTTGTTTTCTTGAATTCGACTTGATGCTGTCACTGCCCACTCAGGCACAACGCACGGTCGCCACTCCCCGCAGCAATACACATCACATGCAGTCACCGCTAAGCTCCAGACCTGACCTGACGGCTCTGCATAACCTTCTTGTGAACAATCTTCAAAATGCGCTTTCAGAGAAGTTGCAGACCCTCAAGCAGACTCCAACTGCCCTACAGGCCTCCATGCAGCCGTGTGGCTGCAGTCCTTGCACCACAACAAGCAGCATCAAGCTCATGACAACATGCTTACAATGTGTGTTGAAAGTGACACATGTTCCGCAATTGCTAACTTGGAACGTTTGCTTTCTCGAGGTCCATGTGTGTGTGTATATATAAGTGTATATGGGGGTTTACGAAATTAGGGGTACCATATTGGGGGGTCCTTATGATAAGGGAATCCTACTACTTGGTGTCCATTTTTAGGGTACCCCTACTTTCGCAAACCCCCATATGTGTGTATGGGCCGTGCAAGTGCTATAGCAGCCTGCTATCTTGCTTTACAGCGAAGTATGAGTCAAAACGCTGTCTGTTCATGGTTTCTTTCATGGGGATTCAGGCAGGGTCTCCTGACCCGGCCTGACCCGCGACGTCGTCGCACAGTGGGCGCTCTATGGGACATGATGCTACGCCCAAATTCGTTTGAATGAAGGCTTCAAAGCACGTCTGATATCTTTGCAGGACGCGCAGGGTCCTACAGCATGTTCTCTTTCCGTCAAGTCAAAGGGCACGGGTCAGGGTGGCACCCCCACCCGCTCTGGGCCTGAAGCTGAAGGACAGCAGTGGATCGTCCCCACTTCATGCACGCAAAAAGAATACAGCAAACTACAACAGCCAACCAGTCAGCGAAATCGCTCTGTGGCGCCATGTTCTGCGCCACCCCCCCCCCCCCCCCCCCCAGCCCCCCGCCCCCCCTTATGTGTCTCTTAGGCGTCGCAACTGTCCGAGGCGCGCACACACAAGAGCCTGCCAGAAACAAAACAGCAAAACAAGGAACCCCAACACAACAACCCCACGCAAGCAGCCAAAGAGGCCCGAACCTCACAAAGTCAAGCCAATCATTACAATCGGTCAAGCTCAAGCCGGGGTGTGTTCCGAGATGAGCTACCGAGTAGAATGGTTATATACCTCTCTCACCCTTTGAACTTCTTTCCCAGGCCCTTGGCCTGCTCTCCCACTTAGAAAACCCCCCTGCATGACTACTTGACAAAGACCGTCATGAGGCGTGAAGTCCTATTGAATGTATTTTCAGAACTCCTGATCAGTGATGGCTGCCCCTGTGATGCCTCAGCGGCAGCTACAAACGACCACACTGCAAAACGGCGCCAGCTGCAGCTACGACTGCACGAAATAAGGCTGTTACCGGAGGAGCGGTACATGATGAGCCTCTAGCTGCAGACTTCCGCTGCCTGATAGAAACGTTCAGCAAGGGAGCTATGGCTCGGAACACACGCAGTTTCTCGCAAGCGTCTCGCAAGCGTCTGGCAAGTGTCTGAAGGGCATTGAAAATGCGCTGTGCTGACATGTACTCACATCGTCTGCAGATATCGACATCCACTTCCAACCGTTTCAAGCCAATGACGTCAATGCCGCTCTGGAGTCTGGGGATCCTGCACTGTCGCTCCAGGCGGCACGGCAACGCTACATGAGAAGGTTGGCGCAGGCCTGCCACACGGTTGCGCAGTGTACACAGTGCTTCGGACGACAGGCCATGGCATTGCCGAGGGCAAACTTTCAGTGCCGCATGACAGCACTCCCCAAACGGCACCTGACTTCTGCTGAGGACATGGGCATGGCGTTTGAAAACCGGAGCTTTGTCCGGTCTTGCTGGCCAACCTGCATTCGGCCAGTGCATGTCTCCAAGTGTTCATGAGCTACACGGCCCTCCCATTAATCGAGTAACAAATACATGTGCCCTGCGTGCGCCTGTATGTACTGCGCGTGTGCCACAGCTGACCGAACACAAGGAGCACAAGGAGCGGCACAACCACTCTGGTAACTCTGGTAGTACGGCTGCCTGGCAAGCATACTAACATGCTTGCACGCAGGTTTCACTCGCATCAAAACGTGAAACAGGTGGACAGAGATTTGAGATGAGATGACAGCATATTGTAACAGCATATGACAGGCTGCTGACAACAACTGCAGCGATCCGCCTTCGGCATGTTTCGACGCAAGGCTGCAGGACTTGTGGCATGGCAGTCAGTTGCTTTCTGTGGGCGTGTCACGCCACTTGCAGAAGAATCAATCTGCAATGATAGTCCTTTCTGACCCGACTTACCTTGAGGAGTTGTTGCTGACTGCAGCACATGATTATTGAACCACTGCCGTAACTCACAAACAAGAAAACAAAACACATGTCTTTCAACATCGGGAAACTTGCTCGGCCATGCCATATGATACCATGTCTTGCCGTGCCAGCAGCTTGAAGCTCGGATGAGCTCGAAGGCACACAATGCACACAGGTTTGCAGACATGGCTTGGAGGCCGGCGAGCCTGCCCGCCAAAGCTTCTGACAGCTTCAAGCACCGAGAGCATTCTTTTCTGGTCAATTCAGTGAGTGGATGGTAGTGGCACGGGGCCTTCCCTACCGAAAATGGCAGCTCCTGACCGGATGGGGCTGTCGAAAACTTGGCTCTCTCTGGCTCTGGACTGCACCCTGGCGTGAGCGCTGCACGTTGCCGTGCAATCAGCTCCAGTCAGCTTGTCCACTCGCAGGCATTGCCTTCATTTCCTCCTGAGGTCAGATGAAAAAAATCTCAGGAGCCCTTGACATGCCATGTGCTGCTTCAAGTGGGCAGACGCGCATTGGTTCCTCCTTGAGCTTGAGTTGACCTGCAGCTCTGCCACAGCGTTGACCGTTTAGCCACAGCAGCTCAGAAATTCAGTGCAAAGTGAACTTGGGACAAATTGCGGAACGCTTCGTTCAAAGAACTGCGAGCCCACTTCCATTAGGCACACGACGCGGCGAATAGCTACCTCAGAATTCGATCCAATGTGGCAAGCAACTATTGCGCTGCAGAAGAACATCCAGGGAGGTGACGGGTGGCAACGGCTTCCTGCCCCTTCTCACTCTCCAGATGTGCCATAACCTCAAGATCACAATCAGCGGAGACAGACTCTCCAAGTAGAGCCGTGCGATTGTCTTCTGGAACGTGCTTGCCAAAGCCATGCAGTGGATGGACCTTTTTTCTGACCAGCAGGGAAGCATATCAACACCACAACGGTGCGCAGCCATGCCACGCAGGCCTTGCCAAGCGACAGGCATGCTGGCATTCAGGCATGTACGAGGCCCCTCGAATGCTCGCGGGTGGAGCTCGAAAACTCGAGTTGCGAAAAGGCTACAGAGTGCTTGAAGGTCATCAGTGCTTCACGGTTGAGAGATCAATTCCAAGCTCCTTCTGCTTTGGCACCAGAAGCCTGAGCTTGAATGCCCAAAAGAATCGTGCGCGCGCTCCGGTCCGAAACGGTCCACCCAACAACTCCCGAACATCCCCGAACTCTGTACCCCCAGGCCTCATTCTTCCGGGGTGGTTTGGGGCATGTTGCTCTTGGCCTCGCTTCCCAAAAGATCTGGGGATGCTCAAGGTGACGAGGCCAGACCCACAGCCGCTTACGTCAGACACTTGCCCAACTCGAAACCAGACTTGTTCTCGCCACTTGGCCAACAGTAAAACTGTCCAACAAAATCAAACGTCACTGGACCAAGGATCGTCCGATTACGGGAACTCTCAAGGTGTTGCAACCCACTTGCTTTTCGAGATGGCAAAAGGGTTTTGTGGTATTATGTGGTATTAGTAGCTACCTGGCTTGGGGTCGTTGACCCTAGAATCTGTACGACAGGCTCTAAACCCAAGGAGTGTCTGCCAAAAGTACACACCCCCAAAGTCAAACCTGTCCTGAAGCCCAAGCACTACCCCAAGGCTTTAAGCCTTCTGCTTTCTGGTGCTGAGTAGCGCAGGTTCTAAGCGACCAAAACTTAAAAAAAACAACACTGCTTGCCATTGCCAAACAAGGCTTGCCAAGGGAGCCCCCAATCCCTTCTGAAGCAGACCTACGAAATTCAAGCCTAATTGCCGCTAGCTAGCTTTATGCTTACTATGCTCTTAGTTAACCTTTGCCCTGAACGAGGAACCGATCAATCAGCGCCTCTGCGTCACCAAGCTCGATTGAATTGACTTGCTCGGCCGATATGCCACCGAAGGTTTCCCACCTAAGTCGTGAAATCTCATTGGCTTGCAGAGCTTGTGTTGAATGCTCTACTCACAGAATGCCATTGCGCATCTTTGGCGAAGTACAGAGGAATTTCTTTATCGCCAAGGAACAGCTTCTCAAGGATACTCGCTTGAACAACCCCGAGGTCCTTGGCATTCGCGTAGGAGACATTGCCCTCCTCAGCTCAGTCGATTCCTTTAGCAAAGGCCTTCACAAGCACTTTAAACAAAAACAGAAGCAGGTGCAAAAGCAACAAGGCGTCATGTGCGCGACACGCAGCGTCAAGGCTTCCAACAAGGCAACATGTCGTCATCACACTTAGCCACCACCCCACAACACTAAGCTTCATGGAAAGCTCAACAGCATGGGACAACGAGAACAGCAGTGGCAACCACAACAGCAATCTGAATCACCGCCTCGATTTTTGACCGTCAGACCTGTATGGACTGAACAAATTTGACCGTGAACCCGCGAGTCATGCATTGGTCAAGGGGGCCACTTGGCCACATCCAATCTGGACATGCAAGGGTACGCAGCAGTAGAGTCTAAGCTTTGACGATCAGAAGCGGCATCCATCAAAAGCAGATGTGAAATGATGTGACCAAATGGAGCCCATGCATCCTATTTTATGCAGGAAAGCGATTTTTTCAGGCAGGAGCTCACAGTATGCCGAGCTGCTCCACCATAGCATACCATGGCATACCGACTTCGGAACTTGTCTGGAAACATGTTCTCCAACCGGTTCTCGACTTTCTTCAGCACCTCAAACAAACAGATTTATGCCAGCGTAGACTCTAAACACCAAAGGACCACGCATTATGTACAGGCAGCCACTTCAGCTCCAGACGTCCACCGCGTACTACTTAGTACTGCAAAAGACGATTTTTCAGCTACTGCAGCTCTGGACGTCCTCCACATCGAGTGCGCTACAAACGCCGACCTTTCCAGCCACCAAAGCTACAGACGTCCTCCGCATACTACGTTTGCACTGCGAAAGTCGACTTGCGCCACTGGAGCTCTCAGAGCAACCCTGCCGGAACCTCCGAATGGTGGATCCCCAATAGCTTGCTGCCTCGAACCTGCGAATCGTGGATCCCCAATAGCTTGCCGCAAAACACGATAGCACGACAGCCGATACTTGGAGGAGCCGAACGTGCTGCGCCTGCCAATGAAAACAACGTTTCGGGAGCCCCCAAAATTTCAGGACCTAGGCGAGAGCACGATTGCCTCGAAACGCGAATAACTCCTCAACTCGAGCGAGAGAGCCCTCGTCCCGGCGGGCACCGCGGACCTGCGCGTGCCGTGAGGGTCCGGCAATCCTTGACGCTCTATTTGCGGCGCCGCCACGCTTGATGCGAGGCTACAAGAAACCACTACACCAGTAGATGGAAAAAGTGTGTGTGTGTGTGCATATACGTATGTGCAGATGCAAAATACACATACATGTGTGTATATATATATACATATATATATATATATATCATTATATATATATAATGCACATACACATATACCTACACGGGTACATACACATCTATACACATATACACACATATATACACATGTATACACATGTATACACATATATACACATATATACACGTATATACGCATATGTACACATATATACACATATATGCACATATATACACATACATAGACACCTATATATACATATATATATATATACACACATATATTATTATATATACATTCCTCTAGGGGGGCTTACGTAAGGGTAAACGAGTGTTGGATTGAGTCACTTTTTGAGCGCAATCGCACTTTTTCGACGTGCGGACTTACATTTGTCGAGCCCTTAAACATCGCAAATCATATGCTTTTGGCTTCGTGGCAGGCGCGCGGCATTTTAGGCCGCTGGATGGGTTCGCTGCACGTGGCCAGACTAAGAGGATTTGCAACTCCACTTGCGATGTTGGAAACGCGCTCCCGCCTAAGCACCGCAAGCATCGATGTCGCCATCTTCGGAACTGTCGTCGCTGTTGGACGTCTGGGTGCGCGAAACGCACAAAACTGTTGTCGTTTTAACCTGAGGCTGCATTCTCATGATTGATAAGGTGGCTGGATAAGACGTCTCCTGGTGGTCTGCTGGTGATCTGGTGCTGGGCTCCTGCTGCTCTCCTGGCGATCTCCTGGCATGCTAGTCTCTTCGTGCTCTGCTGCTGGGCTGCTCGTCATCGTGTTCCTCGTGTCCGGAGAGATTGACAGGCTCTTCGTGTCCCCATGTGGTCTCTCACTGCTTGCAATGGGGTCTACGCTAGCATAAATTATCTATAAATAGCAGTGTATGTATATAGGTATATACATATGTGTATATATATATATATGTACAGGGGTCGTCAGAGAGTTAAGGCGAGCAACTTGAAACTTCACATCGCCAGTCTTATCTCTCATCTCCAGGAAATTTTCAAGAGCCATCTCGCATATCGCATCTGCGCTTGGCTTTCTTTCTGCCTCCACAGCCGCAAAACAGGCCGCGAAATTTTCTCCGGTGCACTTCTCCACAGAGACCTTGCCACCGTCGCAGCAATACTGGTCGATGAGCTTGTTGAGCCACAATGTGTCCTCAAAGCCGCAATTGCACCCCTGGCCGAAGAAAGGCACCATAGCATGGCAGGAGTCGCCGATGAGCAGCACCTTGCCCTGTGATGCCCACTTGGTTGCCCGAACAGTTCCTAGGATGCCAGTTGGATTCCGGACGATCTGATTTACCAGGCTGTCCAGACCACCGACATGAGGGATCGCGTCCGAATAGTACTTCTCACAGAACTGCGAGCATTTGGCTCGGCCCTCGGGTGTGTCTGTGAAAGCTGCAAAAGCCTCCTCTCCCTCATTGTCCATATAGATGGTGCCAGTGAAGGATCCGTCTCGATTTGCCAAGGCCATTAGCATGTGGTCACCTCGCGGCCAAATGTGCAGACCTAGCCGGCCATCGCATGCTTCGCCATGCTCACCGGTGGCTCCGAATTCTTTGCCTACCTCCGGCTTGGGAAAAAGCACCTCTTTGTACCCTCGGGTCAGGAGGTCCTCCGTAAACTCTGTAAGGCCACACCGCCGCAGCGCATACCGAACTCGAGAACCTGCACCATCGCAAGCAACCACTGGGCAGTCTGCGTGGACCTTCAAGAAACTTCCACCTCCCTGCTTGAAGTGCAAGCAACTTCCAACGCTGCCCTCTGTCAAGAAATCAGAGCTTTCTAACAGGGCGTGGTCAAAGTGAAGATCTGCACCGGCATCAGCAGCTGCATTCAGCAGGAACTTGTTTAGATCCAATCGCGAGACGGAGTAATTGTGCTCTGTGTCATCTTTTCCATACCGTTGGAAAATGACCTTCTCGTCAGTGTGAATAATCCGGCCCATAACTTTGGTAGTGAGATTAGAGATGATATCGTCATAGAGAGTTCCGCCCAGAGCTTTGATGGCTCGGAGCCCGCGGCTCGTAACACTCAAGTTAATGGATCTCCCAGCACTGGGTATAGATCGGATGTCTTGGTAACGCTCATACAAATGCACCTTGAAGCCCTTCTGCAACAGGACCACAGCACACAATGAGCCCACCAGGCCAGCTCCAATGATGATGACGTGTCCCTGGCCTCCTACGGAGGTCTCCTGACAGCTTTAACTTGACGTAGAATGACGTAGAGCCTAGAACTTGGAACTTCGAACTACACACCCGCATGACAGATAGATCATGCGAAAAATCACTGTCGCCCACCCGTCCTTGGCTGCGGCAAGGTCTTCCTCCGCTAGCCTGGGAACAGCTGCTCTGGCCCGCTCTGCGGGAGTGTTGGCCAAGTCTTCGCGAGCCATTGTGTCCAATTTGTGTCAATTGTGCCGGATGTGTCCAAGGTGTCAGATGTGTCAGCTGCTCTGGACTCTCAAGTTCTGGACTCTGCACGACTTTGTCTTCACGTGGTCAGGTGATGGTGGGTCGGCTGCCCCCTCGTCCTTCGGAGCTTGTGTTGCTGTTCATGGCTTTAGGTCATGAGCTTGATGCAGCGGCTCGGCTGGATGCACAAACCCACAAGGATCCAGCAAGCATCGCAAGGGCAGATAAAAACAAGAGATGCGCGCACTGCGGTGGAGCTTGGGTGTCAGCTTCTTTGGGAGTCAGCGTCATAGGAGTGCCGCACCAATCACACTTGGCCTCCACGATCTCCTCACGAGGATGCGACCGTTTCAACCCTTCATCCCTCCTTTTCAAGTCGCTGCCGATCACTGCAGCACGCAAGTCCTCGTTCTTGAGGATGTTGAGCACCTGGTTGCTTCCAGGGGGCCGAAATCCCAAGCGCAGGTCCGCATCCTGGCCTCTTCCTTTCCGAGCATCATCACGGCCGTCGCCAGCCTGCAAAAGCCAGTCAGTCAGCCAGGTCCCAGAGCACCCAGAGCTGACGGTGGCTTAGGGCATCTGAGGGCGAGGCCGTGACTTGGAGCACTTGCAGCTGAAGGTTGGTGTCTGCTCAGCTTGAAACTCACCACGAAGCTCTCGCATCATGTGCTGGCAGATGGCCTTGGCGAGCTTTCAACGTCTTTCAACCAAAGACATGGGCAAAGTGAGCTTGTTGAGCTTCATGCATCCGGACGTGAGGAGCCATTTGAGTCCATGTTGGGAAAGGTTTTGATGTTGGTCTCAGTATGTCTCAGCTATCAGCTTCTGCGGTTCGACTGCAACTCGTACTGTGACTCACGCTGTCACCTGCCTCAACGACAGCAACTTCCGTTTCCTCCCAACCTTACCAGGGCATCATCGGCTGAGGCTTTAGGCGTTTGCGAGCGAGGAAACATTTCTCAACAAAAACAGCACAAGGCACCTGGTAGCAGGGTGACCAGCCAGCCTTCTGCAGATTTGACACGCCCTGCCTTCCAGGACTTCCAGCTTGCCAGCTCTTGCCCGCAAACTTCTTGCGAATGCAACAGCATGGTAGACTCTTAGTAGACTTTAACGTGGACTTTAAAGTAACTTTAAAGGACTTTGACTTTTGTGCCTCCGCATCCCATTCCACGCTGAGGCCCATCGAGGCGGGAGTCTGTTCACTCATGGCCAGATACTGCACCACATCCTCGGCAATCTCACCACACCTCAGGGCAATGGTGCCCGTGTAAGGCCTCTTCCAAAACGGATGCGTCCGGGTAAGGCGGAGTGTGGCCGCCTGGCTCATCCCAACGAGCTCCGGCACAGAGGCAGCGTCTGCACTTGGGTACCCAACCATACCCCGGCAAGTCAAAGCTGAAGATGCCTCCGTAATTATCGTCCCGATTGGGCCAGCTCCTTGTATCCGCATCTGCAGGCTCTCGCCCTCGTCTCTGCCATTTGCAAGCAGTGCTGTGGCCATAAGCGACCGACCTCATATGATACACGTAGCCAGTCAGAGTAGAGTCTGTAATTGCAAAAACAAAACTTCACAAACAGGCGGGATGTGAAACTTGCACCAGCACTTGAGGCATGTTCAAGCCAAGCGGCCTAGCGCAATGGAGGCCATTGGAGAGCAAGCGTGCATACCTGTTACCTTCTGCACCAGATCTGTAGCAGAAATTGCACGAACTGAAACGTTTCCACCCAAGTATCTTACCAAACGATCCGGCTCACCGTCCGGAGCAGCAGCCTGCTCGGCCGGCTCTTTCAAGCTTGCTTGGAGGCGACATCGTTTGCCCTTTCGGGCCTGAGACCTGCAGAAACCTGCACCTAATACCAGAGCTCCGCCAGTTGCTACTCGGTACCTTTGCTGGGGCTTCTCTGCCACGACGTATCTGTGCGATTCACTCCCTCGATGAACCACTGGCTGTGCAACCAGTCCTCTTGCAAGGATTGGGGAGGATGCAATAGTCAAAGCCATCGTCCGTCGTCCGAAGCCCCTCACTACTGCCTAATTTGACATCTCGCCAGGGCCAAGCCAGCTACGGAATGCAGAGACAGCATGCGTGCATTTAATGTCGGTATCCCGCAAGAGGAGTTGGGGGGGCGATTGTTTGTCACTTCTATGCTTACAACACACATCCTGACATGGAATAGGGGGAGGAGGACCTTGGTGGCACCCACAAGATGGCTGTGCAGACTGCAGCGTCATGGGTGATGTGCTACGCTTTGATGCCGGCACGCTTGTGACCAGCGCATTGGATCACTCTTGTGCGGGTTGCAGCGCGGCACAGGCTCAGTGCAAAGTGCCTGGCCAGAGACACCAAAGAGCTGAAATAATCACGATTGGTTGCATGAAACGATGCGAGCAGTGCTCACTGGCCATGAAACAAGCCACTGGAAAACAACGCGGCCCACCCACCTTTTCTTGCGACTCTTCGTGATGATTTGGAACTGACCTCATCGAGACATCACCATGAGGCCGTTCAAGCTTGCAAGTGACCACTGTCGAGGAAGCACATCTTGCGCGCCAAGCTGACCACCCAGCCCATTTTTGCGCGGCCTTTCTTCTGATACTTCTTTTTCCGGCACTGCAACGGTGCCGGCTCCTCGACCCAAACATCTTAGTCTGAATCGACAGCCGCATCATTTGGTCCGCCTCTACATCCTCCAGTGGCAGCACTTGCCTGAGCCCGATATGTCCGATACGTGATGCCTTGCAAAATACCCATCAAGTCCAGATGAAGCTCAGGCTGCTGGCCACAGCGGGTGTGACGGCAATGCACCCATCACATTTTCGAGACCCGCGGGGTGCGCCTTGTTCGCACATAGAGCTTCCAACCATGATTCGTGCTTCATTCTTTCATCATGCAACCGTGAAGGCGTTACAATGGCGCGTGACTGTGACTGTTGAGACCTTTTTGGAAGTCTCACTCGCCGGAGAACGACAGCGGCAAGCGCCGCTTGCGGCTTTGGCTGTCAGACTCGTCTTCCGCAGCCTCTGCAAGCTCGCCAGAGTTATGGCTACGCAAGGGCTTGTGATGTTGAGAAGCACACGGCAACACCTAGAAGGCATTGCAAGAACGGGAGAGGCAAAATTAGCGAGAAATGACCACTGGAGGACAGCCGGGTCCCTGCACACAAGTTCAACGGCTTGCTCATAAGAGAGTTCATTCAAAGCCTTCGAAGGAGCCGAAAAGGTAGGGGATACTTTCAAAGCAATCAACTCGTCTGGCCGGCATGCTGAACTCGCCCTTCTATCCCTTTGTTTGATCCTTCTGCAACCAGCTCATGTCTCTCAAAGCCTTGAGTGGCTGCCTATCCTAACTTGTCGCCGGGGCCAAAAAAGTGTCGAAAACATTCGAACCGGCGACTTCACGTCGTTGCACATGCTCATGACCATTCATGACCATGAACGTGCTCCCCACCATGCTCAGGTCCCCCCAAAAATCGCGGACGAGGCCTGCGGCGCTCGCCGCCGCAATCGGCACGGAAGGGGCGGCGGAGGTGGCAACCTGACTCCACTGAACTTTGCCGAGCCATCGGGTATCTGCAGCTGATGCCCTGGATGTCATGCAAAGTACCATTGGGCCATTGGGTCGCAGCTTCGATGGAGGAGCGTCTTGCAAGATGGAAGTCATTGCGATCACCACCTGAAGAAACATTCCCACCTCCCGCAGCCGAAACGATCTGCCCCATGCCGCATGACAGTTTAAAAACGTCGAAGATTCTGAGAAAGGCCTTGGCAGTGAGGACTGCATCAGCCAGCGCGGAGTGCACCGTTCTCCACACCTCAGCTACTACAAGTTCGTCTGCTCATCTCGCTGAGCCGGTGCCAAGCCGCAAAGCCAGACAATGATGTCAGATGGGTTTTTTCAGTGCCCCAGGCTAAGGCCCTGACGCTGCCTGGACCACCGTCTGTGATGCCAAGCAAGTAGCCTCAACGGAGGCTGCGCATGCCGCGCTCGGAGACTGTGCTCACTTGACATGCGGGCCCTTCCATCTGCGAGCCGAGCAGCATGCTGTTGTCAGATCTCTTGGGCTTGAGGGCCTCTTGAGCTCGAAGGGAGGCAACTGAACGCGTTCCCATGCCCCACGTCTTCATTTCTTGCAACACAGCGCAGAGTCCAGCAGATGACCGCTCAGAACTCAACACGAAGCAGGAGGAAGATGCTAAGATGCTAAGCAAATGCCTCAGGGCACCGAAGGCCTCGGCGCTGCCTTGGTGACAAGCTTTGGGGGGTGACAAAGCAAGGCGTGCAACGGTTGAACAACCCGGAAACCAGTAGAGTGCAAGAGTGCACGTCCAGTGCTCAGGTAGTGGCAAAAAAGATGTTGCCGCAACCTGTGCCAGCTCTTCTCTGTGATGAGTGCAAGCACAGCGAAGGGGTGGGCCCACCCCCTTCATCGGGAAACTACGGGTCGAATCGGGGGTTATGAGGCCGACCCATTGCACCTCGGGCCTAATCCCTTCCCCCTAATACTAAAACCCCCCCTAATTTTAAATATTATTTTCCCCGGACCCCCCCGGCAGCCAGCCCAATACTAAACCTGTTTGAGAATTAGGGGGGGGGGGTTGAGGGCCTTCGCCCTTGAGTTCTTGAGTTGAGCCATTATTAGGTTTCGGAATTCAGGTTTTAGGATTTAGACCCCCCCTAATTTTAAATATTTTTCGGGCCCAGACGAATTTCAGAATTAGGGGGGGGGGGGGGGTTTTAGTATTAGGGGGAAGGGATTATGCCTAATTGGAGAAGAGGCACAGCATCTGCACAGAAATCAAACTTTAACTTGAGCTACACGTGGATTGTACCTTAACTGTCCACACTCGAGCTGGTCTTCCCTGCGTCCAGTGCTCACCTCGCCTGTCGCCACAACTCAGAAGCCCGCAGCGCTGCAAATCGTTGACGAGCATCCTCGTGGCTTTTAGGATTTCAGGGAGTTCGGTGCAAAAGCAGCGGCCCAGCTTTGCAACATTCTTGCAGGAAACGCCGGCAAGCTAGATGCGCTTCCTTTTGCTGACATCTCATGCCCGCTACAACACCAGCGGATCACCGCTGAAGGCATTAACACCATCCGTCAAGTGCGCGGCCTGAGATCGCGCAGCTAGCTCACGTGTTGAATTTAGCTTGCGGCACACCTGACTGTGCCATCATCCGTTTTGGGACGGCATGGGATGGCCCTAGGTCACTAAGTTGACAATGCAACTCACCTTCCATTTGATGGCAGGCGGTCAGTGAAACCTTTCTTGGAGGACGAAAAAGTGTGGGTGTATCACGTTGTATCAGACTATATGACTATATCAGACTCCACCCAGCTCCAGCACTGCATTTACTGCACGGCACTGTCAGGGCGCCGTTTTGGGACGAGCCTCCTGGCAAGCCACAAGAGATACACAAGACCACCTTGACCCATTACTGCTGTCCCACACGACTTGCAATCGACGAAGACGCTACGATGCCACTGTGCCTGCGAGACGTCAGGTAGAGCCTTCCAGGCTCTACGGCTCGACCTGAAAAGGTCCAAAAGAAAAGCTTAACATAGACTAGACTAGATGATCACAGGGAGCAGATAGAAGCAGCCAAGGCCACTGCTGTTGCTCTGCTTTCTGTCGGGCAAGCTCAACAGACCTGCAGATTGTCCCAAACGTCTCTGTGGAGCCCCTAATCGGTCAGTCCGCATGCTGACGATGCCTTGGCCGATTTTGAGATGGGACCATGGGCGTGTCTGGCCGCGATGCGGTGATCTGGCCAGTGCAGTCGGCTCTATTCTGCACGGTCCTCTTGCACAACCTAGATGGGCCTACTCAGCCTACTCAAAAGACTCAAAAGACTCCAAAGAGCACCTGTGCCAGGGAAGGCGGCCCCGGAGAAAGCGAACCGACGTGGCCTCCCAGCACCAGGCAGCGAGACTGCGAGACAAAGCAAACGATTGCCAGACGCGCCGCGGACCTTCCCAAGAACTCCACCACTGGCGCATGATCTTCGACTTCTCCTGGGGCAGGTGTGTTGGACATATGTGACATATCCATTGTTGGTCTGTATCTTCAGCCAAGAAGCATTAACAAAATGATTCTCAGAGATGCCCTTGATCGTGTGGCTGGCCGCAACTTGGTGAAGGGCATCAAACCTGCAGGCACGAATCGATGCCACGCCGCACATCCGCCCAGCCCCCGCTGCGGACTGATTGCAAAGCCCAGCTTGATTGTGCGCTGCACGTTACCCCAGTCCGCAACCCTACAGCACTGAGTCGTTGAGGACGAGGGCGTGAAGAAGGGGTGGGAGTGGGGAGGGCGGGAGGGCGGGAGGGTGGGAGGGTGGGAGGGTGGGAGGGTGAGGGTGGGGAGGGTGGAGGGGTGGGGGGTGGAGGGTGGGAGGGTGGGGAGGGGGGGGGGGTGGGAGGTGGGAGGGTGGGAGGGTGGGAGGGTGGGAGGGTGGGAGGGTGGGAGGGTGGGAGGGTGGGAGGGTGGGAGGGTGGGAGGGTGGGAGGGTGGGAGGGTGGGAGGGTGGGAGGGTGGGAGGACGCTGCGAGGGGGATGTCTAAAGTGCTGATTGTGGCCGGTAATGGGCTTGGTCGCGGCGCGGCTGTCGGTTGTCGCGACTGCCGTCTTTTGGGATTTGGTTTGCTCAGAAATTCCCAGTACTCAGAGGGATCACGGACCTGTCGGCCTGGTCCTACACCCCAATACACCCTAAAACCTGTGGGTAGGGAGGGCAGCGTAGGAGCTGTGGGAGCTGGTGGCACGGTGTTGGCTGGTGTTGCTGGGTGACCAGTGAGTCGGGAACATGAGTCGAAAACAGAGTAGACCCAGCCCGCGAACAAAGAAGACCGAGTCAGAAAACAGCACAGCACGATACGGAGAAAAGACGGCGTGAGTCATGCAAACAAGAGGAAGACAGGATTCAAGTGCGTTCATCTAAAACACTGAACCACCTAACCTTAAACCCCAAAATTCATACCCCAAACCACCCTAAACCTTAACCTATCATCATGTTTGTCTAAGCGCCAAGCGATGCCTCTGTTTTTAGACAAACCTGCATATTGTGACGTACATGCTATGTTACCTGTATTCTTTGGGATCTCTTCGTGGCTCTACATGACCATAAAGTCGTTTCTCATATTCGGGGTTGGTGTCCAAGGCATGCGTCGTTGCATGTTTGAATGGGCCCATACCTTGGGCTTCAGCTAGCACTCCATTCCTCATGCAGCCCAATCAATGCCACAGAAAGGAGCCCACTCTTCGGGCTTGTATCGCATTTCTAAATTTTAGGGTTGTCCGGGGGTTCTCGGAGGGGGCTTTTCTGTTTCCGACTTGGGCTTTTGGTTTTCGCCCTTTGTCGAGGTGGCTGGCAGGTGTTTTTCTTGACTTGATGGTCTGGACTAGGTCGCCAAGCTCCCCCGGCCTCTCTGGTTGAGGACGCTTGGAACTAAACGCAAGTCGTTCGGATTTTCGGAGCACTTTTCGGAGTGGCACCGGTCACGGGGCCATGTTGGGCTCCAGGATGGCTCACATGTCAAACTGAACAACTAACATGATCGGCGCCACAGTGGTTCTGAGATGTTCTGAGCTGCGGATCATGTGTCTCCGTGTGTCTCCATGGTATGTTGAGATATCTTGAGCCTGCTTCTGGACTGCGCCATTGTGTCTGCAACTTCGGCGTTGGCTTTGACCTCGTCCTGTTCAGCACACACAAAAAGCCAAACGTTCGAAAAAATGTTTCCAGAGATCCTGGCCTGCATGCGGTCGATTGCGGCGAAGGCATCAGTCTGCACTTCTTGGGCAAACAGCGAAGCATTGCGCACCTGCCTCGAGCGCTGAAACACACCCTCAGAAATACCAAAACTGTTGGAAGCAGCCGCCCAATCAAGGGTCTGACGCCACCCAACGAGACCATCTGCAAGAGTCAAAAAACAGGGTAAAACTGAATGCAGCCCCGAGTTGCTCCGTGGTGTTGCTGAACAGCTGCTGCACCTACAAGGAAGCCAGGAAAACTGCCCCAAGATCATTCAGAAGATCATTCAGAAGATCATTCAGAAGATGAATATCAGTTATTATCCTTGGCATAGCTTCGCCTTACGCATCAGTGCCTCCGCCTCAGCTGCCTCGATCATGGCCGCCCGCTCCTCATCGAAGTCCTGAAAGTGACAAAAACATAGGGGTATCATAGGGGGTATGTACGAGGTCTGCTGATTGCTCGAGGCATCAAGGAACTTCGCAGAACTTTGCAGAACTTCAGACTTCAAGAAAGTCTTTAACAGAAAGCTTGACATCGCTCACATCGCTTCACCCTGTCTATCTGGCACTGAGAAGTGGCTCCCGCTGCAGCTTGTCCAAGCTACCTTAGTGGGTTGGAAGGCTTGGTCACACTTGCAGTCTTGGCAGCGTACCACGCGTTAAAACCTCACTCCATGCTCTTGATCATCTAGATCTACATCCGAATCTTGAATCATGAAAGTGAGTTGAACCCGTGTTGGAGAAGCTATAACCAGGTAGGAAGCAAGGATGATGGATGCTTTTTCCGGCTAAAGCCCACCAAAAGTGAAATTTGCAGGGGGTGCTTCACTCAGCGGTCCCTCAGTGAGAGCCCAACCACAAATCCGGACTTGTGGGGGGACCCGTGCAGTGCGCGTAGAGAACAATCATGATTACCAGAATCCAGGCATACAGAATAAGGATCCTGCCAGTAACAACGTTCATCGAGAAAAAGATAGGACAACCAGCCATTGGCGTCCAAAAGCAGTGTCAGGAACAATTCAGACCTTGCAGTGCATCCTCCAAAAAGGTTGAGAAGCCCAATGCTTGCTGGCAGCCCCCCCCCCCCGATCGCTTCCCCCACCCGAGTATGATTTCTGGAACCCTCCCTCTTTGCCGGATTACCGCTTCCAAGTTGAACGAATTACGTTTCATCACGTAGGGGAGGGGCCCTCTTGGGAGCCGGAGAAAAGTTGCGGCTTTGGCCCTGTGGACTTTTGGGCTTTAGGATCCAGGGTTGCCAGGCCGGCCGGAGCTTCAGGTCAGAACAGTAGAACCTTGTAGAGGTCTCGAACCCCAAGCCACATTCTACGGCATCAGAATAAGAAATCATGATTTAGCGTCACAAACGATGAAGTCAATACTGGGGGAGGGGTTTCATCGCCTGCGTGTTACTGAAAAAAGCCCGCGCCCGTTTTCGAAGCGAAGGTTCGATGATCTTCGTTTTGGGACGTGCCCAGAAGCGAGCATCGGGCGTTCGCTTACCCGACATTCAATCTGAGTGTCGGTACAGCTCCTTGACCTCTTTCTCAAGGATAGCTTTGCGCTGCTGTATCTCCGCGGCCTTGTCGAACAAAGTCTTGCCTTGGATGCTAAGTCAGCACCAAGACACCTCAAGCTGATTGCCTCGCAGTTCAGCTTGAGCACACAGTTAGAAAATGCTGAAACATCCCTCGGACCTATCATTCAATAGCAAAGGTTCACTCTTTGATGGCGTTGTCCTGTGCACCGAGGCTGTCATTGAGCTCCAGCTCAGCTTTGCGAACCTCAAGGGCTCAACAAAATCTGGCTACTAAGCAGCAATCTAGCGCTTCTCAACCTGAAGCCGGTGCACTGCGCGGCGAAGCCATCGGGCTTGAGGAGTCAACCCCGAGCAGTAACAGTATAATTCCTATAAAATCCACTAGTCTAACATGCTAGCATCTTTACAGCATTTTTTTCACGTTGTCAGCATTCTCAGCGACAGAAACTGGTCAAACAGCTCCGCAGGCTTTCACTCGGGGTTTCCCAGCGTTCGGGAACATCTGAGACGGGATGCTAAAGGAATGGCATACCATGAAAAAAGTACATATCTGTTGAAAAACAAGACGAATGTTCACCAACTGCATGTATACGATAGGCAGTAGTACGAGCAGAACATTGATACCAATAATTTTCGTGGTAGGTCCAGAAACAGGCTCACCTAGCAGTGAAAACCCCAGTCCATGCGGCCGAGACACCATTGCTGCCAGGCTAACGGCGTGCTCCTTCAGGGCCGGGCATGCCACACCCGTTCCCCCCACCCTCACAAACAGGGAGTCCTCCGCCATGTTGGCCAAGTCCTTGCGGTTTCCAGTGGCACGTCTCGACACATCATGACACATCTCTCATGCGCAAAGCAACCCGGCGATGTCAAAGGCCTTCTCGTGATTTGCTAGCATCTCTGCTCTTGTCGCGAGAACTTCCTCAAGTCGCTTCTTCTCGCGTGAGACCTGGCAAGTTGGACTCAGAGATGACCTCTGCAAGACAGATCCGTACCGTGCCTGCTTTTCACCTCTGTGCTCCGCAGCCAGAATTCCATTTTCGCCTCGCCCGAAGCGTAGCACACTCCAGCGACTTACGGATGAGCACAACAGTTGATGCCTCGCCAACTGCATGTACATACTAGCACGGCACAGGCATGATAGGCCGCATCTGCATGTGTACCATCTGCCAGGTAGCAATTGGCAATCTCCTTCCGTATCCTCTCCGGAGTGCAAGCCTTATGTCCAGATGAATTCGGTAGTGGCACCGAAGCAGCAGTCACTTCCCACAACATGCTGTGTAGTGGACTATGGAAGGGTCCCAGGATTGCGACATGACCTGTAGGCAACAAAGGCCAAGGGCATGCCAAGGTCACGCGTCCCAAAGAGCACACGCTTGCACACGCTGCAGTGCGACAGCCGCAACAGCCCTGAGGGGCAAGCCCCGTGTTGCTGGAGAGTGGAGAGTGCTTCATTGAAAACATTGGGCCAAGACAGCTGCGTAAACACCGCTTTGGACACACTTAAAACTGCTTGAAAACTACACGCAAGCATACGCAAGGCCGCTTAGTGGTCCTGATGTCGAAAGCGGCATTGTGCGCGATCAAGGCTGTTTGCTCCAGCATGAAAGGCTCCTCTGCGCACTTAGCTTAGGAGCGAGGTGGCCGGAGATGGTCGACATTCACTGGTGTGAGTGCCGAATGTGATTCCCATGCATACTTGGTGAGGTTGGCAAGGAGGCAGCAGTCTGATGAGCTCTATTCCTCACTACCCCCGCACCTTGAAGCCTGAAAGAAAGCGGAGGAAATTCTGCAGTGCCGTTCTTCTCGGCGCCGCAGCCTGCAGGGTAGAGAGCTCTTCATGCTCTTCATTTCTAAGAACATAACTGAAACTGGACGAGATCTGAGGAAAGGGCTGCCAGCAAATCGTCGTCCAGACCATTGACCTCAGCGGCCTTTGCGTGGATGGTCCGCGTTGGTCTCAGAAGGCCTCTGAGGAAAAACTGCCCCGATATTGCGGTCACAACAGAACACCAACAGAACACCCATCTGTTGCACCTACTGTAAGATGCCTGCTGTGGAAGGAGACGCCAGTAGAACTCAGCGTTGAGTAATGGGATGGGCCTTGGCCAAGTCTGCTTTGCAGGAGCCGTGAACCCCAACTGGCATCTAAGAGTTTAGCAGAAGGTTGGGCTGTGGACCTTCAACTGGTGGTTGCACCTCCAGGGAAGTGCGGCAACTGAGGTTTTGTTTGAGTTGGGGCTGTCGCCACAGCCCAGTCTCAAGTCTAAACCCTAATGTCTAAGATTTCTGTCCGCAGGGGGAGAATCGTCAGCTTCGTGGCATTTGAGGACAGCTGCATGTTGCCCAGTGTCGCTTGCATCCGCGTGCATTCCCTGCAGATCCCTGCGTGCAAACGGCCGCCGCTGTAAGAGCAGGAGCTCTCCACGGGCATCCCCAAGCTGCCACCATGTTGATCTGCAGCTGTTTAGCAGAGCACCAAAGGGCGCCACTAAGCCAAGCTCACGCTCTGGATAAACGCTCACAGGACCGTTCAACTAGACAAGGAACAATTCCCGAGCATAAATGCATGTCTCCCTTCTATGCAGCTTAGGATTGACTTCCACAGAGTCCGCTCGACAGAACATGGCAGCTGGCTACGTGCAATGACAGCCTCCCTGCTTGCATGATACTGGTCCGCCCCCAAGATCAGACAACGAACAGCCCACTAAGACAAAGACCACCTTCCTCTCCTGGCCTCCAGCTCGACTGCGCCAATCTCTAAGATTTCGTCGTCATTGCTAAACCCTGATGTCTCTGTATCAAAGACCTCAGGCTAAACTGTGGCACGCTAAAACTTTCCGCAAACGGTTCTGATGTGTTCATGTACTGCGCTCAGCTTCGTGTGCCAGAGCCGTCTGAGGATGCGGCCACCACTCGCGTGAATTTTGTCGGCTCCAACGGCAGCAGCTGCCACCAGTTCTATTCCAAGCGAAACAAGATTAGGAACAAGTCAGCTCAGGCGAACGCCTAATGATTTCACACGCCACACCCTTCAGGCGCCCACCGCTGCCGTCAAAGAATTCTGTGAAAAGCCTTCTCCGCCCTTGGCGTTGCATGCGTTGTAGCCCAGTGACGTGAGCCATCGTGAAACCCTGTGCTGACAACCGACTTCCTACTGTCCCAGCCTCATGCAACGTTGGCAAGGGAGCAGGCAATGCCTCAGCTACTCATGCTTATGCCACCAGCAGTGCTTCGCATTCGTCATCGTCACCATCATCATCACCACCACAACCACCACACCGTCACCGCCACCACCACACCCACCACAACCACCGCACAGTCACCAGCACCACACACAGTCAGCACCATCACCGCCACCAGCATCGCAATCGCCGTCGCCGGCCATGGCCGTGGCCGTGGCCGTCGACGTCGCCCACTTCCCCCCTTCTCCTCCTGCTCCCTCTCCTTCTGCTGCTCCTCCTAGCCGAAGCAGCAGAAGCCGAAGCAGCAGAAGCCGAAGCAGCAGAAGCGGAAGCAACAGTTAGCGTGCACCGCTTCAGACCAGCACGTATGCCGTCGACCATCAACGAAGCAGCGCTAAGCTTTGGAACTCTGCCTTGCGCACGGTTTCGTCGCCCTACAGTTTAGGCGCCAGAAATGCGAGCTCGCTCTTTCACGCAGAAACACGAGAAGAACGTACACATCACGCACGCAGGACGCAACGAAGCACACTCCAGCAGGCTGACTGGACAGGTTAAATCGTTTGGTGAAGAGTTCAAGGGTTTGTTTCTTTTGGTCAACCGTTTGTCAAAATCACTTGTCCTCCTCCTCTACCAACTAATATCACTCGTCCACCTCAATCACTTCATCGATTTGTTGGGCTGCTTTAGGCGGGTTTCCGTCATGGGTTGGGTGCTCGCCTCAGCCCAGGTTTCCGTTGGAAGGCTTCGGGCTCGGCGTGCGGGTCGGGGCTTAGGGTTGCGGGGTCTCAGGTTGGGTGGTTAGGGGGGTACAGGGGTTGCAGGCTTAGGGGCACTTCGGGTACGGGGCTCAAGGTTCAGGGTGTTCGTTTTGATGCGGTGCTCAGGCAAGTGGCGTCGCTGCTCACGGCTGTGGGCAAGGCTGGATCCGCAGCACATGCCGTCTCAGACATGCAGAGGAGCTCAGAGGAGTTGTCCAGTTTGTAGCTTCTGATAGATTCTGCAGTTCCGGTTCACGGGATGGCTGGGTTCTGCTCTTGGTCTGTGACATGAGTGCTCGAGCCAGCTGGGAGCCGTGGCCACTTCTGCCTGAGTCCCGTTCTTATTCGCATCTGCAAGATTCTGAGTCCGGCTTTTGGGGGAACACCTGCTCTGAGAGTACTTGAGCACATCTGGGCACCTGCAGCGCGAAGAGGCCGGAGATGTCCAATTCAAAGAGGGGAGATCTGCCGTGACCTGGCTCAAGAATCGCCAGCGACTCCAGATTCAACACTCCAGACCGTGTTGGAAGGAGAAGTCGTCAAAACAGATCGGCACACGCTACAAATGACAATTTGCTCGTCTCGCTTTTGATTCTCTGATCGCTTTGCACTGATGCCCAAAGCTTTGGTTATCTTTGGTTCATGCTGCCATAGCAGGACAGACAGGAATCACGCGGGCGGTGCTGTAGTGCTGACTTTGGTCCGAGTATGTCCGATTCTCGACGTCCGTGCAAGAGCAGGCTTCCAGTAGCCGAAAGTTGCCGTCCTTTGAGTCGAAACTTCGCCATCTTGGAGAAAGCTCTGTGGGTGGCAGCCGTGTTTCGTGATGCCCTGCTCTATGAGTGAACGCAGTGCTTTGCCCTTCTGTATCTAGTCCTATCTGCGATCGGCCCGTCTTGTCGCCTGGAGCTGTTTGACAGCCTACCAGATTGCTGGTAGCAGCGCATCGATCGCATAATCGTCGGCACGCAGAATTCCCAACAGAGTGCGCTCACCCTTTGCGGGACAACCTTGGCCACTCTCTCCTCATCACTGATGTGTTTTCGCTTGCAAGCATGACATCAAGATGCCAACTAAGGCAGCGGCTGGGAGGAAGACGAGCATCCCAAAATGCCTCGACCGCAGCATGGTCCCCATACCGCCCCAGGGTGAACTCTGCTTCCGAGCGCCCATCTTCGCTCCAGGGTGCTTTGGCTCCAAGCGTAAGGACAAAGTCGTTGCAGGACTGCCGTAGCTCAGTTTGGCCCAAAAGCCAGCATGACAGACAGAGATGACGAAGACGCCAGGCATGCTGACCACTGGCTGCCCAACCCTGGCCGGCATGGACGTCGGCATTCACCAGCTCTCCGCTCTCTGCGTCCCAGCCCCAAGAAAGGAGGATGAAGCGCACAACACTCGCATGGCAGGCGATATAGTCTTGATCCTGTCGAAGCTCATGAAGCGCCTCCAGGGTAAGCGCCAGCTGACCATCTGCATGCAGCGCTGTGGCTTCATCGATTGGCAGCAGCTCATCGTCATACCTCGCGTAGAGAGGGCCAAACAAGAACCAACTTTCCAGGTCTGCCCAATGCTTCAAGCTGCGAGCTGTAACTGTATTGGGCGAAGTGCCTTCAAACATGGCATGACGACACCGTGTGGCAATCGTTGCCTCCTGTCGAACCTCATGTTCCGCCTTGGAAGGCACGCCATCCTGACCTTTGGATAACCATGTCTCAGGCCATTGGAGCTCCACTGGGCGCTCCAGGTACAGCATGTCCGCCGAGAATGGCACCGGGACGGCACATCGCAACCCCATGCGGCAGAATGGAATGCCTTCTGACATCCGAACAGAAGGAGACCCCCATATTTGGAGCAGCCAGCCATTGGATTCTCCAGGACCACTGCCACCTTTAAGTTCGTAGAGTCGCGAAACAGACATAGTCAAAGATCTTACGGAGTGCAGTTGAAGCTTCACACCGGTTTCAGACCACTCTGCTATAAGCAGCAAGTCTCCACATATCTCTCCGTCTCCGTCTTGTAGATGTGCAATTTCCGAGCGGTCTCTCGAATGAGGAGTCCTCAGCCTTACAGTTTGCATCTCTGAAACTTGCCCCGCCTCCTGCTGCTGAGCTTGCAATGGCTGTTCCAACAGACCCACGCCCCAAACGGTCTCCCCGAATTCCAGCGAAAACCGCAGTGCAGGCATCAGAACCACACACAGCTCTGCTTGCGCTAGCTACGAGTAGGTGCTGAGCCAAATACTGCAGAAAGCTCACTAATTGGCCACTGGCATCCATTGGCCGTTGTTCATGGGTTGGTTGCCTTCTATCTAAAACTGCATTGGTTGCCTTCTATCTAAAACTGCAGAAACGGTCATATTGAAGCATGTTAGCACGAATTCGACTAAATACGAGCAATGAGCAATGTAAACCACCGAATGCTCCTGGCGCATTTGCTCTTTTCTTAGGCTCTCTGTTCACGGGCTTTACATACTGCGAATTGCGATGCTTTTCTGCATTTCCAGCTCTTGGGTAGTTAAGAAGTGCAAATCACAGTCCCTTTTTACGTGAACTAGCTTGAAAGTGGTCCACATCCTGGCCATTGCAGTGTTATTGGCGGTACTTGGCTGTGCACAGGTTGCACGTGTCATAAATTACAGGACGTGAGGGCTACAGTTGGAGGTTGCAGCGTTTCGAGTACTGTAAGTGTTTAAGAATGCAAGAAACTAGACGTCAGCCAACTCGACAGTGCTTCAAATCCTAACAATCACAATATTCTTAGCGCTTTGAGAAAGGACTCGCATGTTTTCAACGCAAGCCCTTTTCATGGCATGATCTCCCTTATCCCTATCAGGTAAGCTTGCAGCTTGCACGGCTTCAAAAGAAAGCGGGGGGGTTGGAGGCGGGCGCAGCCACCCCGCCCCATTTGCAAGCACATCGGGGCAGTTTAGACAGGAATCCTATGTGTAAAGGTCGCAGAAGGCAAGCTTGCACGGCTTCAACGGAAAAAATCGGGGCGGTTAGGGGGGGGTAGGGGAACAGGCCCCCCCATTTGCAAACACATTGTTGAAGGATCAACAGAAAGCATCGGATACAAGATGTTAGCCAAGATGGGCGCCTAAGCAGCTGTGGAGGTGTCTGTCGGACCCGGCAGGCAGCAAACCTGATTTGCACGTTTGTGGCTGTCAGAGGTTCATAGAGGTGGCGCGATCAGTTGAAAGGTCATGCAAAGATTGCTAGCCGCACGCCATGAACAAAGCAATGCTTACTTATACTATGGCGTCCTATCCTCAACTTCTGCAAAGCCATCCTTCACTGAGCATCGGCTTGACCAGGCCTGCGTGACCATGATGGTTCATGTCCCAGGGCTGGCGATTTGCCACCGAGCAAAGACCTCGAAGCTGGGCGGACTGTCTGCTCAAGTACAAGTGGCACCAGCGGTAATTTTGTGAAGGCCTAAGCCTCTAGGCACCGGGGTCGCTTGTCAGAAGAGCTGGGCGGAGTGCCATTGCAGGTGTGTCGTATATCATGATGGGTCTGTCTTCAGAACCTCTGGGCCTTCCTCCGTGAAACGGGCGTGCAGTGTGCAACTATTCCCATGAATTTCTTTCTTTTGCAAGGAGCACATAAAGCAGCCCCTTGCAAATCCTTGCAGGATGATGCAGCAGGTCCAACAGCAGGCTTAAGGTGATACTAGGTAGAAAGTACTACGTCAAAAACCTTCCAGTAGAAACTGGCTACAGGCGATCTGGATCATTTCAAGTTGAGGACTGTCTATGAACTGGCTTGGACGCACGACTTCTACGAGGGGTATCAGAAGGCAACTTATGTGTCTACGACATTCTTGTGTTCTCTCAGAATCTGGGGCCACATCATCTGCGAATGCACGACCTCGGCAATGTGACTCTGCAAAGATGGCAACGTCAAACAGCCATGGCACACACACTGTTCTGATCAGGGCACTGAGTATGCCACACACTCCGCGTCCAAGACTGCACGGTGGGTCGAGCAAAGCACATCATCGAGAACTCCAGGGGACAGACTAGAATCTGACCGAGGGCCGAGGGTTCATGAGGTGCTGGGCTTGCTGCACAATATTTGTCTTCCCGGAAGAACTCCAGGCTTGCTGGGTTCTGGCGTGCTGAAAAAACTCTTGAGCTGTGTGCACTCATACCGGAGCAACGAAGCCACGAGTCACAAGCAGCTGAACACCGATCAGATTCAACTTCATGCGGCAGGCACGCGCAAGAAAGACACTGTCTCTTTTCCGCTTCTTGAGTAGAGCACAGCAGAGTGCATGTCTTCCGCAGCTTGACCAGCTCTATCCGGCGAGTGCGTGTCTGCTGCGTGCAGGTCTAATACACGCGCTTGCCTTCCTTCGGTTGCCGTGGGGATCGTTGGTGGCGAGCTGAAGACCTGACCTGACCCTTGCAGACAGACGGCAAGGGCACAGGCGAATCTCAGCGGCGGAAGTCGTAACCCGGGTCGCTTCGCCTGGGCCTTAGCGCGCTGCTCTGACAGGAGGCCTGGCCTGTGACATGACACAGCTTTGATGTTCAGGCTCTGATATCTGTGACCGAACGTACTGTTGACCGAACGCCACCAGAAACGAGGTATGTAGGCATTTCTTAGGGATGCGCGGTAGGTGGTCGTAACCCGATGCCTTTGCGAGCAGCTGGACCTGTGTGTGCATGGGATATCTCGGCAAGGCGATCACATGAATTGGAGCTCATCGCATCTCATCTCCTGCACTCTGGGTGTTCACACGAGCTCCTCGAAGTCACCATCCTCATCCTAGCAGCAGACGACGAGTGGTCACATGCATGAGTATTTAAAGTAGATAGCCTCTCAAACGACTTGCACTGCACTACGTGTACTTCTTGCCGTCTCTGCCTCCATGATCACCTGCGCGGCCTCTAGCGGGGTGTAGCACATCCTTACGGGAGCTGATTTCTGCTCCACCGCGCCAGTGTGCGCAGTCACGGGTGCGTCTGTACCGGAACCCAGGAACAGGCTCTGTTCTTTCTCGAATATGCGGATCGGCACGCGCCTGGCACATCAAAACATGCTTCTGAGCTGTAGTTTAGCCTGTCCCTGCCTGCCACTTCATTGTATTTGCCTTATGCTTCTGACTGGCCTCAAGTAAAACCTCCACAAGGTCGAGGTTTCCAGCCAGGGCAGCCAGCCTGGTGGAAGACATGCAAGTGCAAAACCACAGGTTGCTGAAAGCAGCACGCCCTGGTTTATAACACCATGGTTCTTGTCGACATTCCCATACACAATCAGAACTTTGTGGAATCAAGACTTCATTCGGGAAGGGCTTCTGGCTCAGAAGCTTGCTAGCCCGAGCTGTGTCGCAGACGTGCCCTCAATTTAGTCCCAGGCATGAGGGGAGTTCGGCCATGCACAGGATCCTGGAAGTTCACATCCTTGCCAAAGAGCACTGAACTATAGCCTGCTAAGAAGAAGCAGCCAAAGAGCATACTTGTATCAAAGGTCAGTCCAAGCAGAGAGTCTGACGATTTTGTCGGAATGAAACTCCAGCATGTCCTGAGCACAACAATTGTACCACAAAGTGATCACACCTTTTGGATCCCTTTCCCAGTGCTGATGTACGCATACTACCTACATCGGCCTTGCCTCCACACGATCCAGGCGGCCAGCTTCAACCTTGGCTAGCAACAAGTTCGTACCTTATTTCGTTAGCACATACTTATAATAAGACTGCTGCATGGTCGAGGAAAGCTTTTTGAGTCGCTGATGCCTGACAGAAGCTAAACAACTTCTGGCTCAGCTTTTTTGACCTCTCTTCACTCGAAATCACTCGACTCGAGCCTTTTCAAAACACGCACTTGCCCAAAGATCTTGGGATCAGAAGGCGTCGAATCACGTTCCCCCCTTGCCAATTGCCTTGCAGGACGCCGTTGCCTCGGAGTCTTCTTCCTCACAGCCACGAAACAAACAAACCGATCGACATTCAAGAAGTGCTCTGCATCCCTTGACGTCCTGTGATTTTCGAGCAAGTGCTCCATTCTTGGAGTACCATCCGTTCTTGTCGACGCCACCTACTTGAAGGTCAAGCCTCTCGCAAGTGAGCGTTGGATCTGCTCAATGTGGAGAAATCGTAACATTGCCTTGTGCTGGAGGCTTCCAACGGCACCAAGGCTGTGTTTCGAGTCATCTCTGCCTTTAGCCAAATGATGCAAAGCACCGTCATTGCCGGCATGGCGACGCGCGGGTCGCGAAACTGTTAGCAACGTTGCTGCGACATGTTGCAACTCTGAACACGATGAAGTCATTCAGCCGTGCAATTCAAGGCTCTCACCTGCTTGCGCTACCACAGATTGCAAGCCTGTCCGGGACACATTTTGCAGTGATAGAACGGCGCAGGCATGCAAATGCGAAGAGTATCAAGGAGTAAGCCGCATCAACTTGATAAATCTGCAGCTGAATGAGTCGAATGCGACGCCTTGTGGTCCTTAGGCATCGCATGCCACAGCCCCGCCATAAGCGATTCCGGCCCTGCTATGGTAAGTCTGGTGAACCTAGTGACTCCGGTATCCACATTGGCCATTCGAAAGTGCGGTGGTATCTCTCGATGATGCTTTCTTTTCTTGCATTACGACGGCTCAGCTACGTCATGCCAGACATCCATGGCTGATGTTATGAAGGCTTCTTGAGCTTGAAAGGCAGCAGCGGAAATCCCAAGTGTCATCGCAGGCAACACTCGGGAGCAGCTGGCAGAAAAAGCCCACTTGGTCATTTTGACTTCGCCGAAGATGATCTCTGTCTACAATGTGCATTTCAAGTCGGGATAGTCCTGCAGCACCACAACATGTCTCGCAGAAGTCGCATGTGATAATCCCAGCCTTGTGTATTTCTTCGAAATTTGAGAAGAACTTCCTCAGATCAGACGGGCCCGAGACATGCACAGGAGCATGGCTACAAACCAGAAACGCGCACTGGCTTGGGCACACTGCACAGAGCCAAGCAACATATCATGAAAGAAGGGATTTGGGTCAGGCTTTGCCCTTCTTTTCGGATCCGCCAGGTACTTTAGGGCTTTGTCGATGTGACAAGTCTGCCCGGTGCCTTTCGGGAAGTACCGAGAGTCCTCGTAGTATGGATATGGCCCAGGAGGATGCTGGGGATCCACGTTCTCCCACAAGAAGTTGATTCCGCCTGAACAGATCGCGCTCGTTGAAGTTGTGGCAGCTTGTGCGTTTTCAAAAGCTGTGAGAAGTTTAAGATACTGCTAAGTGCTTCAGTACTTTTTCAGGCGGCCATCTGAGATTTCATCAATTTCATCAATTTCATCACTGAACTGCGCCTGCACGGAAAGTTTGAGAACAGGGGAGGGTCGATTTGTTATGCCGTTACGCTTTCCTTCCAGGCTCACGAGCCATGTGTGGCACACTTCTCAACGGATCCTCGCGGCTTGCTTCGCCGTCGAGGACTTCGTGCAAAATTTGGCTAGCTGCACCTGAACTTCCTCACATACTACTTTGGGACCCACTTGGTCCCACGCAAAACGCAAAATCGGGGACGCGGCATTGGGATACCGGTCACGTATGCATGGAGTTGTCGCAGCCGGTCGCTTGTGGAGCAAGCGAAGGCCGTCGCCGCAACGCCAGATCTGGCCGGGGTTCAGGTGCAGGTACAAGCTCTTGACGTCGCAGGCGCCCTCGCCCAAGGGCTTGACTCTTCGCCAGCTCAGCAGGCCATTTGGTGAAGTCGCTGCGTCCACGCACCTCTGCCAGAACTCGCCTCTCAAGTTTTTTCAGCTCCTGGCAGCTCAGGTCGTGGAACGCAAGCCCAGCGAGCGCATGCGAGCGATGCGAGCGGTATGGGTGCGCCGCTGGGATTCCTTGACTCCGTCCCTTCGGCAAAACGCTGGCCGGAGCCTAGCTGCTCAACTAAGGCCTTGTTCTTTCTTTCCGCCCCTGCTTACACAACCGGAGGGTGCGCCGACCCCAGTTGTCGTTTCGTGGCGCAACTAGATAGGCTTGTGCAGACTCAGCGCCGTGTACACAAGATCTCTCAAAAAGCACCGGACTAGATCTACAGTATCACTTCTTGAAGTAGGAAGTGCTTCAGCGAAAAAACCGTAGCAACGTCGCACACTGCCAAGAGGTTACTCGAGGTGCAGCGTTTTTGCAAAACTGCGCCTGTCTGGAAGGCGCCTCAGTCCCACTCTGTGATCGCTCTGTCACTGCTCCATCCGAGCAGAACCCTCCAGGGAACCCTCCATGATTTGAGCCGAGGTACACCAGGCCTTTGTGGCACCCTCCTGCCTTTGAAACACACAGAAGGCTGGGACTATCTGCTATGCTGCAATGTGGATCTGGATCCAGTTGCGGCTGGGCATCCAAAGAGCCACGTTGAGCAGATCCTCATCTTCGGCGATGCCTGCCGTTGGCACTCCCTGCTCCTTGCGTCCTGGCGGAGAGCCGATATTTTGAGGGCAACGTGCACAGAAGATACACAATTACACACACAAAGTCTTCACAAAAAAAACCTCTCCTGCAACCTTTGCAGACAGCCAGCGGCTCAGGAAGGGCAGCGACCAGTAAGTCCACGTCGGTTGCGCCTCCACAGTTGGCGCAACTGAGTGTAACAGAGGGTGTCACGGTGCCCTTGTTGGATGGCAGCATGTCATGGCGCAGGCCGCCGGCCTGTCCCCAGCGCATTGTCGGCGTTGGACAATCTTTGCAAGAAAAGCTGAGGAAGTTGCCCTGGAAACTTCGGGTCACGTGGCCGGGGCACCGCATCAAGTTACTTTGAGTCGCATCCGACACCCAGCATCTAGAACGGCCCTTGTGCACAGAGCACTGCACCTCGTGCAACCTCTTGGCAGTGTCGCTGTCACGGACATCACGGTCAAGAAAATGAGTTGGCATCATGGGAAATGGATACCTCAGAAAAAAGGTTCGGAAAGTTGCTGCGGGAGGTGTGCAATGAGCACGTAAATGGATGTACATGTGCGTGCGGGGCATGCATTTGTGCGTTGAGATATGTGTGAGCATGTGCATGCGCCTATGTTTGCTTCTACGCCCAGGTCCATGCATGTATGCATGCATGCATCTACGTATGCAGCCGTGTACGTATAGGGCATGCATGGATGCAAGTGTCCAAGAATGCATGCGCGGACGTCTTTCCGCATGTATGCATGCAGGTACGCGTGGTTGCACGCACGGAATGCAGGGTTGCATGCATGAGCATGCCTGCTTGTGTGCGCACACACACACACACAGAGAACGTGCACGGACGCACGCTGTGCATGCCCGTGCGTGCATTCGCCAGGCACGTGCGCATGAGGGCACGCACGCGTGCGCCCCCATGTGCCTACGCTTGTTTGCTTCGCATCGGTCACCAAGCCCCAGAAATCCAAGGACAGGGACATGGGTGAAGGACTTGTCTTGCTTCTCAAGCACCCTGGCCCGTTTCTTGGCATCTTGTCGTGACTATTCCTTCATTTGTTGCCTTGTCATTTTCCTTGTTCCTTCTTCCTCAATCGTGCTAGCTTAGAGATCGAATCTGCAGCAAGCCTCAGATGAGCACGTTGAGAGCTGACTTTGAAACAAGAGACGTTCTTTACTCCGAGCGGCTATAGTCTGGACTGTATGTGTGTACGTGCGTGAACGGGTGCTTGTGTGTAGGAACCCCTGCGCTGCACAAAGGGGGCCTGTACCTGCGGTGCACCATCTTCCTCCCTTCAAAGGACTGGAAGGATATACAGGAGACAAGGTTCGCCTCTGGCCAGAGCTTCGCTGCCAAAGCATGGATCATGGACGGCCGTCAGGCAAAGCAGCGACTTGCACTCCCATACTCCCATCGGACACAAAGTACCCGGGCCCTCAGGTTGAGCATCAGGTTGAACAAGATTAGCGCCGTAGAACTTCGATGATGGCGGAGAGCTGCCCCGTGCCCCAACTTGAACCACTACGGGCCACAGTGATGACAACCGCTGCTTGGTCTTGGCTTCAGATTCCAACCCACATTGGGGTATTTGATCCCCGCATGGGGATCTGTTATCACCACATGGACATCACCATCATCCAAAAGAACTCTTCAGCTCGCGCGCGCGCGCGTGTGTGTGTGTGTGTGTGTGCGCGCGTGTGTGCATGCGTGCGTGCGTGCTTCCGTGCGTGCGTGCGCGAGTGCGCGAGTGCGCGAGTGCGCGAGGCGTGTGCACGTGCGTGTTTGTGGGCGCGTGAGAACTGTTTTACAGCATGGGCATAGAGGCCACAGAGTGTTAAGAAGCAAACCTCATCAGCTGTATGTGTCAGTATACATGCGCACACGAATGCATCGAGGAAACTTCTCTGTGATTTCCTCAGCAGTCCGATTCAGGAGATGATCTGCTTGAGCTGTAACCATAAGCATGTCCTTGGCTCGCAGAGGGAATCCATCTGGAATGATAGGCACGTGACTATGAAAGTGCTACATTGCAACGCGAAGATGCTTGCTACCCATGAAAACAAAACGTATTCTCCCCAAGCATCTGAGTCTAAAGAAGCTCCGACTTTGACCTGAACGAGAAGGACAGGACTCTACTGGAAAGACTGAAGAGGCACGTAAAGAGCACTTGCTTTTGCTGAGGCGGCACCTGCGCCAGCAGAACAGCTCGAAGCTTGTTGAAGTTGAATGATATGGGAATTGGCTTCAGGCCACGTGCATGCAGCAGCCTCGGATGCGAGAGAGGAAAACCACCTTGCTGGGCTGCCTTAGGGTTTAGGGTTTAGGGTTTAGGGTTTAGGGTTTAGGGTTTAGGGTTTAGGATGTCTTCACTGGCTTAGCAAGCGCTTGCCAAGCCGCACAAGATGGGGAAACTTCTCGGGATCCAGCTCCTCCGGCGCCTGCATTGTGCAGCTCTATAGCTTGTCAAAAATCGGTCCAATCCCACTGGAAGCCTTCGTGCCGAAGTTCACAACAACGATTGGGTGCTGCGAAAAGCGGTGCACAGAGTCCACCAGCCTTTCCTGCATGCTCGTCATACGATCTTGGCAACCCCAAGCATTCGAACATCTGAGGTCTGAGGAATGCAGCTGGGCAGCTGTCAACTTTCCAAACACACCTCCAGACAGAGCAAGATGGAGCAAGGCTCCACATGCGGAGTCTGGTTGGAACAAGCTGTGGGGAACTCTCGCTACTTTTGCTACTCCTCATTGTTGCACCGTCCACGTGGAAGACTGGAAGTAGACTGGAAGAGCGAAAACAAATCAAGAGAACACGGGGAACTGGCAACACAGGGAACATCGGGGAAGACGCACGAGTTACTGTCATCTGTGAGCTTTGGCAGGGCCCGAACTCCTACGTCCTGTACTGGAACACATATCCCCCTGACCTTTTTTCTGGAGATCTAATCAAGAGGAACTTTCTCACCCAGTGAAAACGTCTACGCGTACGCTGTGTACACAACAATTCGCTCACACGAGTTCAACGACATGACATGGCATGCTCGTGAGCAGTCAGTCCAATCAAGGGAACTCCCCCCCCCCCCCCCCCAAAGTGTGTGTTCGTGTTCACTCCGCGGCTCTGCATGTACTCTCTCGTACGCCTTTGCCATTTGAAGGCACTGCCACGTAGTTGACCCAAGCTGTATCAGCCCATCCCTCCGAGTTGTAGACCTGAGGTGGCGTGAGGCTACACGACTGCACTACCGACGGAACATAGTGCAAAAGCTCGGGCAAAGTGCTCTGGCATAGTTCTTTCTGAAGCGTCGGTCCAAGAAGACTTGCATCAGAGGCAAATTTTTCTCATCCTGAGCAGACTCTGCAAACGTGGGACCGACGTATGAATAGCTCTGGGACGTAGCCGCAGCCTGGGCCTCATACTTTGCAGAGGGTGCTCCACGCTTCCTCCAACTTCACATTCCTGCGAACAAGGAGCTCTAACATTTTTCTTTCCCAGCATGAAGGCTGCGCAACTCCCAAGCATGCGACGTGAAGCTCATAAACCTTCCAAACCCAGAAACCGAGGCATCGCTCCGAAGCAACGAAGCAAACTGCTGCAGCAAAGCCGCCAGCTTTCTTCCTGCTGCCTGGCAGCAACCTGAGGCGAGCAATGCAAACCTGAAGATCAGAACCGACATTAACGTGACCTTTGCTCCTGCAAATTGTACTATTTGGATTTTGCATATTTCTGCATGCTGCTCCCTACCTTGGAGCAGGAAAGCAGCGGCTCTGGTTCTGCGTACTCGCAGAGGGTGTCACTACTCTGGCGTCGAATGTTGGCTGCACCTGCAGATGCTCACATGCACGAGTGAATGGCTGGAGATCTCTATCAACTTCGCCCTGGCGCCTGCGATGCCCACAAGCACCGAGAGCAGCCATAAACCATATCTGCCAGAGACAAACGTAAGTGTCAGAGCACTTTCCACACACCGGGTAGCACTTCGGCGGACAGAGAGATTCGCGAGGGGGATTCGCCGGCCAAAGGCCTAAAAAACCCAAAAAAAAAACCCGAATCCCGAACCAAAACGAGCAAAATCCCGATCACAGCCCCGGCTTCAAGCGGGCGGGGTCTTCGGAAATTCAGAGAAGTTCACCGGGCCTTGCTTGTATATGAAGGACTACATTGCAGGCACGCATGGGTGAACCGTGAATGGCATGAGTAGAAGTAAACTCTTTGAGCCAATGAGACCTCAGGGGCGCAGGTTGGTGCCCACAACTTCGCGCAACTCTTCACCTCGGATTCCCCTCGACTGGACGCACGTCTGCCAATCCAATGTGGGCAAGGTCTTTTTGGTCGGATAGGTTTGGCTGCACATGCCGGGTCAGGTACAACTTCAAGCAGTGAAAACAGCAAGGCACGCATAGACAAGCACAACGCAGGGGCCTTCTCAGAAAATCCTGAGCTCATGGAGAACCATGGAGAACCTAAAGGGTGCCCGGGGAGCCAATCCGAGCCCATCCGACCTTTGATGCATCCAGCAACACCCGCTCTCAGTTCGTGTGCCAGAAGCGCTCTCTCTCATTCCTTGTCATCGAAACGGATCACCTGCGAAGAATCTGCTCTGCAGCCTTTCACTCCTTGATTTCTGAACGAGATGAACAAGGCTACTTGGCGCTCGCCTTGTACATCTTGTTGCAGTAGTAGTGGTAGATCCGCTTCTTCTCGTGGGGTGGCTTCTCAGGTCCAAAGAGGGGTGGCCTGCAGCAGCCGCGAGGGATGAGTGGGGATGTGGGACAAGTGGGAGGTGGGAGATGTGGGAGTGCTGTGGTTGTGCGATGGGAGTCTCAAGATGTGTCAGGATATTGCTCTTTCAGTGCTCTCTCACACATTTCAAAGAATCGCAGGAAGCTGCCCAGCCCCAAAAGAGACCAAAAGCTCTGCAGTCACCTTCCAACACCCGAGTTACGATGCCTTTGGCAAAACACAACACACTAGACGATCAACAAAGCCATGATTGCTGTGGCACCCCTTGTGACTGGTGCATTGGCGATGCACCTTCGGTCGGCCCGGTATCCGATGCGTCCTCGATTCTCACTATTGACCTGAGCTTCAGTAGGTCATGAGCCAGCAACTTTAACTTTGCAATCATGATAAACCAAGTATCACGTCCAACAGTTTGGTTTTGAGCCCCAGTGTCAACCCACCAATTTCCACCAATCGACAATGAGTCTACGGCGCAGCCAATCCAAGCCAACCAAATTGATAACACTTCGTGGGGCAGCCATGGTGAGTCACCGACCGCTTTGCGCCATTTTGCTCGCTGCTTCCTTCCATAGCCCATCATCCTTGGCGGCCATAGCCAAGGTCAACTGAGTCTGCTGAAGTACAAAGACAAGAGCCCGGCGTCACGAGCGCGAGGCCTGCAACAGCACTCGGGCTAAAGCGGCTAAGACGGCCCTCGTGCTCGTTGACTACTAGGCACTCCGGCTCATGGCACATCCAGGGGCAGCGATGGCCATGGCGCTTTCGAAATTGGCCCTGCATGTCTCTAGATTTTGGAACCATACTTTGCCTTGCGCATGGCTCAAGATTGTAAGCTCAGGGCGAGCGCCCGGCAAATCCGTTCTCAGCACCTGGAAAGGTCGTATGGTCTTCGCCATCCCTTGTGGCTTGTGCAGTTCGCTGATTTCTGTGGCTGCCGAGTACTATGGCAAGGTACCATTGACACTTTCGCCGCGCGGTTGCTGAAAGCTGGGCGTGTGCCTTCCAGATTCACCGGGTCATAGCCCCAAATCCGAAAGAACATCCGCAGATGAGGGCAGAACCCGCGCAGGGATGAAGGCTGACCTCAGATAGCGAGAGCGGAACGATGCCAAACATTGCCCATCCGTCCTTCACTAAACTTGACCCGCAACGTTCACCGGTTTCCCGGGCCCTGGATATGCTTCACGTGCGCTGTGTAAGGTTCTGGCTGAAGGCTGCCTGTCTCAGGCAAACCGCTGCAGCCAGGGCGACCTTCGTCAAAGCACCCTCCAAGCTTGGCTGCACTTGCACGGCACTCAGGCAGCCGCCACGGCCGCACCCAGGAGCCTCATCCTGACAGGTTGCAAAGCTATCGAGGTACATCAGTCGAAGGTGCTCGATGGCCTGTTGTTCATGCTATTGAGGCAAGGCTTCGAAACTAAGATGATTCTTTTAAGGTTTGAACAAGATTACCCCTCGACCCCAAGACCCCAAGCGAGCGCGTGCAACTGTAGGCCGCAACAACTAAAGTCCAGCATATCCACAGCAGCGGTGTCATCGCATCCTGACCCTAGAGGCAAAAGATTGGTGGACGAAGAAGAAAAGACGCTGCAGTTTAACGGAGCAGGCGCAGCCCTCCCGATATAAGCGGAGTCAAGCGGCGAAACTCTGCAACGCTTCAGAAAATCAGCATGCAAAAGAGTTTCCCCCATGTTCCTGTTCTGTTCTGATTGTCTTCTCACTACTCCTTGCCCTTGCTCTCACTTGTTTCTCTCCGTTGCTCAGAATGAGTCGTCTCACGACGGGACTCCCATTTCGAAGCTTCGTATTCATTTTCTGCTTGTGGGGACTTAGACCCGGAGGGTAAAATCTCATCTGATCTCACGGTTGCATTGTTTACATGTCATTCGTCGCATGTGGCTGGGAACATAGAAGCCCGTAATGCAAAACATCGTAGTCCCAGAATGCCTGGAAGTCGGGGAGTTCGCTTGCTTCTACGGCTGCAAGCTGATGAGCCCAGGCCCCAGACGCTCTCAGATGCTCTCAGATGCTCGCAGATGCTCGCAGATGCTCGCAGATGCTCGCAGATGCTCGCAGATGCTCGCAGATGCTCGCAGATGAAATCAAGCATCGGTGGTTGCAAGTGTAATGGCATGCGGCATGACAATTGAGCGACCCTTTCGCTGTTGAACTGTTGCAAGGCTAACTTTGTCTCTTGCCAGTTCGCAGAGAGCCCAAAGGTATCAGAACAGTAAAACTTGAAGAACAGAGCTTCTTGGAAGCAAAGCGGTATGCCCACTGCCCTGTGGCCAGTTCACACACTGGCACACTGGCATGCGCGAACTGATTTTCGGGCACTCACTGGCCAGTCATGACACTGTCGGTTGTTCTGGACGTGACCTGGGCGTACGAGGTGCGACAACTCAGCACGTCAAGGAGTGCCAGAGTGGAATGACAAGCTGTGGCAACACCAAAGCAACTCTTGTGCGTCGTTCATTTTTCGAATCCCTCCCGCAGCACAGTTCGTCTCGTCGCGACCGTCCTGAAGCCGTCTGTCACCTCCGCGTTCGCTTGCTGTCATGATACGTACTTGCCATGGCAGTGCAATGCATACAAGCATTCTGGTGCACGTTCCATGCTGTGAACCCTGTCTGAGCCTTGCTTTCGCCTACCGCAGCCGGCGTGCTTCTCGCTCAGTCTCCAGGAGGGCCAAGATGTCACCTGCAGTCGCAGGCGCTTGCTCAAGTGCTTGGTTGAGTACCCTAGCTGCTCATAGCTGCTCTGAGGCGGCGGCCCTCACGCACGGGGCCCTTCACGTTGCGGATCAAAGAGCGGCCGGCAAGCTCAGGGGCCGTCTCGGTCATGAAAACAACACCTCGGAAAACTTCTACATTGCTCCGTGCCACTGCGCATCAAACGCTTAACGAATCGCACTTGCTGTCAGGAGACGAACCTGGATCACACCACCACGAGACCCAGTCCTTCCCAAGACCTTCTCGACCTTTGCCAGCTTCACCTCAGCAAGGAGAAGGCACCCCGTCTAAAAGGACCTGGATGCCTGCATCGCTACCTGGGGTACATACAAACTCTCCCGATGATTGGTTTTCATACGTTCGGTAACGAACATCAAGAGCCAGTACTTTGGGCGAACATGGCTGCTAAAAGGGGGGCTGGATGCCCAGATGTAGCATGATAAACAATGTTTAACAAGAGCTTGGACATGCACACAGGCTCTCCCAGCTCTCCCACCGGGGCGCATTCCACTTCAGAGGAGTTGAAGGCGAGCTAATGCGAGCAAGAGAGTTACGGTATGTTGCATGTTGCAGAATGTTGCAGAACACCCTATTAGGCCACATGCGCCAAGTGACACCACCCGCGTCCATGGCGATCAAGGAAGGCGAGAAAGAGAGAACTTGTAATGCTGCGAGGCTACTGCAGGCTATAGGGAATCTTCCAGAACCGCTAACAGCCACGGAACACAGATTCGCCGACTGGGGCCTGTCAGCTGCTGTTCCCAAGGTGCAACTCTCATTTGCCATCACGTCAGCACAGGCCCGCGGCCCATACTCGGCGCCAGGAGCAGAAGACAGGAGGCGGAGTTGCATCCACAGGGCGTTTCTAGGTCCTAGGGGTTGAGAAGGGTGCCTCTTTTCATATCTTCATATGCTGGCAGTTCTGTATCAGTCGGGCACTCGTTGCAGGATGGACTGCACAGCCCATATTACGTGACAGTGAGTTCGGGAACTCTTCTACTGCGGAATGCTGGTGAACCAAGGTTGAGGCTCCTCGTACGTGTACTGTCACACGTCGAGATGGCATGGCTCTCAGCGCGCGGTTGCTTGCTGCTTTTTGCGGACGTCATGAATCATCAGCGTGAGACTCTCCTATCTTGTCAGCAGCACTGCAGAGATGGAGCCGGAGTAGCCCACCACAACGGGAGGATTCTCTCTGCTTGTACCCAAGTTAGCAACGCGCGCAGCCACGTAGTACGTCCAGGCGCCTAGGTGGTAAGGGAATGCTTCCGGGTCAGGAACCGATTCAAACTCATTAGCCGAGATGCCAAGAGACCCGGGTGTGTCAACCAGTAGAGCAGCTGGATATTCGCTTGAAGCCCCGTAGTCTGAGAAGACCTTGTGCGGGAACAATTCACTGAGGATCTTACAAATCTATTGGGCCGAGTGAGTCATCCGAGAGGCCATATCCAAACCGTAGTCCTTCAAAAACAAAGTGTGCAGGAGTGGCTGTGCTACGCTCAGCAGCTTCAGCTGAACTCGCCCGACCCAGCTTGTCCTCCGAGAAGCCCAGGTTCTGTGCAGGTGCGGATGAAGCCTCCTGCACAACAGATTGACAGCTTCTGGTTGCCTTTGGCTGCCTACGGGCTGCTTGATGCTGCTTGGACCCGTTCCTGGCCTTCCTCCTGAAGATGGTGAAGTGGGCTTCGTAGAAATGGCTAAGGGGGCTGCAATCGACGTGATACCTTCAGGCTGACACTTTGGTGACCAGCAACGCCCAAGGCTGTGAGCTGTGAGCAACACAGCTGCAAGCCAAGCTCTCGGCACCAACAGTATGCGATCTCTTGGTCTCCTGGCAGTGAGATGGATGCCCCAGAGCCTTGAGATACTTCTGTGCACTTCTGTGCACTGCGGTTCCTCTCCTGAGGCTGCAGGTCAGCGACATCCCGGGAATTTCGGTCCAACTTCCTTCCGTTACTTCGATCGGATGCGTTGCCTGCATCGGCCTCACAAGATCTTCCGTGATGCTCTCACGTTGCAATGCTGCAATCTGCCACCGAACAGCAAGTGGTTGGGACAGCTGCCCAGTTACCAAATGGCCGGGTAGGCGTACCAGAGCCAACCTTCTGTCTTGTCTCAAGTGACGATGGCAGCTGACAGCAGCTGAGATACCGTCTTGCGGCTTGCGCATGCGATGCTAAGGTAGGTGCTGCCGCTCGTTCTGCAGTGTTGCTGAGACACCTGACCTCAGTCTGGACTTCACAGCGGAGTGCGGAAGACAGCATGAGAGACATGAGAAGTGAGGGTGTGGGTGAGGGTGCGGATGTGGATGTGGGTGTGAGTGGGAGATAGTGCGAGTGTGAGTGCGAGTGAAGACTTCCGATATCTTCCGATAGCATGCTGCATTGCCAGTGCCCAATTTTTCGAATCCCTCCCGCAGCACAGTTCGTCTCGTCGCGACCGTCCTGAAGCCGTCTGTCACCTCCGCGTTCGCTTGCTGTCATGATACGTACTTGCCGTGGCAGTGCGATGCATACAAGCCTTCTGGTGCACGTTCCATGCTGTGAACCCTGTTTGAGCCTTGCTTTCGCCTACCGCAGCCGGCGTGCTTCTCGCTCAGTCTCCAGGAGGGCCAAGATGTCACCTGCAATCGAAGGCGCTTGCTCACGAGTGCTTGGTTGAGTACCCTAGCTGCTCATAGCTGCTCTGAGGCGGCGGCCCTCACGCACGGGGCCCTTCACGTTGCGGATCAAAGAGCGGCCGGCAAGCTCAGGGGCCGTCTCGGTCATGAAAACAACACCTCGGAAAACTTCTACATTGCTCCGTGCCACTGCACATCAAACGCTTAACAAATCGCACTTGCTGTCAGGAGACGAACCTGGATCACACCACCACGAGACCCAGTCCTTCCCAAGACCTTCTCGACCTTTGCCAGCTTCACCTCAGCAAGGAGAAGGCATCCCGTTTAAAAGGTCCCGGATGCCTGCATCGCTACCTGGGGTACATACAAACTCTCCCGATGATTGGTTTTCATACGTTCGGTAACGAACATCAAGAGCCAGTACTTTGGGCGAACATGGCTGCTATTGCATTTCCAACTTGCTTTTGCTTTTTCTAGGACCAAACAACGGCCAAATTGACATCAGCCCTTCAGACTTTCAAACGTGTAAGAATAGTAAGAACCTTTCCTGAAAAACCAGAGGCCTGCAGGCTGTGCGACCCCTGGGCCGCACCAGCGAGCCACACGAGTTTACTTCGAACATCCCCACCCTCTCGATACTCTGGGGTTGGGCACTCCAGGGACACTCTGGGGCCGGGAGGGACACTCTGGGGTTGGGCGCTCCAGGGACACTCTGGGGCTAGGCACTCCAGGGATGAGCGAGGAGTAGACCGGGCGAGGAGAAGAGTTCCGGGGCGCGGAGAAGAGTAAAGATTAGGATCTAACAGCCCCACACCGAGGGTGGGGAACAACTGAAACACAGAGGACACCATGGACTCCGGAAATATGAAACCGCCATAGCCCGTGCGGAGACTAAAGTAGGCTAAGCATGGTTCCACGATCTTTTGCACTCCGCACTCTCTGTGGAGGGAAGGTGAGCCCTTAAGCAACTCCATTGCGTCACTATCTCAGAGATCTGGTGTTGAATGAAGGCTGCAGCATTTTGCTTTGCAGTTACTCGGGTTACCACTACAGTCGCGGGTAGGCCAAGTCAAGCGGCACCGCCCGCGTCCATGGCTAAGAGAGAGCTTGTGCGAGGCTGCTGCAAGGGGAATCTTCTGGAACCGCTAGCAGCCACGGATCAGGGACACACCGATCAGTGATGGAATGGTGCTCATGCCACCCTGACATCTTCGTGTCACTACACACGCCCACGGCCCCAGCTCGTCTCCAGTGGTCAGCGCTGCTCGCACGCGATATAGGTGAGGCCCTGCGGGTGGTTCGTCGACCGTTGCCTGCGAAGCCACTTCCTTCCACTTTGCCCCCGGCCTACTTTGCGCACACAACACAGAGAATCACAGACGCAGCTCGGAGATAACAGGTGCACCAGCCAGCGCACCATAACCAGCGTGCGGGCTTGATTGGGCCCCAGGGATCGCACAGATTGGAGCCCGCGGTCCTCGTTTCAACTTTCGACCATTTCAAGGCCATAACATCCTCAAAACCCTACTTGTGACATGCTTGATGTTGCTGAGCGACTGCCAGGCCATCCAGACCCGTGTCATCTCCTCAAGCAGGAGTAGCTTTCGGAATACCCGCCGCCAAGCTCATCCATCTGCAACCCAGGGCGGCACGGACCAGCGTAAAGCGACCGCGATTGAGTTCACCTTGGCTAGATGCAGGTTCCAAGCCAGCTGCACATCAAGTTGCTTCACCTTTTTGGCTCTTTCAGGATCTCACTGGACCAGTTTGCCACATAGTGCATGGTGCACAGCACGAGCACCTTTTCTCCAGGCAGCGTAGCGATGACCTGAAACGCGCACAGCCGACAACAGCTGGACTACAAATGTGGCCACGCCGTTAGAAGCACACGTGGCTGTCCTCGTGCATGCCATTCACGTCGCGCCACGGTCCGGGTGGAAGGCCCAGGACTTCGTCATCCTGAACCCAGGCAACCTCAATGCAAGTTAGGCCCGTTAGGCCACTTTCGGAGTGACTAATTTAAACAAGAACCTATGGACTTTGATAAGGAAACTCGACCTCCCCAACGGATGCTTTACCGGTCATGCTGAGACTCGCACCTGGCATGCTGGTAGGGTAAGCCCAAAAAATTGCCTGCTCCAGGGGCTCAGGCAAGTTGATCTCAAGGCTTCGCATGTCACTGCTTCGAACGGTCATTTTCAGTCATGATGAACTGATGAACTCACAAAGTCGAGCCCGTGTTGCATGGCCCTTCACACAAGGATCCTCTGGCCAATGGATGCAACTCACCAAACGCGAAGCGATTTGTCATTTGAACTCCAGGATATGCATCGGTGGGCGCGTGACCGGAACTCTGCCAAATTGATTTTTCTAAGAGGCCTGGGACCCACACACCACCCCACCACTAACCCCAATTTCATGCCACGCCTGCCCATGCTTTCTACGCTTGAGGACAAGAAAACATGCAGATCCGCTACAAGGCCGTACGTTACCTTCAATGACAACCACCAGCAGAACCCAAAAACAACCACAACAACGCTTGTGCAGGCAGTGCCTTCGCTCTTTCTTGTCCCCGATGACCACATGACAGCCTTGCCTGGCGCATCTATCTCTCGAGACGATAGAGCCCTCACCACTCTCCACCTGCCAGCGTTGGCCATCACCTGCACACTGTTCACAGCACATTCTTCAATGGCTTCAGATGATCGTTTGCATCAGAAAAGTGTCGGCCGACAGCTTGCAAAGCTGAAGGCGAGTTGGGCATGACTCAGATTGGTGCGCCGCTTGGGAGCCTGGTACTCAAACTCCGCACACTTCATCGGCTGGTCAAGCCAGGGAAGGCACACGTGGTGGCTCCTTACCGAAATCTTGGATGAAAAGCCCCACGAAGGGCCCCTTTGGAAGGGCCCCTTTCGTGGACACACGGGGGGAGCGACAAATCCGAGATGCGGAGTCGCTGTGTCATGTGGAGTTGCAGCTCAAGGCTCCAGGTCCGCTGCCGGCTATACCTCGGAGCACGTGGAAAATCCCGGAACTCGAAGCAGCGCAGAGTCTCTGCTAAATGGCACTCCGCTATGGCGAGTGCCCGGAGAAGGTCGATGAGATAGATTGCCCATCACGCTTCAGAAGGCAGTGAGACCCCTGCAATTTTATGAGCTACGGCCCCTCAAAGGCTGACACAAGTCATGCCAGCGCGCCTCCCTGTCAGATTCCGGGGTGAAGAGGGCATTCGACACCAACAACAGACAATCGTCCTTGCGTATCTGCAGGTCTCGACAGATGGCCACGGAAGCAGAGGCAAATAGAGGAAACATGGCAGAGGAGCTCCTCCTCAAAGGGTTTCAGCGTTAGCTGCTGACCCTTGACAGCCGTCCAACGCTCCGAACTCCCATCCACCTCTCAGAGCTCTTAAAGGTTTCAGCTCAAGGTCACAAAACAGCGCCATCACATTTACCGCGCACTCTCAAGACATTTCGTCAGGGACTCTAATTAGAGCAGAACCGTCACCTTCAACTGGGCTGCCAACGCGTTGACGGTCTGCAGACTGAGCTATCGACACCTTTGTGAGCAGATCTTAAGTCGTTCAGCAAAAGTAGTTTCACCCAACAATTCCATCAACACCACACACCAAACAGACAAATTCCGGGCAGATATGCAACCCATGTAAGGCACACACCGTGTAGGTGTCATAACAGGGAACGATGCTGTCCAGCAGTCGCTGCAGAGCCTTGCACTGAACAGCCCCTTCCAGAAAAACGCGAGCAACAGTTGTCAAGGTGGGCTACCTCTCCATCATCTGGTGCTTCATCTTGCTCAGGGTCCCTTTCCTTGCCAAAAGTACGCCGCCCCGGCAGGTGGCACGCTGCGGCTCTTTCTGGCGTGCCTCCTGTGCCAATTCATCTTCCGCCTTTTGCCGCTCTGAAATGAAAGCTTGACGCCAGAGCACCTGCAAGAGATGGAAGTGCTTGTTGCTCGGTTCCATTCCGCTTACCTAGTCCGCAATGAGCACGACGTACATCTGCTCACCGGTACATCTTGTTGGATGCGTATTCGAATTGCGGATACTTGGCCCCTGCTCCACGCCTGCTCGCTGAGAACTGTGTCGGCGGCATCCTTGCGAGCCGAAACCGCGGCATCTGCAGCCTGGCATGTGCCAGGTTCTCTCCAAGCCGCCCCTCGACTCTCAACATCTCTCAACTTGCAGACCTTGGCAGCCCTGGACGTCAAACTCTTCTGCAGCTCCTCTTCCTGGCAAGATGCACCGTCAATGAAGCTGTCAAGCAAGCCAACATCAAGCATCCAGGCTTCCGCATCGCACAAGCAGCAGGGGACGGGACGATGGGTGACTTGCAACTAAGTATGGAGATTTGGCGTCTTCTTATCCTGTCCGGGGATCTTTCGTGGTGAGTCCAGATGGCAATGAGCCCGAGAGTTACCCTCAGGATGTTTATCAAGGATCCCTTTCAGATTCTTTGATGTGCAAACACAAGTAGACCTGGTCGTCCCATGTTCAGATGGGAGCAAAGACATCTGCCATAGAACACAAATTGAGCACTCTCTCACTGCCTCCTCCAAGGATTTGGTCTCTGCAACCTTCGAGCCGCTAGCCTGCTGAAAACTTCTGCAAGGCTCTCTTTTTTCACAACTCTTCTGTTGGATCGCAAAAGTCGCAAGTTATTGAACTGCTCATATGATATGCAAGGCCTGCAGCTGGCATGCACCGACATCTGCCGAGCTAAACGCAGTCCTGCATAGAGGCTTGCAACAACCGGCCTGCAAGCCACTCAAGCATCGAAGAGACGCAAGTCATTCTCGACGCTGTCCTGTGAGGATTTGGGTACCTCAGAAGCCCATGGGCCATGGAACAAGGCTGTGCCTGACATCATGCCTAAGTGCCCGACCCAGCATGCGTCAGGATAGTCTCTTCAGATTCCATATGCCGCACTTGTTCATACTGCAACGCCTAAAAACATGCACCCAAATCAAGCATAACGAGATTACGCATCAAATGGGAGCTAGTTGCTGCTGCCGATGCACACCTTTCTGTTCCTGCAGGTAAGATTGTTACTGTAGAGTCTAATTGGCTATACAAAGAGCTCGGTTCAGTTGTCCGCCACTCAAGATAGACTTTTCACTGGTGCAAAATGCTCAGGGTTGCAGTTCTCACGACTTCTCATCCTAGTCGTACCTTGAAACCTGAAACCTTCGGGATCAGCGGGTCTGCAGCTCCGAGGTGCATCCCAAGCACAGCAGAGGCAGTCAAGGCTCAGAATGCAGAACATGCGGGCTGTAACAGTTCTGCCGAGGTACCCAAGTGCCAACCTTACCGTACATCGCACTGACACCAAGGATTTTGTGCAGAGTCTCCACGGACTCTACAGACATCTCTGCTAGATGCGCAGCGACTGCGTGAGTGTGCGGAAATGCTGGTTCGCGCAGGGGAGACCTTGCTGCCGGCGCGAACAGCATATCTGTACAGCACGAGCGTGATGAATTGTCCATTGCAACCCGTCTGATCTAAGGACAGGACTTGGCTTTTCGCCTTTTCTTTGCCCGGGGAAACGAAAGATCCCTCCAGCGCCTTGACTGTCGGCGGGCGAAAGGCCCACGAGCAGAAGCCATCTGTGAAATGAACTGCCGACTGCGCACGGATGAAGGCCTAGCAAGCCCAGCCACAGGAGTTGCGGGAGGAGGGCGAGCGGACTGAGCGGACTGAGTGGGCTGAGCGGACTGCTCACTCCAGGCGACGAGACGCCGCTTGCCAGAACGCCCATGTTGCTTGGAAGGTGGCGTCGCAACAGCCCGCAGGGGCAGCAATCCTTGGTCTCCGCTGAAGTCGCGCAGGGTTTGAGTCAGGGCCTGCAAGGCTGAGCCGGCTGAGCCGGCTGAGCCTTCCTTTGACTCCTTCGACTCCTTTGACTTGACAAGGAAGTACTCCAAGGAGGTGCTGAAAGTGACGAACTCCATGTTACAACCACTCGGACTTGCCTGCAGTACTTTGCTGCAGCGGATAGCCGACTTCAGAGACTCTTCGGCTGCCCTCGCTGGGTCATCGAAGGCCTCATGGCTCCGGGGTAACGGCATCAGGAAGACGCCTGCTCCCGCCACGTTGGTTATGCGCAGTCGCTTCGTCTTGTGCTCGATGTATGGCAAGATTGACTCTGCTCTCTTTTCCGACATGGCACGGTAGCCAACCTTGATAAAGAGAAGGTCATCAGTCGGAACAAATGCACAATACAATGTATGCCTGGGCGACATGTAGACACCAAGTCGGGAGATCGGCTGCCATTGCTCTGCAGCAAAGTTGAAAAACACAGAGTCGCAAACAAGCAAGCGGCCAAGGCCTCGGCTTTGAGAACTTTGGGAGTTTTGGGGAATTGTCCTGCCTTCCAGTAGGGTAAGCCTGCACAGAGCGGTCCTGCTGTCATCTCCAACACGACGCAGTCTTCCCCCTTTTAAAACCCTTGCATCTGCCAATGGCAAACTGCCTGCCAGATGCAGTGCCACCACATTTGAGATGGAGATGTTCTTCTTCCGATACGACTGAATGCCTTGCACATGCACTGAGATGCCAGCTGTTGAAAATCTGATGGAAGATGCACAAGCTGGCGAGTCAGTCAGCAGTCTCCGGCGATTGATGCTACCAGCATCACCCTCCGAATCGTCGTCAATCTGCAGATTTACAGGCTCCAGCTCACCACTGCCGCTCTGAACACTGACCACATCTGAAGCCGAGCTGGCACTGCTAATTTGGCTGGCGCTGCTAACGCTGATCCTGTCCGGCCGGCTTTCTTTCCTCTCTTTTTTGGGCTTCGAGGCAGCACCTTGCGCCCTGCAGCAGGCAGCGGCCAGAAGGCAACAAACAGTCGAAACACTCAGTTTCAGCAACGTCTCCTCCATGGCATCACATCCACATCTTCTCCAGAGGCACACGCGGCGAACGACCCCGACTGAAACGGTGCGATTGGCCCAGTGGCTGCGCGATGCCGCTTGCAGTTGCTCTGATGTACTCTGGAGTGCGCGCTCAAGGGGGTTGGAGGTTGCCAGGGTCGGCAGATGCTAGTGGATTCGACAGAAGATTCGAGTAGTGGTGCCTGGTACGTGCCTTTCATCGGTGTTCGTCAGACAGTCATGTTCAACCTGTTTACAAACGGCCACCCTCCGAAGCCTTCAATTGAGGTCGCACACTTGCCACATGGCTACTGCATTGTTGCTAGTACGTGGAGCAGAATGCTTGTTGAAGAGCGCTCAACACCAAAACCGAGCCACTTTCTTCATTGCTGCCTGCGGGCAAGTCAACTTCTCCCCAGAGTCGACAGATGCTGTCAAACTGATCACCCAGTTGGCGTGACAAATCGGCCTCCGAAGCCAAAAGAGCAACGGTCGTGGACGTTGCAAAGAGTGGCCACGTGTGGTCTGTCTTGAAGGTAAGCCCATTGGTAAAGACCCGACGCTTCCGCTCTGAGATTGCCACTTTAAAGGGGCTCTCAAATAATTCTTCCAGGGCATTTCTGTCTTCTGCCTCGCGTCTGTGCTCGAGACCTGGTAGAACCAAAAACACATAGAGGGCTTTTTTGTGATGCACAGCGCTTTCAAAGGCTGCCAACAACTTCTCAGCCAGTCGCAATACCAAGCCGCGAACAAAGGGGGGATTGATCTCATAGACACCACCCATGGTGCCCAGGTCCAAGTCTTCCTGCAGAAACGGGCCTAGAGAGCCGAAGAAGACATCCAGGTCGTCAAAGACCGAGCAGAAGTGCCAATTTTGTTGGCACAGCAGCGGCGACGCGAAGCACTCCAATCTAGCCAATCTGGAAGACTCCAGGCCCTCCAGAGCCGAAAACACCTCGTCTGGAACGGCTGCATGCAGTCCTCCTCCCTCTTTGTGTCCCGGCCCAAACAGCGTGTCATAGCGACATAACGTGCAGAAAGTCAGGTTCCAGAAAGTCGAGTCCTCTTGCAAGAAAGCCACGGAGGATGCCAAACCACCGCCACCTCTGGATTCTGACAAGGCTTGGATGCGAGTTCACGCAGAACATCACAGAACTAGAGGTGAACCTGGAGGTCCTATCCCCCACTTATCGACCAAATCACCCGCATGGACATGGCAAACACTTGCTTCTCCGGCTAGGTAGCTGGTCTCGATGTCGACGGCCATGAGCTTGGCGCGCTTTGCCGCTTTGCGCAGTAACTTCCTGGCAGCTGCCATGCTACTGCTACCAGGTCACTCACTCAACATATGGCATAGATGGAAGATCTGCCTGAAAGGTACCATCCATGTAGTACTAGAATCATGGGCAAGACTGACAGGTGGGATAGATTTCAGGGTCTTTGAGGCAGTAACAACAATATGATTACGGGCTCCAAGTTCCAGGATGATGCGGTCTATCAGCCAGGAGTCAAGGTCTAAAGTAAGACCTACAGCCTGTAGACAATTTCCTTTTGGGTCTCCCGTTCTTTCTAGCGGTTACAAACGATTTCCTCCTCCACAATCCTGTCTCAAAGCCCTGGAAAACCTTACAAAAGCACCACCCCTAAGATACTAGCGGGTGAACTGGACCTTAGAATGAAGGTGCAGAGAGCATCTTAATTGCAATATAAGCGAACCAGAGAGCGCATGAATACAATTAAGAGGTGAACGAAACGGGTGATTTAACAGATAACCGTCTATGACCAAGACTGCCAAGGAACAAATCAACCAACAAGCATTCTAACTTTCTTGCGGGTTTCGTTCACGCCTTTATGAATATAATTCGTGCGCTTCTTCCCAACGCTTACAATCATACAATAAATGCGCTCTATCACACAAGAATATTAATTGACATGGAGTTCACGACGCAGGCAGTTTGTACTGCATTTTGAGGTTTCAAAGGGGCTGATGGCGTTCTGAGTATTGCCCCTTTAGATACATATATACTCAATTGCTAACATGCTGCCGCCTCCTTTCTGGCGCGACAGGCTCTGCACAGTCGGAGCAAGTCGGAGCAGCATGACGAGTTCATCGACATATCAAAGGTCCTGCCTGCACCTCAGCCAAGCGCCAGCCGAGAAGGTGCTGGTGCCTATTTGAGTAAGTCCTTGTTGATGAAGCTACTCACAAAGGCAGTGTACTCTCCGAAGTTGACGACGCCATGGTGCCAGCTGTCTGGAAAGTACAGAAGCTCACCGGACTTCACCAAACATTCTCGCAGGTTCTGCAGTTGCCCAGAGCCTTCCATGGCAGGCCTCCTCTCCAAATGCCAGTGGTACTGCGACATCGATGCGTTGAATTGCATGTCCTTCTCTATGTCAGCAAGAGCTGGATCTCCAGGTGGCAACAAGACAAAGTGCTTCGCACCATGGAAGACCTCGACGCATGCAGCAAAGTAGCACTGTGTACCCCCGAGTACCCCGCTGTATTGAATGGGGGATTGGTTTCGCTTTGTTTTGCTTTGCCTAGTCTTGATCCTCTTTGCCTCTCTTCTGAGACCCTACTGCCTCTTTCACTGCCTTGGGATAAGCTGTTTGAGGGCCCCGGCCTCGACGAAGGCCGCGTTGTGGAAGTGCCAGGGCGCACCTGAAAAGAGTCCTCCGAGGCCAATGGTGATGGCAGCAGCTGCTGCAGTACAGACCTGGCAAGGAGGCAACTTGTACATGTCACGTAGTGGTGCCCAGTTCTCTCCAAACTCACCGAAAACGTATCGGTTGTCCTCCGCGTTCTTGCTGATAGGTTTCGGTAGCCATTCTTGAAGATACTCAGCTAACGACATCTCGAAGATGCCTATCCTCTTGCTGCCGGCTTGGCTCGGCGTGCACGAAACATTGCCCATGGAGCTAAGTAGAACATCGTACTCCAAATTGTGACGCATCAGGCGATTCCATTGTCTTGGCACCTCCACGACATAGGGCTCATCTGGTAGCGGCAAATTTTCCTGCCCACGAGGCCACTGAATGCGCTTGATGGTGCACCTGTTTCTCCAATACATGCCTGTTTCAAGCTGCTCTTCGCGTGCACGAGGCTGGCACGAGATGTTCCCATCGTTCTCACTGCTTCCGTCGTTGGTAGGGTTTGCTTCGATGCCCAGGCAACACAGCACCACGACCTGTATCGCTTTCGTCATGCGACATACATGTGAGCTCACGTGAGTCATCGTCATTGAACTAGATGTGAAGGCTCATTGTCATGGCACCATATCATGTGGCTCATGTTCTTCGAAGTGCGCAGTGCAGATTCCAAAGGCCAGGCACCAATGCTACTTTACTAGTGTAACAACTGCGTGATGTCGCGGAAGCGGCGATTTCCTGCGGCAGTCAGTACATGCACGTGATCCATATGCAGGTGTGTAGAAACATTTACAATGTGTACGTAGATACATATGCTCAACGAGACTGTGGATGCTTCAGCTCGGAACAACGAATCACAAAGAAACCCACAGAGGAAGAGACATGAATGTTTATCACGGTCTGCTCTTCAGCTTTGGGTGGGAACTATGCGGCCAATGAGGAAATGAGGAACTCAACAGCCGACTCGATAGAGGCGTGGGGCCAATTAAGGGCTGCATGCTGCTGCTGTAAGAAGACTGGAAGACCCGCCATTAAACCTGCCAGGCACACCCCAACCTGGCCAACGCCGACGGACTGATGGTAAAGACCTCCGAACTTCCCGCGTCGGCGGACTCGCCACCGCTGCACTCCGACTCCAAGTCCGCAGCGGGGAGAGTTTCTAGACTAGCCCCTTCTGGCAGCAGCGAGAAGAGATAGCAACCTCGCCGCGCGTCGAATGTCGCCGACACAGAGCTTCCACGCTCCAGCTCGCTCAGCTCGCTGAACTTCTTGCGCAGGGAAAGGACCGAAGCAGCAGCTTCTAAGGCCAGCTTCGAACAGATTTCTCGGACTCGGTTCTCCATTGTCCTTGCAGCTTCAGCATCCAAACCAGGCAGGAGCTCTCGGCACAAATTCCGGCATAAACCCTCGTCAGCTTCGCTCGTTGCTGCACTGTGAGGTCTTGATTCATCGCTCGCGGGACCTCCCCAAAGAGGGTCTGCGCTCTTGCTGTTGAGACGCTCCATGAACCACTTGTTAAGTGCCTCTCTGGGTGCTCGGGAAGGCGTGCGAGGCGTGCCCGGCTCTGTGAGGACTTCTCTGCAGAGCTCTCCATACCTCGCATCAAAGCGGGCACGCAGGCCAAGGACCTCCACTCGCCGGAGGTGCTCCCAAACAGGGCTCGGCAGCGCTGTGCCAGCGTCGCCAAGACGGCGCAGCCAAACTCGCGCCAGGGGATCCTCCGCACACTTTGCCTCGGTCCGCAGACGCTTCATTGAGGGGCCATCAGCGAGGCTTGTTGCACATGATGAGGCCATCCAGATCCAGTGTTACCACGTCTGCGCGAGCTCCGTGCGTGGCAGTGGACACTCGGACAGGACAGCAGTTTGACTTCCGGCAATCCTGATCTGGCTTGAGGCCAAAGGCTGACGGGCATTGTCAGTCCGAAGGCTCATGTCGCATAACACCAGACACATTGCCAAACGTCCTTGAATGCCCACAAACGCTTTGCCTATGAAGCCCTGCCTCGTTTCCAGGATGAAGCCTCTGAGAGATTTGCATAACCTACTGCTGCGTTTGCAGTCCGGAAAACGGTTGCGCATCTACACGGCTTCTGTACATTGCTCACACTTTCACAGCTCGCTTCCACGCTTGTGGCTTCCGCTTTGTCAGCCTCAAGATTGCTCACATCTACGGCAGTGCCTCAGCCCTTGTAACAGGTGCAATTGAAGCAAGATGATTTGCAGCTGGGATACTTGATTGAAATCTTGCCTTTGCGAAGTTTCCAAGAAGTGCGATCAGACCTGCAACAGGATCAGCTGTTCATCTAAGTGGAGAAGTGTGCTTTCAACCTCATGTACCAACCCTATATAAACCGTCTTCTGCACATGCAAGGTTGCAGCTGAGGCAAGCACTCCACCTTAGCCAGAGGATAGCAGTGAAGCAGAAAGGGAAATGCTGCTGAAATTGCAGCTTTCTACTGGGTACCGCTTGTTAATCTGTTAGTCCATTTGGTCAAGTGGCTCGTGGTTTCTTGGGTGGATGCTTTCAGCTTTCAGCCTCTCAGCCTTTCAGCTCTGAAGTTTTCTTTTTCCCATTTCGGGTTCTCTGAGACAGGAGACGGTTACGGAGAGTTTATAGGTCAAGTGCAGGCAAAGGTCGCTGTGGCAGAGCGGTGCGAGGCGCAGGGTCCAATCTGCTCTGGTGGCAGCCTGAGCGAGTTATATCGGCTAGTCCTCCACTAGTTATCCACAAGTCACACGGCTCTGCAGCCCTCGCAACATGCCGGCACAACCGATAGCGCTGTAGGCACGCCATGCAGTGTGACAACCAGCTCATTGTCCTTGCTCAGAACCTGCCGTAACAAGTCCGGAAACATCGTTCTGCCAAGAGCTGCCCTTGGCTCGGACTTTCAGCCTCTATGTGCTCTTCCTTCACGTGCTCAGCGGCACCTCCATAAAGATCCTTCAGGGCTCGACAAGGGCACGAAAATCTCAAAAGGGCACCCAGAAAGGGCACCAGGATCAAGGTCCTTGTCAGCCTCAATGATGATAGTGGCTGAATCAGAGGCATCCGCAAACGTGTAGTGCTCAATCGTCTTCTGCACACCCCCACCTTCCTTGCAAGCAAAGGTCGCTCGGCTGCATGCCTATGTCACTTCGTGAACCCAGCCTTCTTCACAGCAGGCATCTGGCAGCGCTCTAACTCGGACAGCACCTGCAACCTGGATTCCCGAGACATGCCCGATGCAAACCTAAAACAAAAAGAGAGCAAACACGGTTTGCTCGAAGCCTCCAAGTCCCATCCTGAACGATCCTGAAAGCCTTTCAACTATAACTGCACGGCTCTGCACATGGGTCACCCAAGTCCATGGCCAAATAAGAAACGCTTGGTGCTTAACCGTACTGCTACACCGAACATCACGTGGACGAGGGGGGATCAAGGCTCAATCGGGGAGTCCTTCATACATTGTCATGGTGCAGGTGGCTCTTTCGTTGGCTCCTTAACTGTCACAGGGGTCCTGCGGGTCAAGGGGCCCATCCTCGAGACGGAAATGCTTCGGGAGCTGCTCCCGACTTGCCACATCGGATAGATCGGCTTTGATCTGAACTCTGGTTACTTTCGCCAAATGTAGTTCTACTTTCGCCATTCGCCAACCTCATTGCGCACTTTCACGGAGGCCTTGTTGAATTGCCCCGGACGTCCGGTGCTTCGGCGCGTGACTCTTTCTTTCACGAGTATAGGGATGCGCACGCCAGTAAGGCTGTCATGATGCCGTTGTCCATAGTTACCCATATGCTCCCCACCATGTCCTGACTCTCTTTTTGTCTCGACGGGATTCTACGGGCATTCGTGTGCACGCCACAGCACAGCTTGCATCATTGCATCGCTCATTTTCCCCCTGGCCACCCAGGCCTAGGGCAAACGAAACGCAAGAAGACTCCGGGCGCCTGGTTTGCTCTTCCGGACTCAGCGCAACCTCTGCAACGGATGAACTGCTGAACTGGGCTGAACTACTTGAGGTCACAATTGGGGCAGCATCCCCGCACCTCAGCTTCTGCGGGAGCCTCCGGTCCAGCCTCCGCAGGCTCCGCAGGCCTGACACGCTTCGGGATGATGCTGCAGCGGTGACTCTTTGAGGCACATATCATATTGAGGCACGGCGCGACTCTCCTTTTGACAGTTGGGTAGCTGGAGCAAGTCGGACTCACGTCACGCAGGCAATCCCAGCGAGTGGCGCAGAAGCTGACCTCAGACTTCTAGCGACCCAACAGTAACAGAATTTCTCAACTTGGCTCCACCAGCAAGGGCGCAGCTCAGCACTGCAGGTCCTCCGAGAATCTCTTCCTCGGACCTAAGTCAAAAAGCGCGTTGAGGCGACGAGGGATGGCAGAGTCGGTGAGGGCGACATACACAGGGCAGGATAAACAGGGCAGGAGGGCAGCTGGCCAAGTTCATCACCATACTTGGCATTGTTCAAGATAAGTATGTGGGAACCTGGGAGCGACGCAGCACGCAGAACTATCTCAGACATGTATACTCTGGCAATCAGGGGCGCGTAGGATCAATTGGACCAACTCTGAGCATTTCAAGTGTGTAGAACTCGGGCCAGAAAAATCCGGAGAGCTTATCAATAAACATCGACCCACTCCAAGATTCTAGACCTATGCCGCCTATTCGGAAGGTTTGATCTTTGACAGGCCCTCGTTCCAGATGGCACATCTTTTACCAGTACCTGCTCAGTCTGCTCAGCTCCAAACTCAGCTGATTTCCCAGTGCTTCGCGAAATGGCTGGATCGCCCAAAGCGCCTCCTTTGTCCACATAATCGATGAAAAACGGTGCTCGCAGCACTCACGCTGGTGGCCTTTTCCGGGTTGTGTGCCAGCAGCGCCTGCCAACAAGACAGCACAAAGCAATGCGAAGCATGCAGATGTCTGTGCATACTGGTCATATGGCCGGGGCCATCACCTTGCTGACACGTTGGCTGTGGACGAGGCTGACTGGAACAAAGACGTCCCGCAGTATCTCCTACAAACTTGGTTGGTTTGGCACAGTGTTGTGCAAACTAGCAGCCCTGCACGAAGGGATGGCTTTGGTGGCAGATTCCTTTGTGACTTGTAACTACGCAACTATGCAGTAACAGGGCTTACGACACGGCATCCTGACGAGCTAAGCTCAGTGATTGGCGCAAGTACTTAGTGCCTTCACACAGACATACATGATGACACACCGCACAGTATCACGTCCTGCCAATAGAAAACATCCGTCCTTGGTGTGGCGCAGGATGATTGTGGTATGTTGTGGTGGTAAGCGGGCTGTGGGCTGCAGAATGTTGCTGCCGCGCGCGAGGTGGCGTGCTGGCATCGAGATGAGTGCGGAACAGTGCAGAGCAAGCTTCTTTTGGCTCATGACTTCCGGAAGTTTTTCTTCCAGCCGGCCATGAAGAGCGTCGAACCTTGACAGCTTCTGCGCACGTGGATCCAAAAGCTTCAGAGAGCTGGGCGCACCAGAGCTGCGTTAGCTCCGAGTTCGGACGGAACGGGCCCATGTCCTGGCAGGAGCCATAAATATATATATATATATATATATTACATATATATATATATATATATATTTGTTTATTTATTTATTTATATAAACATATATATATATATATATTAATATATAATAAACTCATACAAGCTCCACCGGCATGTGGCGGGCAATCGAGCATGGATGGCCGAGACGCCGATGAGCTCACCCCATTCTGCCCCATCATAACCTGAGAAGCTTGGATCAAGCTACAAGCTACAACAGCAGGGCTCAAGGACGCCACTCTAGAAAGCGAACCCTCTCTAGGAGTAGATCCATACGTATTCATGTACCTGCATGCAACACCACAACACGAAAATTCTAAGGTATCAAATACTAATGTCAAGAGAGGATGGAATGTTCAGTATCTTAGTCTCAGAGTACATCTATATCAGTATACGACATGCTTTCCGTTGAGCACATGCAATCAGGGATGCCGAGAGGTAGTCTGCAACCTGCGCGCTCGGATATGGTTCTGGACACCACTGCCGACTCAGAAGCCCCCCAAAGAGTTCCATGGAGCTTCAGTGACGCCATCTTGTGGCGGTGGCCAGGGAGGTGTACAGACTGCGGACCTCCCATTGCAGGCAAAAGCCGTCGCCAGGAACGAGGAAAAGCTGGGGCGGTCCCAAGGAGGGCGGCAGAAGGGAGTGGTTCCGCCAGGCACGCAGCAAGGCCAGTGTTGCCTTCTCCCAGAACATGTCTGGGCGGTGCACTTCGTCAAGCTCGCTTCTTGTCCCGAACTCCTAGCTCCTGGCGGAACTCTAGGTACAGCTGCGCCCGGTGCGGAAGCGCTAGGCAGAACTTGGAGGAGTTGCCATAGAGTACTAGGAATCGTTCGCAGAAACTTTTTGGTCTCGGACACCATGGCTTGCGATGAACGATGGAGGCTTGTTCTCCCGATGTCTTGAGAGCAGCACTTCCCTGAACCTCTGATGAGGATGAAGAAGGAGAAGTGTAGACAGGCGTCATGTCATTACGCTAAATGAGCCTGATTTGGGCCTGATGCTATGTGTTATAGCAATCACGATGAAGCACACTGAGACTATGGCCAACGGCATCAAACTGGTTGCTCTCGACTAGCTCGTAGAGATCGGCAAGGCTCCGCAAGCAAATGGTGTCGACCTGCAGTGTGTATAACCATGGACCCGTCATGATCCGCGACAATCCGGAACTAAGCTGTGAGCATCCAGATATAAGCCGCCATAGTGGTGCAGCAAATAACAACCTGACATCTGAGTTTACACCCCCTGCACTGCTTGAAGCAAAGGGACAGAGTGATTGGGTTGTCTACCTGTCGTTTGTAGGTACAACACTTTCCTTCTAAGAATTATCGTGCCAGTACTGGAACTGGCAGAGACAGAGTGATCCGTTCTTGCTGTGAAGAGGCAAAGCCCCCCCACTCCCAAGCATGGCTGGCAGACGCAAGTAATCTGCTCGGTGTGCCAGATGCAAATAAGGATATGCCGGATGCGGGTCTGGCACGTACTCGGCCACCTTCAGTTCAAGCATGGCTGGCACCAGGCAGTACTCAAAGTACTTGTGGTATTGCAGCATCGTGCCAGGTGGCGTTTTGCGGCGTGATGAGAATAACGGGCCTAGGATGCGCAGAGCAAAGCCTGGCGTAAGGCCTGGCGTGAATGGCATGCCTGGAGCGCACCGCATTCTTCAGTAAGGCCCGGACAGACCAGCGTTGCGACGCACAGTTTCCATGCACAGCCGCAGGTGAGCCGGCCTTCACGGCATGAGACTGTTCGATGAACATAAAGCACAGGGGCACAGAAATCTGTAAAATTCTGAACACTTATGAACAGATCTATACATGAATCCCTGACTTTCTGCTCCAGTTCTCAAGGCTCGGGCATTGGGTTGTTCCCAGTCCAGCACATCCAAACGACCCCTGACCACAAATGCAAAACAGGCATGGTCTTCGAGAAATGGCTTTGGGTGCCCGACGATGGAGCTTACCCTTCTCCAGCCGTGGCCTCTGAGCCGTTGGGATAACAGCACAAGAACAGCTTAAGAAGAAGCGCTCAGGCTTGCAGGCGCCTCCCGGCCACGCCATGTATCGCAGGACCCCCTGAAAATCAAGCGCAGCTTCGTGCACATACGATGGAGCATCATGGAGCCGAACAACAAGAACCGACTGGGCCTGTGGAGTCCCACACGGGCTTGGGGCCGACAGAGGCCACCTAGGGCCCAGTCGGATTGGGGCGGAGGGGGGTGGGGGGGGTGCATACTCATAGAAGCACACCGTTTGCAAAAGGTGAAAGATAAGACCGGAGCCATTCTCAGCCGAGCGCATCTTCCGCGCACCTTGACACGCGGTGCAGTAGTGACTGCCGGCAAGTGTGCGAGAACCAAGATCAAAGACTCAGGCTGGGACTACTGCAGCTGTGAAAGCCATGCCAAGTGAGCGCCATGTCTTTGAGGCGTGTCTTCGCCCAGAGAATGTTTGATGCAGGCTCGTTGCCGAAACTACAGCTCTTGCCAAGTTCGTCGGAGCCCTCTGCCGAGGAACTGAGAGCTGGCGCGGCAACCTGAGCTCTGTCGGCTAAGCACTTTAAAGACTTTAAGCAAATCTCTCCACTACGAGATGACCTGAATGAGTCGCGAACAAGTGCAGCACTGCAGCTGGCTGCAGAGGACTGGCGAGCATCCTAAGCTATATTCTCCTGTCCCTCCACAGTAGTCGAGGCTTGCTCCGAGATGCTCTGCGTTGTGCTGCGCTACTCTTTGCCAAACTGCAGTGCTAGCCGATGGATGCGCATACTTAGATTGGATCTCTGCAACTATGTAGTTTCACTATTGCCAATCATGGATTCAATCTATGCCTGGTGCCGAAAGCACAACCTTGAGCAGAGCTTGGCGATTTCAGCAGCAATCCCAAAGCTCTTCAGATGTCTCAAAGCGCCTGTCTCGGAGTTCTGCTTCGCATTCCTCGCCCTCAGCTTCCAGGATGCTGTCTGGGTCTTTGCCAGCTGCATTCTCCGCAATTACCTGCTCGAGGCTGCTTTGTGCCCCATGTGCCCTCTCTGCGCAGTAATAATCATAATAATAGTAATAATAATAATAATAGTAATAATAATAGTAATAATAATAATAATAGTAATGATAATAACAATAATAATAATAATAATAATAATAATAAACTCCTGGCATCTCCTGGCCTGAGCCAGTCTCTTGCGATGGGCTGAGCTCTCCTGGATCGGACACGACGAGGCATGCAGCAACCAGGGTTGTTCTCCTGAGGCCACTGCATCTTCGACGCCAGGCCTCTGCATACGCTGTATGTATAACCGCACAAACCACATGAAGGGCTGTTTGGCAGCTGTTGGCAGATAAGCTTGAGGAGGAAACAAGCTTCATAAGCAGAAAAACTCAAGAGTAGAACTTGCATGCTGTCAGAATCGTGAGAAACCTCGAAACAGGCTGATGCCCATGGATGTCTGGGGTCGAAGTGCTTGGGACAGTTGCAGCACCAGACGGACCGAGAGGTGTCCTCCTGATTCGAGGCTGAGAACCTTTCTCCCCTCGCCATTGACTGGTACAGTTCGGCTTCACTTCGGAGATCGCTCCCAGGGCATGCACACCAGAGGGATGGTGATTGCCCAATTGCGTGAGCTCTGGGTACCAAAAGCTGGAATACCACTGCTGAGAGCCACGCTCTCCGTAGCCACCGTTCTGATTGCCTGCCTCTTTCGCTGCAGGTATGGCTTCATCGCTGGTGCTCGCGTCCAGCTGGCCTGTGCACAGCAAGAGTTCGAAAAATCACGAAACGCAACAGTCATCCCTCGGAATCTGTGAGATTGGAGCAACATGTGCTGTTGGCGCTCTCTGCCTCCATGCATTGCCACCAAAGATGCGGCATAGTTTCGAATGTCCTGGGCGCAAATCGGGTCAAGCTGCATCGAAGCACACAAGCCACAGGCATCTGCCGACTCCCAGTCCTCTTCGGTCAGGTCTTTCAGCTTCTTACCGCCGAACATGCTTGAAGGTAAACTGCTGTCTGCGGTCTCCAACAAAGTTGTTTCTGTGCATGCCACACCTTGTCGTGGGCCATGCTTATGTCCGTTGCTTTGAACTTGCATAGCAGCCTGAAACTGCTGGCAGTTAAAAATCCTACGATGCTGTCCTGACAAATATTCAACTCGGGTAGCGGACCATCCGCTAGCTTGCGTAACTTGCCAATGCTGCGGAGGAATATGAAACCCCAGGGCGGCATGCACAGGTCAACATGCCAGTGGATGCCTCCTTTATCTTGGACTGGTTGACTTGACACAACTTGCAGACTCACATATTCATGTTGCAGTCAGGACCTTGTATGACTGCACAGTGTGGTCGTGCATGGCTTCTTCATCTTAGGGATCAACTGGCAAATCTCCAACTGCAAACTGACTAAGTTGATGCTCTCTAGCAACTTTTGACCTCGCACTGCATGCAGAAACCGTCGCTAGGCAGTGTCACCCTGTGAGCATTCAGAGCGATTCCTGCAAGCAGTGCAAGTCTTCCTCAGCTCAGAGTTCAGCCCATTCGGCCCGGTCTCAGACAAGACAAGCGAGCAAAATAGGCTGAAGGCCGAGGCACAGAGAACTCGACCTGAGCAGAGCACCCGTCTCCTGGTCGCAACCTGCATGAAAAAAAAAAACACACACACACACACACAAAAAAATAAAAAAATAAAAAAAAGCTCTCCGCAACTTCGCTGCCAAAATTCTATTCTCCGCTGCGTCCGAAGTGCTGCTTCTTCCAGCTGGCAACTGCCAACTCACGAACACCAAACCTGCGGACCATGGCAAGAGGCCCGAAGCTGTGGCCGAAAATAACTTCGGGAGGTCGCACTTGGGTGCACATGTACGTACGACTACTTACGACCTAAGGAAGAAGCTAAACAGAAGCTGGGTATGAGGCGCATCTTCTCGAAATCGCGGCTCGGTCCACAGTGACTCATCTGCCTTTACAAGATCTCGCACAGCAAGTGACATGATAGCAAGATATGGCAAGGCAACGCAGGCTATGGAGCTCCTGACCTCGTTGAGCGCAATTTCGACATCAATGCTGTGGTAGACCTGCTTGGGTCAGCGACTGCCAACATAATCGACGAGCACATTCTGGAATGGATTGGCCTGTAGGATCTCTTCCAAGAAATTGTATGCATTCGCCAGGGGATAATCATCAGAAGCCACAACACCGTACCTGCGAAGCCATGTGCTTGTGCGGCAACAAAGGCCTCATCCGCCACAATTAGGAACTTGGGCTCCTGCGTGTTGCCCAGGCTGTCGGCCGTGAAGAACAGGACGCCCGCACGAAACGACAGCTTGTGCCTAGCAAATTGGCTTTGCAGATCCAGGATGCTAAGCAGCTACGCCACGTGCCATCAATGTGCTGAAACACTGGTTCCTGGGGCCAAGGAGTTCACTTAGAAACATGTTGCTCATATAGCACATCCGGGGCTGTGAGCCCATGGCCTATGCTTGGTTTGAAAAAGTCTGCAACAAGATCCATCTTTAGCCGCACAGTCCGTTCCAGGATGTTCCGTAAACAACTGCAGGCCTGGATCCCGGCTTCACAGAACTGCCGGCAACCCGCAGTACGTCACTGAAGGCCTGGCGGCCAACAGGACAACGTCTCAGATGAATCGCTGGACCGCTGCTTCTCATGATTACGTGGAAGTCCGGAAGTGCCTCTTCGTAAATCTCCCTGTTGGGATCTCCATGAAACAGCCTAGTCGTCCCAAGCACGAGGTAAGCTGCCCGCGAGATGAGCACGGTATCACGCTGTGTCAGAGTGTCACAGCATAACCTATTTCTGTTGACTGGTGAACTTGTGAGGTTGTGACCCTGCGCCCACTTCTGAGGCCGCTTCGGAAAGAGAATCGATGCAAATTGCTTGCCATCCCTGACATTCTGCTGACACACTGGAATCAAAGCTGCCGGTGAAAGAGAGAGAGAGAGAGAGAGAGAGACAAACTTTGCCTGTCCACATGCTTCCCACCTTGCACGACCCGCAGCAAAGAAGCGCATCCCTCGTCGTCTCTGCGCAACTTCTAGCCCCAGGTCCTGCAAGGCATTAAAGAGGTACCGACCGCCATAGTCTCCCTCCATCTCCGACAGTCATCATTCACAATTGTTAACACATTGTGTTCGTTCCAGCTGTCCAGTGCCCGCGCACCTGGTCCCCTTCAAGATCTTGCACGCCCTCTTCAAAGGCCTCGGCTGACTCATCTTGCACGGAAATCCAAGAGAGCAGCGGGGAAACTAGCAGCTCAAAAAGATTCGCGATGCGGTATCCTAAGTCTCTCGACTTGCCGGTGCAGTCTGGCCGCCTGAAAAATCCATGCCTCCACGTCATCAAAGGCGGCCTGAACCTTACAAAAGCACCGGCCAGAGAAACGCGCGGTCTTTTCGTCAGCGACTGCAACAGCCCTGCCTTTGCCTTGCTAGCACTGAACCTCTCATATGACATCATATGACATGGCCCGGGTCCTGGCCGGACCTTGAGGCTGACAGCTGGCGAAGCATGAGGCTCTGAGGCTCTGAGGCCAGTCCAAAACTCTCACAAGTCGACGCTTCATATTTCACCCTGTGCCAAGATGTGCTTCAAGCTTTTCTGTAGCTCGTAAGGCTGTCGTAAGGCTGTCCTAAGGCCATTCTCACATTCACAGGCCCGCTCAGGTGACCCCGCTCTCAAACAGCCTCCACACAAATAAAGCTTGACACAAATAAAGCTGACAATCTGCGTGAAGCAAGCCAGGCACGGCCAGGCACAAACCTACCAAGCCATGGCCTGATACTGCATCGGCTTGCTGGCACGCATTTTGAAGAGGATTCGGTACCTGACGCGCCACTTGCGCTTGTTGAAAAACAACGAGAACAAAAACGCTGAAGCCGCTGATGCTTGATGATGCTGCGAAGACGCCCACACTCACGACATCGAATCATGTCCGTGGGCTTGATCTCGACAAGTGAGCCACACTTTCCACAGATGTACCTGACATGAACTTGGCATAGCCATGCAGTGATGCCAAAAGCGGGATGCACAGCAAAAAATGAAGAAAAACAAAAAACAACACGCCGTGCGCACTTCACTGCTGTCGCGGTGGGTTTCAAGTCCATCTCCGCCTGCTTTGTGTCCTCGAGATTCGAGGCAAAAAACTGGAACATGGACACCTGTTGATGCCAAATAATCACAATCAGCTGCCCACACTGTGCGCAAACCGACTGCTAGCGAATGTCAATAAATCAGATAAAGGAAGACAACACACGCAAGCATGAGCACCAGAACTTGAGCGCTTGAGCGCGCAAAGAGTCCTTCTTCACATCAGACATCTTGCTGTGGGACTAGGATTCTGCTGCCTAGTCCCCACTGCCCTGCATGTTCAGGTGGACTACATGTACGTTTTGAGATGATGCCTGCGCTCTCTTGGTATTGCGGTTCTGGCTCTTACTTGACTACTTGGGCATCAGCGCTGTGCTGCGCAACGGCTTCAGGTCCTGACAGTGCGCAACTCTGATTCGGCAAAAGGGGCGCCCAATCACAGACACGCAAAGTAAACTGGAGTAATAAGGCTTCCTGAACAATTCACGAGCTCGTCGCGCGCCCTTCAGATTCCTCTACAAGGTTTAGACACACACACACACAGACACACACGCCCAGATAGTTCCGCACCTTTTTGTCTTCCCGGCACAGTCACATCCGAAACCAGCGCATCTTCGGTGCATGTGCCTTTGACGACCACTTTGGAAACTCTGGGCCTCACTTGTCCGCTATGGAGTCTGGTGCCTGCAGTTCTTGGGGATGCCAACGGAGGCTGTGGAGAAGCTTTTGACAAGGCAGCCTCGGCATCTTCGAAGGTGAATGCGTCCGGGCAGAGCTCGGGCCTCCATCATATGCATCACATGTCGTGATCTGTCGGTGACATCTTGTGACTTGCCCTGACTGGGATTGCCCTCTCTCCCTTGGGTTTGGTATGTTAGGAGCTCCGAGGAGAGATGCTTCAGAGGCTCAGGGACCGACCCCTTTTGAGCAGGCACAATGACCTGTGGGATTCCCCAGTGCCTTGGTGGGGGCTTTGTGGGAATGGTCGGCTTTGGTCAGGCTTCAAAGGTGAGGGCGGATGGATGGCGCCTGGGTAGCAATACAACCTCCGATTCAGGGAGATATGCTGCAGAAGTCTGATCTCGCAAAGAAACTTCAGCAAGGACTTGTGCACGAAACGTGCCTTCGCAGCCAATTCGGCCGCAGAAGGTTTTTCGGCAACATGCCCTTGACTGCCTTCCGCCAAAAGGACTTGTTTGAGGAAAGTATCGGCCTGGAGAGAAAAAGCGGTGCGTTACAGTACCTGCACAAATCAACACAAAACAATGTTCTCAAGGTTTCTTAGGTCAGGCCTGCGAGATGATAATGGACGGGTTCAACATCATCAATCTGGTGGCCGTCATGATCTGCAGATCAGGGACGAGGTTCTCGAGCTAACGGTTACTAACCGAATCGGCAGCACTGCCTTAGGTCCTCGTGGATCTGTCTTTCCTGAGAGCCAAGGATTCAACTATCAAAAAAGAAAAAGGACGCTGCACTCACGACTAGCACTGCCGTGCAACGGACCTTGCAGATTTTGGGCACTGATCTAAACTGCTCAGCACGACATGTCTTTTTTCCCACCAAATTGACCTTCTTTTTGTTTCTGACATCTGGCCAGAAAACAACATCCGAGAAGTCAAAAGGGATCATGCATCCCTTGCACATGTAAATCCCCACAAGATCACAAGTGATGCTAGCCCCTTGCCCTGCGCGTCTTGGGTTTTTGTCTTGGGTTTTTGCCTACGAGGGCCTGGATTCCGGAAGGTTGTTACCTTCTTCTTACAAGTTCCTCTTGGACTTGACACTGCTCACAAGGAACACAAGGAGGGCTCATTCGGGGCTTACACCCATGCAGCACTCCATCATGTGGCCATGGTTCGGGCTGGCAAGGGAAACCCCCCGCGACGGTGATGCAAAGTGAGCTTCGGCTGCTTTCTCTGGGGGTAGGTACTGTTAGAGTAGAGTTTTTTGTTCCCATGGTGCCACCACTGTCACTGAGAACGTTGCCCCGAATGCGCTGCTGCCAAATCCCTTGCTGTACATTCGCTGACAAAAGAACCAATCCGCTTCAAAGTCTGGCCGAGTGACTGTTCCGATAGAATCTGTAGATCTTCGTGTCCTGTCAGGTGACTCCACAACATTTGCCCGGACCGACTTGAAGATGCAACGTGTTTGGGCAGGCCCAGGTGTGGCCAGGGAAATGCAGGTGGATGGCGTTGACAATGATGACCGAGTCACCTTCTACTTCCGTGCGCATGCGGCTTCCCCAGGAATGTATCGTTCTCGGCAATGTATACACGAGCGCCGCTAAGCGCCTTTGACTCGATCAGGTGCATAGTCGCAGCCTCTGCAATGCGATGAAGGACTAGTTAGCCATGGTGATGGCAAAGAACTTATATGGGGCGATTACAGCTCTTCACCTACTCTGCTCGCTGCCTTGCAGTGCCTTTCCTGTCCAAGCGCCAAGCGCAGACGTTTTCGTCAACTCACGCCGCACAGTTCCACGGATTTGAGCATGCTGGGCTTTGGAGTTTCCTGACTGCGCGTATCTACATTCACAACCGATGAAACATATGCTGGGGGTCTAGGATGGTCTAGGCTCCCTTCAGGAACCCTCCAAACATCTGCGACAGATGCGCCCATATGTTACCAGCCCATGCCTGTGCCATGCAAATGTTCGGCAGTACCTTTTGGTCCTTGCCTGGGAAATGGATTGAACCAACGAACAACGTATGGAACGACGAAACAGTTAATTTCTGTAGTCGTCATGTGGGCACCATCTCTTCTGATCCAGTGCAGAGGGAAACGATGTGAACATCCAGTCCGGCTCTTGGGACTTCCAAGCTGCCTCGCATCCCAATAAAGACCGAGGCTGCATCGGCACCAGTCCAGAACAGCCACCGCTTCACGGCTTCACGGTTTCACGCTGAGAAGCAAGGGCGGCCGCATGCGGCCACGAATCACTTGGAATCCTTTGATGTTGTTGCACCTACAATGGCCGCCAGGCCAACACCCAGGCCCAGTCCCACACACATAACCCCAGCCATCTGACCAAGCTGTGGGTAGAGCGCAATGCGCACACCGAGAACTCCAAGCATTGGGATCACGAAGTTGTCATCCAGGCCAATGATTTCCGCGAGAACCTCGCCCAGCGTCACAAACACGGAAGCTATCAGGGAGACTCCTGGCGAGAGCCCAGCATAGATTGCTAGGACTAGGCAAACGGTGAAGCAGCCGATGCTTCCTTCCACTTTGCGAGCAGAATTGAAAACTGGAATGTATCCAAAAGCTGTACCAATCGAGGCAGCTGCATCGCCGACTGAGAGGAACAGAATGCCCAAAATCGCAAAATTGCTCGGTGCTGCAAGCATTGCAGCAAGCGACCCTGGAAGGAAATATGCAATGCCGGCGGCCTTGTTGTGCTCTTTTTGCCGGATAAGGCCTTTGAATGTCTTCAAGTACCATGCTTGAACGGACGGAACACATAAACGTGATGCTTCGATCACCCAGCAAATCAGGGATATGGCCAGGAAGGCGGCACCGGCATCCATAGCCTTGCTGTCACCCGGTGGCGCAAAGGCCGGCTTCAAGACGTTGTACTTGATGCCCCAATGGTAACAGCTGCAGATGATACAGCCACCTATCATGTGGAACGCCTTCCTCTGGAATTCCACAAAAACCTTCTCGACACGACCGCCGGCCTTATTGGCAGACTTGCCGAATACCAGGTGGGTGATCAGCAAACCCCCACCGATGCAGAAGCCCCCAAGAATCAACTGCTCTACTCTCCCTGTGTCCAACATCTCATTGGTGAGCGCGCTGCTCATTGTGAGCAGGTGAGCACAAAGCCTCTGCTTACACTCTGCTCAAGGAACTGCACAAGCTTGAGCCACATTCATAAAGCATGCTATCAACTTTCTTGATGGCAAGCTCATACCAAGTGACACTTTAAGTGACACATGCAGCCACATGCGGTGCACATGCTTTGAGTCTGTGGCGGTGCTTGCCCTGCAGGAGGCGGGATGCAAACGCCGCAAGTTTGCCCACGTCTCGCCCTCGCAGGATGCTCGTCACAGTCAACCGCTTTCTTTTCTTGAAGCCGCCCTACCGTCAAGCCTTTAGCATCAAGGATATGCCACCATCCTTTCTCATCGTAGTGGCTAACCGCTTTGAGGGTCCTTGCGACAGGCACCCGCACACCCCAGTCAAGACGAAGCAGATAGAAGCAGCGGCTTGTCCTGTGCGGCCTGGCATCGTCTGCCACCTGGCTTGGAAAAATTGGCTTTTCGCACACCACGAGCCCGCGAGCCCAAGACATCAGCCAAGAGACCCTCGGCATATTGTAGTCCGGATATGGCTGAGAGGTCCATTGGTACTCGGCAAACGGGTTGATTACCTCGATACAGCAAAAGGAGTCGACAGCAGACGGAAGATGAAGCCGTGCGGTATCGGGAAAATGGCCTTTGCATCGCGGAAGCTCTGCCACGTCCGGGATGGATCTGTCCTACGGCTCTTGATTGAACATAAACCTGGAGGCAGTGGTCTTCTGTGCAGCGTTTCAAGCCAGGTCAAGGAATGTCAGGGTAAGTTGCAGGGCTTTCGGGTCATGCCCAGGCTCAGTCACTCACAGGAAAAATCATCACGCTCGGAGCCCTGTTTCCAAATGGCCATCCCACATGTCTCGTGTGCTGGGCTTTCGATGCTCGACAGGGACACCCGAAGCCATAAACTCACACACTCAACAGCGCGGACCCCCACCCATTAGCCGGCAGACAACCTCAAGGGAGAGTGGGTAGGGCTTGAAAAATGTGACAATCTGACGTGCAGCGCGGTGGCGTCAAGTTCTTGTCAAGCTTCTAGACCCCATGCTGTTCTTAGCTTCTACACCCCATGCTGTTCTTGTCAAGCAGAGACATCAAATCCTTCATAATCCTTCTGTCGTCGACCTGCCTGGGCTTTCGGAGCGGAAGCCCAACAGCCCAGTTCAAGACCAGGTTTGGAGTTTCACTCGGACTTCTTTGTTCAAATTGCTTGGTTTTTGTTGGGGCTTTGGGTTGAGTGACCTCGGGCTCAAGATGTGGGCTTGAGTCTGGTGAAACATCGGCCATGATGCAAGAATGCAACTCGAGCTCCTGCGAACTTTCCGAATCCAGCGGACAGCGGAACGAAACATGGCGACATGGAGTGCAATCTAGCCTCTTCGAGATGAAACTTGACGGTAGGTCCACATCTATGACTATGAGTCAAGTCTTCAGGCCGTCGTTGCATGCTGCTGCCTTCCAGTCTAGTGCGAGCAAGGGCTGGATCCAAAATGGGAATGAGCAAGGGGCAACACCTGCCCAGTGAAGAAACGTTCAGACATGCACAGTGCTTGTGCTGCGAATCCGGCAAGTATCAGCAAGTATCAGCATCATCGTCTTTTACATGTTGTCGCGGTGGGGTCCAGGTTGGGTCAGGCGTGACAGTCAATGTAAGTCTATGTTGCTGTATAGGTTGTATAGGTTGCAAGATATGCGGACTAGTCTACTTGAGAGCATAGTAAGAGCTGGGGTGGAGGTTCAGAATCATCAACCTCAGCTTGAGGAGGTGGATTCGATTCAAACGCATTCTAGCGTTTGGTACACCCAAAGCAATGGTTGAAAAGTGCACGACCCAACTTTTACATCGTTCATTCTGATGTTCTACTTCCACAGCAAAGTTCAGCCATGCTGCATGGGTGTATGAAGCGATGATTTCAAATCTCGCAGCTAGCTTAGACGTGGCTTTTGCACGGCACATTCACACTAAGTGCAGAAACTCTGGAAGCGGCTGCGTATTTGTGTGTGTGAGAGAGTGTGTGTGTTCTAGTGTGTTCGTTTGTGTGCTCTGTGGGCCGGATCCAGGGGATGCTGCCCTCCCGGCCACCCAGAGCACCATGCTAAAGGCCTCTCGGGCTCCACTTTCCTACTTTGATCTACTCGCAAACTCCACAACTCACCACCATTCACCAGAATGAACGCACAACTTCTGCAGACGCGCCTGGTTGTAGGGGCCTGCTGTAGCCTGGCGCAAAAAACGGCAAAGCGATCACATGCAGAAACGCCCCAACTCGGGGGGGAAGTGGAGGCCTCCTTCACCTTCTCCTATCGGTCTTCTGGCTTTGCCCTGACAGGCGGGCTTCAGGAAACCTGGACTCTTGGAGACTCGGGGACGTCCAGAACTGGGAAAGTGCCCAGAGGATGGGAATCTGCCGTTCGATTTCTTGGCAGCCTGAGCTTGGATTGTTGGAATCCTTCCTGCTTCGTGTACGTCTTCGCAAGTCCAGAGAGATCGAGAGCAGATGACACGACGAACAGCGAGGACACACTACCCGATGCTCAAAACACGGCCTTCCCATCCAGAGCTTTTCCACCTTTGTCACCCTTCTCTCCTTCGAGTCAGGACAAGATTGAAGTAGGCCGAGCCAGACTTGCTTCTGCCTCCAAACTGTTGGTGACCCTTGCTGCCTTTGCCATCTTTGCCACGCTCCCTGGCACTCGGATAACGTGGTGAGGAAGAAAAAGTGACAACAACCGCTCTATGTTGAGGGAACAAAACGACAACAACTTTTCATGCGCCTTGGCACTACCTGGGTTGCGCCGCGGTCCGGCTTGAAAAAGACCGGGCCGCCAGCAGCTTCGGCGCTCCTCGAACACATGCCCAAACATCATCTAATGCACTGATGGGGTCCGACGAAGAAACCTTCAATGCTGCTTGCTAACTTGCATCAGATTGCATCCCTTCTGCATGTCCTGGTGACCCAGCCCTTGATCCCAGGGATAGGATCAATGGACTCGATGAACATGCGGGCAATGCCATTCTTCAGCATCTGCCAAGGTATTCACGTCGTCTTTACCAGTTTGGTAACCAGTTTGGAGACAGCAGGGATCGCCTTGTCCTCCCCTACTTGGGCAACTAGGGAATTCCTCATGAGCGTGCCGACGATGTCAGTCTCCGTCTCGCGCCAAGTTGATGATTCGAAATTGAAGCAGGAGCTCGGGTAATTAGGCGTAACACATGAAGATGTAGACATGTGTCTAGATCGTGTCGAGAGATGTTTTCCTGAGGCCAAGCACTCCCAGGCCGACACGCACGATGATGTCTTTGTCGTTCACGGCCCGCCATCGAAGCTGCCTGCCCAAAAAGGGGCTCCAAAGGGGCTCCAAGCCACTGACATGCTGAGCTGCAGCAATCGCGGCCTGGAACCCCGATATCTGTCTTTGAGGGCCTCCAACACAGTGCAAGTGGCTGGCTGCGGCTAAACTAAGATTTTGCAACTCGATAGGCATACGTGATGAGCACAGATCGAGAACCCTGGTTCTTGCGCTCTCTATGGATGCTCCCAGGCCTCACCACGCTCATCTTCCTCCTTCTCCTCCACTCTGTAACTCTCGGGCTTGTAGCTGTCGCCTTTGTAGCCTTCACCTCAGCTTCAATGCCAGAATGCAGCGCCGGCACGACACACTGTGCCACACACAGTCCGAGGCCGCCTTTGCCCGCATGGTGAAAGCCTTTCCCATCGTCTCCGAACTTTCCCTTACCTTTGTCGTCTCTTCTTCCTGTTGAACTCGGAGCTGCTGAGTCAAACGTTGAATGCTGCATGATCGATTTCTGCGACTGCAACCGGCCTTTTCGTTCACCTTTTCCATCGCCCTTGTGCATGTCGTACCCTCTTCCTTCAAAGCCCTTTCCATCGAAGCCTCTAGTTTCAAACCCTTTTCCATCAAACCCCTTTCCGTCGAATCCTTTGCTGGGGTCAAAGCCCTTTGCACCTGAGTTCTAGGCATCAGCACAAAGCTCCACGAACACTCAACGAGTCTAGCAGTCTAGCTGTAGGCTCTCCGCCATGAGGTGTTGTCCTTCTCCCCGGTCGCACCTCAGTGAAATGACTCAAAGCCCGCTCACCTGCTCTCTCGTTGCAACATGCGTCTGTACACTTCAATCCTGCCTACTTCTGCCTTCCACCAAGAACCCCAACGGGCACCGCTTAAGAGTCTTAAGGTTGTCGGACTCCGCGGACACACTGACACACCGACCATAACTTAACTTCCGAAATTGAGCAAAACTGGCCTTGACACTCAGCAAAATGCAGAGAGGGGGCGGTTTCGTTCTCTTTGGCCATTGCCACTAACTTGTTGCCTCACAACATGGTGCCACTCCCGTCTGCATTGCCAAACGGTTCCTATGGCCTTGGTATACTGGCAAGAAGCCGTCTTTGACTTGCTGCTCATACGTAGGACCATCCTGGCACAGTGTCTGTCACCACCACGGCCCCATGGAAGCACTGCACTCAGTGCACCTGCCAGCCATCGTCCCACCATCCCGGTTGATCCTTCACAGAAACACATCACAAATCTCGGAATTGCAAGGAACTCGGCCTAAGGCTTCACCGCTCACCAAGGCGTTGACTCGGCGGCGGTGCCCTTCGCGGACAGGTTCTCTAACTGGGTCTCGATCACGTTCTTGCCGCTCTCTTTCTCGCCTGCAGGCGGTTTCGCGACTTTCCCGCGGACAGTCTGCTGGACCATCCTGAACCCAGCAGCACAGCACACCTGAGCACACCTGCATCGCTTCAGATTCTCGGGCCCCCGCGTTTCGCGATCTCTAGCTTCCCTCTCTCGAGTATCTGGCCAGAATGTCACCACCACAAGCATGCACGAAAGTGGCCTAAAATGAATTTCACTTCGAAGGAGTTTCAGTGTGTTATGTTAAGTCCGCGAAGCGACTTGGCTCAAGATTGAACTGGCCACTTGCATCCGAATATCACTTGGAACAACTAATCAGAATTCAGCCCCTTACCATGAGGTCCTGCATGGGTGAAAGTTCTGCCAACAAACGCTTCGGGCTATAACTCAGTAGGTGCCTGAGTACGTGTTTTCAGATGTTCACTATCCCCGCGGTGCGCATCGACATCCAGCCCGTTCGTCACCCACACCATGCCCACCCCCCCCCCCCACCCCACCTCACCCCCCCGATTTCACCCCCGTTTCTGGAAGCCATGGGGGGCTTCAGAAGCGTGGAAATTACGTATGAGTCCCAGTGCCAAAGATGAGCATAGCCATCACGATGTACCAATTGTTTGTGCTTCGTCTCGACGGGCCTTCCTCTCTTCGTTTCTCCCTCTCGCGGCGCTCCTTCCTCGCATGGAAGTCAGCTGGGAGAAAAATCAGCCTGGCAAGTGAAAGGCCCCCACTCTCGGAGCTCTCTTTGGGCAGCATTGCGTCGACCTCACGTTGACAAGGCTTGTCTCAGCACAGATGCAGGGCCGAAAGCGCCAAAAATAGAGACTCGATGGGGCTTCTGCTCTTGCTGATGGCGCGGATTCGCTTGCCACCCTGCGACGAGGACGGTTTGCAACATGCTGATGCGTACAATTCAACTGGTCATGAGGTTCCTGTGAGCCGGGCGAGGCGAGCTAGCTAGAAGCACTGACCAACAAACAAGATTGAGCAAGGGCAGATCCGGCATTCGGGTCATCTTCCATCTCGTAGCGAGTCTTCTGCACATTTGACTCGTTGATCATGGCTAAAAGCCTCCACTGGCATGTCTTCTTCAGGCTTCGCAATGACGAGAGGACTGCCAAGGCCATGGCTTATCCTCTGTGGTGCCACCCAGAATGTCCTGGGCGAGCGAGACAGAGACGGAAGACGTTGTGGTTGAGTTGTCCAGGCGACACGATGAGAACCCTTTCACGGCAAACTGCCCGAGACAGTTGCTGCATATGCTGACAAGATTCAGAATGCAACAGATCGGTCACGTTGACCCATCCATTGTCATCTATGTTGACATTCACCTGGCTCAACATGCTACATGCACATAGGGCAATCAATGGGCTCTGCACATTTCGGCAAACCAACTTTTTGTCTACAAAGCATTGCACAAAGTGCGGTCGACACATATCTCCACGATGGTGAGACAAGATCTCTATGGTGAGAAACTAAGCACAAACAAGGTGCACCCGACATTGCTAAGGCACGATGACTTCACAGGTTGCGCATGAGTACGAAGAGGCATAGGCTCTGCCGCAACTTGTTAGTCGGAGCTGGCTTTGCCACAAGCTTTCTACAAAATGCATGCCACTGCACATTCAGCTTACCGCACGGGTTCGCGCATTTCAACTGAATGCACGGACATACGCCTTCAAAAATACCGGGACGTTGAGAACTCAAGGAATCTCCGCAAACTTTCTTATAGATGATTCCTTGCCATGTGCTTTGGACAATGGGGAAGATGCTTCCCGGAGCGCCGGATCCATCGCAGCATGAGAAGGGCGCCTCAAGGGATGCAGATGAGAATGGTGCACCGAGTAGCCTCACAATGGGACGGCCTGTCTCCAGAGTGCTCCAGGGTGTGCAACTTGCTGTGCAAGTGCGACAGTGGAGACAGCGCTCGGGGCCCTCAGCAACCAGAACTTAAGATTTTTACATCAAGGTTCGCATGGTCACCTCAAATCCAATAGGATGCAATCTGTGGCAAGCGGCCAGAATCTGTAGACCTCAAGATCACAAGAGCCGCAGGTGTCCCTGAAAAATATGCCTGCTGCCGATGTACATGATGCACCAACATTCTCATCATTCTCAGTGCGGGGCGCTCGCCGGTCGGGTCCTGGCCTCGTTGAAGCTGGATGGTCAGCAGCATGTGCCAACGACTTTGGCGACATTGCGCGGCCTTCGTGCAAGCCGTTGCGAGGGTGCCACACATCGGTTGCAAGATGTTGCAAGTGCCCGTCCTTCCTGAGAGCCTGCGCTGCTAGTCGAATTCATTCTGGAGAAAGGTTGATGTGCTTCCTTGGCATGGGCGTGGAATCAAGCTAAAGCCAAAAGACAGACTTCTGAGATGATACAAGATTCTGCATGTCGGCTGTGCGCCAAAGTCAGAGGAGAAAGCGGTCTTGCTTTGCCGCCGACCTTGCAGCATCATTGCTGGTAGTCCAGACTCGGCTTCCACTTCCCACTGCTGCTTCTTGGATTTACTTGAATTAATTGACCACCTGTGAATTGTCTCGAGACCTCCACATGTCGGTGACTCGGGCGCCGCGAGTGGGCAGCCGCAAGCGGGGAAAGCGGCTCGGCCATAGGGACGATGAGCACTTGCAATGCACAACTAAGATAGATAACACGACTTGATGGCGCCTAGTCTGAAACGGAGGCTCTGTAAGCTTCGTGTTTCCTGAATAGCCGGGTCTAAACTGTCTAAACTGTAGAGATGCAGAGATGGGCCAGGCTCAGGCAGGCAGCGATTGCTTTCAGCCACTATCCAATTTCAGTTCCAAAGGAAGGCCGAAAATACTTGCAAAGTGAGCGGGCCTTCTTTGCACCATGTCGGAGAATCCAAGAAATCTTCTTGGAAATCTCCGTGCGCTCGTCATCAGTTGGTCTAAGCCTGGCACTCAAGCTTGAACAGCCTCAAGTACAACACAAAAGGAGCTGAACAAAGCAGAAACAGGCAGGCCGCGCGACATCTGCTGCTCCAAACTTCGCGCGTTCTTGCCCTGATCAACGCAAAAAATTCTGCAAAAGCCTATTTGTGGACGCTGGTACTCGTACATCTCTTCAAAAGATCCAAGCCGTCGTAGCCGGCCACTGGCTTACAATACTGCCCATCCGCACGGCATGGTACGGTGATGCAGTAGCAGTATGTGGACATCTTATGACTTGCGGTTCACGGGAAAGCGTGGCAGCCACGCTTCCGGGGCATCGGACGATGGATGCGCCTGGCACGTGGGCTCGTGACTAACATTCCCTCCTTCGCGCGCAGCGGCCTGGTCAGGCAAGTCTTGACCAACCTCCTGAGAGAGGCACAGAGACTTGCACTTGCACTTTCCTACACCGATCAATTCTCGGCCTCCTCAACTTGCTCTAGTCCTGTAGCTGCATCCTGAGAAGGATCACATTCCGATCACACATGCCACATGAATCAAAAGCGACAAGGCTCGTCGTGGCCTCGTGGGCGTCTTGCTCAGCGGTCTGCAGTTCTTCGGAGGCATTTATGGTCACCTGACGGCACAAGGACTGAAGAGCAAACGGAGCTTTCAACCCCGAGAGATGTGGCCATGATGGGATCCGGGCCGGCACCGTTTCTGCATCGTTTGATGCATCCGGCACTACCGGTTCGACATCTTCAGTCTCTATCTCTGTGCGGTCCACCTTCTCACCACGCCACTCACAAGCTGTTGGCACGAAACGGGGGGCACTGTTTGGCCCGGCACAGGATCGCACAGCATCGCCTAGCCTTGATCGAGGCTTCGGTCGAGAGCTCCGCAGCAGAAGCCACTTGCTCCACCTGTAGATATTCACGATTCGCCGTTGACAGCCATGAACTGTCATGCCTTCTTGAATATCACATGCGGGCCCACACGCCTCATCAGCGCTTCCCTTTGAAGGCTGAGAGGACGACCTTTGCCGTCAGGCAAAGCACGATCAGCCCTGATACTTGTAACTTGCGAGTCATGCGGTTGCATGCCAGACCCCGGCATGGCATGACTGCGGTCAGGCTCTGAGGGCATTGCGTCGGGCAATCTCGGTGCTCTGCTGAAACTGCTTCTGAAGACTGCGCTATCTCTTCCTTGCAACATCTTCTCAGCGTGTGTGAAGTCTCTAACGATTCTCCCACGTGGTTCTTGTATCCGTCTTGAATTCAACACTGCCCGACTTTTCTGGATTCTGTCCAATGCTTCAGAGAGTGACGTCTGTATCCACATTGAAAGCGCACGTGCACTTTTGTGAGCAAACTCTTCTGTCAGCACGAAATGGCTCAGGCCTTTGGCGCAGGTTCTTCAGAATCTGCTGCAGCAGAGTGGCTGCCGCCTTCAGCACTAGTGGGCTCTTCATGTGTAGCTATGACCTAGCGAGAACTTAGCCGCAAGAGCTTGACACCTCTTAGCACACTGACACACAAGCACACAAACACAAGCACACCGCGATGAGCAGGCAACTTGGTCGCTGGTGGCTAAAAGAGCTCTGCTCGCCCTGTGGCTATCATGTTTGCTTGATGTGTCGTCGCTGCTCTTCTGATCCAGGACCTGACAAACCTTGTTTCATAAAAGGATGAAACCAGGGGCGATAGATGCCGTCCACCTTGCCCAAGTACAAAACGCAGCATCCTGAATCTCCTCCCCGAGCACGCCAGCCAAGCTTGGCCAGAGGTCAGAATGGTAAGCCCTTGCCCTCCGTTGCACGAAAACGGTGGAAAGCATGTCGTCGTCACTACAAGGCAGTGTGTCTTTGGGCACGGCGTGTCAATCTCCGGGCCGTGCCCCTGTTCTGTGAGATGTGTGGTGAGCAAGTAACCGTCTACATCCGTGGCCCAAAACAATCTATACATGTCCTGCACCCCGGCGCCTTGCTGCTAGGACTGGTTGTGTGGCTGTGTGACTTGGGATTCGGGCATGGCTCTGGGCGTTTCTTTGCTGACGGGCACCCCAAAAAAACCTCAAGTCGGGTAACTCCAGACCTGTGAGAGTTCAGGGTCAGCCACTTGTGGTTTGGGCTTGCCACTTCCTGTTGAGACCGTTTTCGCGTTTAGGGGGCCCCTTGTAATGCCGGGCCTATGTAAGCTTTAAGCTTTCCATTGAACCTTTTAGTTTTGGCTTGCCCGTGTTTTGCTTTAGGGCTTCGGGATTTGGGATACCACCAAGAAGCCTGGACTGCCCGGACAGTCCCAGCGCACCCTGAAGAGACTCTGAAGGAAAGGAAGGGGAGGCACAGGTGGCGGAACTAAACCATCAAAACAGAAACCTATCAATTCTGCCCATGGCGGAGAGGGAGAAGCACCAGAAATACCAGTGAACCAGTATGCCAACAAACATCAGCAAACCCAGTAAAGAAACGACCGCACAACCGAGGAGAATGTGGCTTTGTGCTTCAAAGAGGAGGTGTTGGCAGTTCCCGCGCTGATTCACAGACCTGCCGATCGAAAAAGAATGAGCACAATTGGCTCTTGGAACTTCGCACAATCACACACTCCCACATTCTTACGCGCACCACGAAACACCACAAACATGCACATCACGTCTTGCAGAAGCATTGCTCTCCGTTCCCGAGGCTCATACCCATAACACAACGAACTTCCACGATTCACCTCAGAGACTACACCCAGCGTCAAAGCAGCACTTTGCGAGGTTTGCGGCTGTGGTTTGTGCCACATGCTTCAATGGTCTTCAAAGCTCTGCTTCAGAAACTGCCAAGCCAACTGCGTGATTTTCCAGGTCACTACTACTGGCTGAAACAATTGAGCCATGACAGCTGTGGCCGAGCAACCGCAGATGCAAGTGCGATCTCGATTTGCGAGCTACATCAGAGACTACGTGCTCAAAGGACCGTGCACTGAAACGCAGGATATCCGCTCCTCCCATATGGCAGACAAGCACATGCTACACCAGAGTGATGATTTCTTGAAGTAGATGTGTACAAAGAGTCGCAGCTTTGAGACCACAACCACCACACTACAATCATTGCACCAGCTCCGCACAGCCTCACAAAGATTCTGCGCAAAGCAGTACAATGTGCGCATGTTGCATGGCACGCTGCCATGCAATGCGCAGAAAGAATCTGCTACGAGCTGAAAGCTAACATGGCTTGACATCACGGAGCGCTCACATCTGCAGGGCCTGTCAACAGCAACTGCGCTCGACTCCTCAAAGAGCAACCTCTTCTGTCGTTTGCGGGCACAGATGGGCACAGCACGTGCAAGCCGCAAGAATGTACAAGTCTTGCCATCGAAGGGGCCGCCGCGATCGGTTTGACATCTGAACTCATGGCGACAGGCCTTCGTTGGAGCCAGCAGGGGTGGCAGCGGGAGCAGCCGCGGGAGCAGCCGCGGGAGCAGCTGCTGGAGCAACGGCTGGAGCAGCTGCGGGCGCCGCAGCGTCGAGTGCTTCACCGCTGTTCTGGCATGCAGAGGTGTCAAAGCGGCCAGGCTGCAAGATGACTTCTTCACAGAGGTCTCGCGTATGTGGAGAGGCAAGGATGGGAACTGCTGAGGAGCTGGCCGCATCACCTGGGATGGCTAGAGAAGCAGATTTCTATTGCCTGTACACAACACGTTCTTCCAAGAAGGTGACCTGCTGGCGCCCCCAGCCCCTGCGCCACAGAAACTGTGGAGGAGCTGTTGCAGATGCATATTCATTCATCAATGCTGTTGCAATGTTTTTGCTATGCTTTTGCCATGCTTTCGCAATCCATGCGAGATGCTTTTTTGGCCTTGGCAGCTGCCTTCTTCGGCGCGGCGGCGTCTTCCTCCTCTCAGGTCTTAAGGCTTAAACTGGCGCTTAAACCTCCTCTTTCGGCTACTGGCATCTTGCGACTGCAACGCATCAGATTGCCAGACCATTGTTGCCTTCTTCTTCTTGCCGGTTGGTCTCGGCTTGGATCCCCCCTGCCAGAATTCACTTGACTGAACAATGGTGTGCTATGCCACTCTGCTGCATGGAGCCTTGACAACGCTCGCAGGCGGAGGGCCAGGAGGTTTCCCATCAAGCGTGGCCAGGTCGCGCGCCTTCAAGCTTGAATCTTGCACTTACCGGCGGGCAAACGGCAATGTCTGCGGCAATGTTGTTGGAGTCACGGGCTTGTGTGAGGGCCTGCGGCATTCCGAACTTATTCATCTCAACCGTGTAGGTCACCTCTACGCAACGTCGGCAGGCTGCGAAGCAGAGCTTCCTCGGTTTCGCTCTTCGAGACTCGCCTCGGTCCCGACCTTGAGGTTGCCAATTTGTGCCTTGTGGAGGAAGACATCCCTGAAAAAATTGAACAGTTCTTGACGACACATTGAGAGCAGCATATGCACATGCATATTATATGCATCACTGCTCGCAGCTGAGGCCTGCCGAAGATTCCATATGCCTCCGGGTTCTCTATGAAGCCGAATCCTTGCTTCGCATTAAAAGACCTCAGGTAAAGTGTGGTTCAGCACAACGGCCTCAGCAGACAACACACTGTGCAACGTGCAACAGAGTCCAACATGCATCATGCTGATGAGGTCTGGGCTTTATTCTGCCACGGAAGCGGGTATTGCCACCTCATGTGAGCAAGGCCGAGTCCACTTTGCAGAGAAAGAAGGAAAATCACTGAAATTGCCATCAACTTGAGGTCTGGACCGGCGGCAGCTGATGCTACAGGAACCAGGTGCACTTGGGTGCCAGGGAAAGGCTGCATGGGCTGCCTCAAGCAGATGGTATGACTTCTTTTGTGTCCGGTCTCGTTCTTGGTGGGATTGCGATGGCTCTGCTCTGTACTGCACTCGATGCATGCTACAACTCCGAACTAGCATCCAGGCCTCACTATTTCCACCTCTAGCAACTTCAGCAGCCCTAGCACAAAAATCTCGAAGTTGGAACCACCGAAACGACACCTCACCCTGGACAGCTGAGGCAACTGCAGAATCATCCCAGGCCCGAAGCTGGAGTAGCTGGGATATTGTCCTGACATGCTGGGTGCCTAGAAGAAGAGCGGATACAACCTAGCTTGCCGACAAGGTGCCATCAACTGGGCATCCTTGCGCCATGACCTTCCAGAAATCTAATTCAACCCTCACAATCTCCATCAGCACTGGAGCGCGCTTGACACTTTAAAAGAATGCTGGAGGGCCATGGAAGCATCACTGAGACTTGAGCAGCTTCTGGGTGTGCACCTGCCATTTCCAAACTAAATCAGAGGCGAGCTATGTTTTGCTGCAGCTTTTGATGATGCGCCTGGCACCATACGAGGCATTGGAGACCTGAAGATATTCAGGAGCACCCTCAAAACACCGGACAATTCCGAAAACAACGTGTATATTATTCTTACTATTGCTGTGGAGTCTGTTTGGAGTCTGTGGCAAGGGCATTGCCACAATGTTGCCACCGGGCTGCATGCCGCCTCGAAGAAGCAAAGGTGCCCTCATGCAACGACTCAAAAATGCAACTCAACATGTGCCGAAGCCACCGGGCACCAGTTGATTGCTCATGGGTCGAATGCCACCGCTCCTGACAGAGACTTCCACCGGCATTTCTCGTGCAATCAACTTGGGTGCCGAATGGTTCTGTGTTGAGTTGTTTTGCTTTTGTTGTTGCGTTGTTGGGGGGGGGGGGAGGGTGCTTGCAATTTCCCTGTTCCCCTGTAAATGTCGAGATGCCAAATGCAAGATGCTCAGGCGATACAAGCTGTCCATAGCCACGTACGAGGAACATCAGTGCAGCCTAGGAACGGCGGCACTCCCTCCATAAACTCCCCGGGCATACCTCGAAGCATATCGAAACCATTCTCAGGATTGAGGAAGACTCTGAATCTTTACATGTTGCAGTACCATCCTGGCAACTAGCTCAAGACAGTGGCAGATGCGAAGCAATGCAATTGGCAGACGTGAAGCTCCCAGGCTCCGGACCTAGCATACCATTCCCGGGGGCTCCGGGGGCCTCGGGGAAAAGCGCGGCAACAAATCACATACCCTGCCCTCTGCAAATGCACATGGCATGAGACTGCCTCCCGCAAAGTGCAGTTGACAAAATGTCTGATGGTGGCTGCAGTGGCTGTCCAATTAACCAACTTCGCAATGCCATCTCTACAGTGGCATATTTGTTTGTTACTCCTCTTCTCTCGGGTCTCGCAAATTTTCTCTTCTCTTGGGAGGCCATGTCTAGCTTAACACATCACAAAACCCGTTGATTGTATGACACAGGCTCTCTAAGGCTGGAGCACGTCCATCCACTTGACCGCCTGCTCCCCACAGCATCCTGGCACCCATCTGAGCAACTTCAGCGCCAGACGTCTCAAATCTGATGCTCAGCGCCGAGCCCTCCCATCTGCGACATGTCGGGTGCAAGATATTGAGACTGATCTTCGGATGGACTCCTGAGCCAGAGGTTCATCCAAGTCTACCTTAATTTGCCGAGCTTCAGGCAAGCAGCTGTTCATAAGCAGCTCACACCAAGCACTAGATCACAAACCTCCACCGGAATGCAGATGCTACTTGTAATTCACAGAACTGCACGCGAGCTTTCCCGAAGCGCATGAAAATGCGAGACGTTGCGTTGCTAGTCTTCGTCTCTTGCTGTGGGGATCGGGGCCCAGGCCCCTTGCCGCGATTTCCTCATCTGTCAACCGGACGGTCTGGGCCACTGAGGCTGGCAGGATTGGGGCGCAACTAAACCGCACACCTGGGGTTTACTTGAACCGAGGCAAGTCGCCCACTGCGTCCCTTGCAGCCCGGGCAGGGGGGGGGGATCTGAGGGGCCACGTGAGCTTCCGCGCGATGATGAAGAGGTGTGCCCAAAAGCTGGGGTCTCATCAATGAGCCATTGCTGGACGTCGTCAAAGAAAGCGGTGAACTCCGGCAATGCGGAGAAGGGTCGGAACTTGAGGCGGATGGATCCGATGGAACCTGCCTCCATCGGCTCGCTGTCTAAAGTGCCGCTTTTGGGTTTCTCCTGCGATGTGCCTGCATGATTCCCCACATCCCACCATGACAAGGAGGACTAGCCCTCCTCCGGTCGCCATTTCGAACTCTGCAGGTTGCTGAGCACTGCTAGCCTTGGAGAAAGAGTCCTCGTTTCACTAGCTATCATCCTGCAGGCTAGAGAATTATCTGATGCGCTATGGCCCAACCAGAGGCGGTGCCGCCCATGTACGAACACCCTTCCCCTTGGAAATGCCGCAGTACTGCTTGCGTGCTGATGCATTTCCCAGCGACGGAGCAGTGGACATCCCGAATCCCAACCCAAGCGGCGCCCTCCCTCGACATCCGTGGGCCAGAGGAACCGGGAAGAGCCCAACTCCCCACACCGTCACGCGCTCATAGCTTGGGCGGTCCAGTCGCCGTGAGGGCGTGTGGGGAAATCAAGAGAAAGTACCATCGAATGGCAGTATACACACGAGCACAGCTCCACCACACGCGAGTCGGGGCCATGCGGCACCAAGCTCCAGTCCAATCTCACCGATTCCCGCGACGCTCCGAGAAGCCCGATGTCGTGATTTCACGCGGAAGTTCGTCCCTTGAACGCGGGACCGGCACAAGAAGATGCTGTTGTTGAACGGTTCAAGGACGCAGTTTGGTATGTTCTTGAAAGTTTACATCTGGTTTCAGACTGGCCAACACGAAAATGTCGAAAACTAACCACTTTGTTCCTGTCCGTGCAGGACATGCAAAAGCAAGAGTTGTCTGTCCTAGCGACAGCCATGCCAGATTGTAGATCGCCATACAGGGACCTTCGAAAGCGTCGAGCAGAAGGCCAATCTGACAACAGGTCACAGCAAACGAAGTCCCAGCTGCGAATCGAAGCCTTCCGCGTCTCCCACCTGGCTCCGGCTTCATGATGCAAGGCTGCTATAAGCATTTATCGAAGCATCCCTCTCAGCATTCCTCTCATTACTCTAAGCACTTCCGGAATTCCGGCCTGTGGAGGTGGTCCCGGCGGAGATGATCGTGGCATAGCAAGGAAAGCCTCTGAAACCTGCCCGGCGCGGTCTGCGAAGGTCTAGGAAGGGGTAGCGAAAGCAGTGAGCAGTTGATTGAATTTAACGGTGGAAAGGTGGGAAGAGAGTCAAGACCAGGAGACAAAGGAGACCAGACAGCAGAACGATCTCACGTGTCGAGAAGTCGAGAAGTCAGAGCCCCCAGCATCAGGCCACACCATCTTCAAGGCGACATGGCGTTCCCAGTGAGGCAACCTCCACCAAGCTCTTGTCTCCCCGTTCCATTGCACCAGCGAACTCTGAGTCGAGAAGAACATGTGCCTGATCATCAGTTCCTCGCCGTTGGGGAAGAAACCCTGCCAGAGAGATTTCCGAAGTTGGGCTGGAATCGGCTACAAACAAGAAGAACATGCGCAAAGCCAAGGGTGACCCTGACGCAAAACTAGCCTGCGTAAACCAATCTCGCATTGTCGTTTGTGCGAATGGTCCAAACTCCTGGCGTTGTGCATGAAACATACTCCAGACGTGGCAACTAGCCGAATCTGGAGCACAACGGCGAGTTCATCTAGCAAGTGGCTTTGTCGCAGCCTTCTGGACACTGTCGAGGTAGTACCAGGAAAGGCCTTCATTAAAAAGGAATGCTATGTTCGAATCAACCGGCGACTGCCTTTGTCGGGACCCGCACTTTCAGGCACTTTGCCATCCATGGCACTCACCTTCCGAGGGGGGTGGCGGACGCCTTTCAGCATGAGCATCGCCGCCAAGCCTCTCGCAGAATCGTGCAAGCCGCAGCCTGACAGTCCAAAGGCGGTCTTGCAAAGGTTCTCCAAAAAAAAGTTGAAGGATCTGCAGAAGGCTTGGAATCAGGAGGTTGATGAGCTAGGCTCCTGGCTCTCCTGCAGAGGCTATGCAGCTGTCAGTGTTTAAACCCATCCCCGCGTATCTTTACAAAGTGGCGCTGGAGCCACTTTGCCTGCGGTACTGCTCGCTAATGCTTGCACAAGCCTAATTTACGAAGTAGCATGGACGACTTAGGCCAGGTGGGACATGCAGATTGCTGATGAAAGTGCCGCACAAGGCAGAGCAGCATGCTTTTTCTCTCGCGCGTGGAACAAGCCTTGCAAGCTTTCAAAGCTTCTGCTCAGCCTTGGTTTTTCCATTTTCTCCACAGCTCGGTCTCCACGTTCTCAAGGATGAACTCGTGCAAGATCATGTCCAGATTGTCCTCGCAGGGGCCACCATGGGCTGCTGTCAAGCCTTTGGGGGATCTCAAATCTCTCTTGTCTCTCCTTGGGACGCTCGAAAACGGAACTCGTTACAAGATTGGTGTCGCCTCGATCCCCCCATGATTCATACATCCACCCACCCACCCACCCACCCCACGCAAGTTGCCTTGGTGCACGTCAACGTGAGACTAGCCGAGACATGCGTTTCCGAATGATGTGAGGTCCTGCTCCGTTTTGTAGACTTTGGCAGGATCTGGCCCGCCCCCTGGCATCATTGGGGCACCGCCCATCGTTCCCATCCTTGGGAGCAGACGGAACTAAATTCAGCATGGTGTCGACATGCTGCTGTGCAGCATGTGTTGCATCCCGCAGGATCTGCCGAGTCACATGGCCATCATCGGGTCATCAGCTTCAACATCTGACTTGGTGAAGAAAGACTGCACGAGCCCGATCAGACTATGACTGCTCATCATTACGAACCTTAGCTTGAGTTCAGGCGGTTCTGTGAAAATCTTCATCTTGCACCCATACGCTTGTGGGCATATGAACTCTTAAAGCAAAGTAGCATGTACCAACAGAGCGAGGAGACATAGCCCGGCTCCAAGGCAGTGACCTCGACCCCTCTCTGCAGCATTCCCTGAGGGCAGGGACAGGGAACCGGTGATCGGCGTTTTGAGTTGCCCCCGGCCTTGAACTGAAACGTTAGCGGAAAAGGGGTTTTCGCCACCAGGAAGCCGGAGAAGAGGTGAGAAACCCAGTAAGCTAACAGTCCCTGAGAGACCATGAAGACCATCTGGCCCTTCATCATCCCCATCATCGCCATGGGATCAGAGCCTCCTTGCAAAGCCTCCATCGGGTCCTTTGCTTTCGGCACGGACTTCACCAGGACACCCACATCCTTCTTGACAAAATAGGCTTTGCGAGATTTGAACGCCTTCTCTGTGAGAAAATGCGATGCTGCTCTCAACATCTTGCATCTTCCCAGCATGCTCTGGGTTTTGACCTCCTTGACGTCGACCTTTGGCTCGGCCTTCAATAAGATCATTAAGCTGGAGCGAATCATAGAGGTCAGAACGACCACGATGAAGATCGGAAGCAGGACATTGTTGCGAATTTTGGGATCAAGAAATATCCCCATATGGCTTTGGCGGGGGGCGAAAGCCGATGCCCGCCTGTTCTAAATGTAGCGCCTTCGGAGCCCGAGAAGAAAGGCACAGAATTTGACACACAGAACAGACAGCAAAGCTGCCAGGCAGAGTCCGGCAGCGCGTCAGAAGTTCCCCCCATAGCGCACCCTCCTAGGTCCTAGGGACCCCCGGTGCGGGTCCTCCTTGCAGGGACACCCTTTTGGGTTTTTGTTGGCCTGGAAAGTTCCCCACCTTGCCGGTGGCATTCGGGAGCGAGCACCAGGATTAGATGCACAAGGGACCCCCTACCCCGCTGCCCTGCCCTGACCCATGGCCAAAGCTCGTGCGATAGACGCCTTCTAGTTGTCCCTTTCAGTGCGTGTTCGGAACTCTACTACTGGCTGGCAAGTTCATGCGCTCACTTTGGTTTAGGGAATGGAAGCTCTGGAAACTGGAGCTTGATTCGGCAACTTGAGAAGGGGCTACGAAAGCTAGTCACCACAGGGGGGTGGCAGGCAGCGAGTCGGCAGGACTTGGAGCCGCCGGCGCAGCTTTTTCCGTATTTCAGGCACATGCCTCAACCGGTTAGTCAGGTAAGATCGAAGTCTGAAGCCCTAAACTCCTTCAGCCCCCTTGCTTCCCCCGCTGGAACCCCGTGTCGCAAACGAAGTTTAGGTACAGGGATGCTCTGTTCAGTACGACCTCTGCAAAGTACCACAGACCTTCAAAGCATGGTGACTGTGGGGGGCGGGGGAGGACCTTGGGGGGGGGTGGGGGGGGACCTTGTGGGGGGGGGGACCTACCTTATCCCACGCACAACCACCTTAAAGGGGGGGTGGGGGGGGGGGCCCCCCCCCCCCCAACCCCCACCTTAATTCTTGGGTTTCGGACCTGTTAAGGTGTGGAACCCTTTTTTTCCCTGGAAGCTTCTTAACAAGGTGAATACCAGTGCATGGGTAAACGACAACTCCCGCCAGCTCCACAGAGCTAGCTTTCGTGACTTTCGGCATTTCGGCTGATGCAATGGCGACCCCCGGCCGAGGCGATTCGCGAGGCCTCCGCCCCTTTCGTTGCGAGATGCAAGGCGACCAAGCACAGTGGCCCACATTTTTCTCATAGCACCGGGGCTGTGTGCAAGTATTCAAGTCCCCAAACCGGCATTTGCATCTCCAAGCTAGTCGCAGAAACGGCCTTCAATGACTTCGGGAGCCTTCAGAGTAAATTCTTTCAAGCATCTCGTTGAAGCTCACCCGAGATCTGGCTCGAAAAGCGTTGGAAGCCGTCCCCGCGGGCCGCCAGGGCTGTCTTTCCCATATTGTTTTTCTGAGGCTTTATAGGACTGCGCTCTGAGTAATCGCTCTGCCAATGTTGCGGATCCCGCGCTCAGATGCTCAGGTATGTTGTTGTAACATTGTAAGCACAGAATGCAGCAACATCCCATGTCGAAATCTCAAGTCCACGCAGTCAGAGGGCTATTGGGGGCTGCGAGTAGACTCTGTAGAGTCCAATTAGGACTACACTACCGAATTCGGTGGAGTTACCTCCTTCGCACCAGCTCCGGTCCATTCGTGTCACCACAAGGGACCTGCGGCCGAATGGGAACACACATGTATACGCAACGCTGACATATGCTGAAATTCTACCGCGGGAATTGCACGAAAGTGCAGAAGAGCGACTGCCCTGGTTCAGCGCATGCCCAGCCCTCCGAGGCAAGAAAGCCCGGCTGTCCTGCCACAGACAAAAACTGAAGACGCTGCAGGCGGGGTCTGAGTTTCGTGATGTCTTGGCATATCTTCGCACGTGTTGGCAAATCTTGGCGCTCGCCTCGCCATTCTCTTTGAGCGTCGCACCGCTTGTCAGGTTGTCCCTTGCCCGGCAAGCTGAAACACTGCAGGCGCAAGAAGAAGGAAGACGCAAACAAGGCCTGATTTCAATGAACCGGCGCCCTCCCTGAGGAGCCTTGCACTCTGATGTAGGATTGCCCATTGAATCAACTTGTGAGTCTTGAGGCTGCCGCTTCGACTTGCGCCTGGCCCAATCCGCTGAAGTTGTCCTCAAACGAGCACAGAGCAACAACTTCGTACCCAAAAGCCCAAGAGCTGCGCTGCCCTCCTTGCCGGAGGCTATGTACCGCTTGCGAACGTCCTGACAAGGGTGACTCAATGGGTCGAGGCGAAGAAACACCCTTCTGCTCGTTGTGACAGCTGCAACCATTGCAATCATATTTCTCGGAACACCTCCGGGCTCCGAGTTCTGCGTGAACCTCTTGGGCAAAAGCAAAGCCAACAGGACAAATTTACATCATTGGCATCAACATGCAAGCCAAGAGTTCGTAAGGGCCGGCCTGCAGCGTTGGAGGTCTCCGCATCCTGCACCGGCAGCGGTTTAGTGCAGGCTGCACAGGACGAATGCAGCACCCAAAAGCTCATCCTGGAGTGTGTATGAGATACCATCAGCAGGGCCGGCCCTTGATCCAAGGCTCTCATGAACACCTGAAGGAGGTTCGGCAAGAATTCTCAACTGTACACGGTGCCAAGCAGCCAAAAGTTGCCTCCGTGCAAAAACAAGGGTGGAACATCAAAAAGAGATGTCTTCAACATCGATAAACTGAAATACCAGGGTTCATAAATTAATCACAGATTCCCGATGTGAGCCCTTCCACTTGTTCACAGGCTCCAAGCGCTGTAACTTAACTACAGCATTTCTGACGCTTCACCGGCCCAAAGCGCTGTATGACACGGCATTCCTCAAATGTCAGAAGCTTCAGGTGATCTGAAACACAGCGTTTCTGACAGCTTCCTCCACATGCTGACTAACAGCATTTCTGCTTGCTGGTCGGGTCCCCATGCTGTGAATTGCAGCTTTTGAGGAGTAGGAGTAGGAGTAGGAGTAGGAGTAGGAGTAGGAGTAGGAGTAGGAGTAGGAGTAGGAGTAGGAGTAGGAGTAGGAGTAGGAGGAGTAGTAGAAGAAGGTGACACGCCCCTAACAGAGCATGGTGCTTCCTGTTTTGTCCTGCGCTTTCTTCGTCATTTCCTGTGTTTTGGCTGCTCAAAGGTCTTCGGTGTGTGTAGGTGGGTGGGTGGGTGGGTGGGTGGGTGGGTGGGTGGGTGGGTGGGTGGGTGGGTGGGTGGGTGGGTGGGTGGGTGTGGGTGGGTGGGTGGGTGGGTGGGTGGGTGGGTGGGTGGGTGGGTGGGTGGGTGGGTGGGTGGGTGGGTGGGTTGGGAGTGTACACCGCAGGGCCCAAAAACTCTGGACCTTAAACCCTCAACCCGAACCCCAACGACCAAGAGCAGTGCAAGCCCACAAAAACCCCAGAAGCTAAGCCGTAAGCTGTAACACTGTAACCCTAGAAGGAAGAACAGCGCAAGCCCAAAAACCCTCGAGCAAAGCCCCAAGCCCTTACCCGCAACAAAGACTCAGAGCAGTGCAAGGCGTTCACAGGCAGTCCAAGCTCCAAACTCGATGACTCAAAGCAGAAAAAAACACGCAAACATGCAAAATATGCGAAGTGCACGACACTGTCCATACCGATGTTCCAAGACAACAGCCAGCCGAAACTCGATGACAAAACACACCTTTTTCAAGGCCACGCTGTGAATACCGATGTCTTCCTCGTGCGCCAGAAGTAGTCACACGAGAAGTTGCCCCTAGTTATGGCGACCTCACTTTGAAAAGTCCAAAATCCACGAATCAACGTAAATGCCGATGTTTTCCTCTCTTTGCACGAAAAGTGTACGCAACCAAATCCCTTCGATGGATTAGGAACGTGGCGCCTAGTAAGTCGTCGTCTTCGCAGTAATCAGTAGTGGCACCCACCAGAGTTGTGGTCGTTTCTTTCGTTCGTTCTTTAGTTTTATTCGTTACGTCCTTCTTCCTTGCTGTGTTGCTTGCTGCCGTTCTTTCTTTATTGTTTCTTTGCGTGTTCTTCGGCATTGTCTTTGTGATTTCCGTACATTATAGCAATCCTGAATGTTTACAGGCCCCGAATATTGTAAGATACAGCTTCTGACGGCTCATGGGCTCTAAATGCTGTCTGTGAATTACCCCTAAAGCAACTTGTACTTGTGGCATTGAGATCGCGGGGTTAGTGTTGTGATGTTGCATGTCTGCTCATAGTGAGGTGAAGACAACACCTCCGAAGCCAACGTCGGTGAGGCATCGAGCTATTTTCGTACTGACCAAAGCCGTGACGAAAACCCAGCTTACCCACGCTGCAGTCGCTTGTTCGCCATGAGAATATGCCAAAACTCGTGATTTGAACTCGGGCTAGCACTAAGCTCGCCTTCAGATTACTGTAGTGGCCGGTGGCTCGACCATTCTCAACCACAGCTTCAAGCCAGGCCTGAAGATTGGAGAGACATGTTTGCACTCCGGATCTCCTGGCAAGGTTGTGACATGCTGCGACATGTTGCGACAGCATGGTTCCAAGACCCGAGGGCACCTGACTTTGAGGTGCTTGAAAGCGAAGCCCAAAATGCCGCAGCTCTGTGGCCCTTAGATGGGTACGACCGCATGTCGGGAATGAGTTGCTGATTCGTCATTCCATGTCACACACACACACATGTGCATATCTCTGCGCGTTGTGTTTTCAGATCACCGGCCGGGTCCAGAGTGAGGCAAGCACGGCAGCGTCGACAGCTTCTGCGCCAGAGCTCTGGCTGATGGGCCCTCTCGTGAGAGCGATATACCCTGGCTGAACCAGGTTCTAGGAAGCTGTGGCGAGCACTCCCGATGCGCAGTACGAGTCTGTAAGGAAGCATGCCACCTTCGAGTTCAGTGCAAAGGCGATCCAGAACATGCCGTTTTTCTCCACCGCCACCTTGCTTTAGCAAGTGGGATTCACAAACTTGGATAGAAGAGCTTCCCTTCCCAACATGGCGAGGGGTGCTTCATTCCATTTGGCGACGTCACCGACCTCGAGATTATGGCTTTCACGAAGCCATTCCTGGAACGAGGCCCCTTCAGCACGGCTCAACACAAGCAGATGCAAACCGTGCTCCTTCAGGGAGTCCTTCATCTCAGAAGGTGAAGGTATCCTCACCTGTACCAGCCGTGCAATAGGCAAAAACCCTCCACAAGAGAGTTCTCGATTTAAGGGGGGTTTTGTCTTCTCGGGCTTGGGTCCACCCCTCCCCCCCCAAGCAATGTCTCTCACAGCCCACCCACCCACCCCCCTCGAACAGCACCCTCGTCCCCCACCGTTTGAAGCCATGCATGCTTGTTTGAAAGCATATGAATTTCTTTCAAACCCAACCATGCGAGCATTGTGTTTGAAAATGGGGGGAGTTGCGACCCCCCCCCCCCCCCCAACCCCCTGCTTTTTTAAGCCGCGCAAGCTCGCGTCAAAGCATATTATGAACTGAACCTTTATTGAAACCCATCATGCGAGCAGTGCAAATGGGGGGGGAAGGGATGCTTCAAAGCATATGACGTTGGTTGAAACCCATCGAAAGCTTCTCGGCTCGGATCACATGTTTTTTTTGGTAGGGGGTCAACCGGGTTCGAGGCCTAACAGGTTCTCTGTTCAACTGGACCCCCTTCCGGACGCTGTAGTTCTTGCTTTTGCACATGGTGTCTCAATACTGAGCCTGGGAAGCCGCACTTCGGCACCCATTCACAGATGCAATGAAGATGGCGATATGTCTGAGACCCGTGCATTCAGGTTGTCCTCGGTGCACTCACTGGCCTTCATGGATCTGGTATGGTATTTGCATGGCATTCTGCTACTGGATGTTTTTGGAGACGCCTTTGCCACCTGATGAGCTGGTTGCGCAAACGCAGTTAGCCCCACGGTTGGGAGATACACGAGTGACACCTTCAAGCATCATCACTGCAGGTCCGCTCTTCTTTATTTTACGAGCCGTGCCGGTCCCAAGTCCGGCAACCAGCGTTGGATGGGCCACTGAAGACAGGCCAAATGTATTGCTGGTAGAAGTGAGGGTTGCTGCAGATTCCAGTGCTGCAGCGGGAGCCAATCAGGTTCGTGATCACCTGGGCTTCATGTGTGGGCGAAGATACTGGCCAGGCATTATGTACGCACCAACGCTTCGGGGCGGACTGCAAGGTACAGTGTTTTCACTGCCAGCGAGCTCGCGCCTATGCTCAGTGCTTGGTTTATTTATTTCGTATTTGCTTTTGTTCTTCATGTTGTATGACTATTCATTGCCACTTACGGTTGCCAGGCTTTGCGGCAATCAGGCATTTTGGGATGAATGTATGGCCACTTGCGGTTGTCAGGCTTTACGGCAACCAGGCCTATGGGCAGGGCGCCGTCTTCGGCCCCTACATTGTGCTGCTACAGTTTGTCTCTATGCAGATGAATTCGTTTTTGCTGAGGCGTCGTCTGGGACTGCTCTGATGGCCCACCTCATGGTGCTTTCACTTTCGGTTGCAACGGCTGGAAGGATATGTGACGACATTCGTTGTGGACAGTTCGTTCCTGTTTCCCACCTAGCCCTTCTGGGATTTCGTGGGTCGGCCCATGGCGAGTTTTCGGGCAATGAGGCAACTTGCGCGATGCGACGAGTCACTGTAGTACCAGACTCTCCATGGAGGTCCTCAACTGTCTGCCCTATGAGTTTGGATCATCGTTGAGCTGACCATATTTGACTCAGTTCTTTGCTTGTACAATGCATGTGCTGGAGCAGTACCACACACTCACCCCATACTTGCTTGGTTTTTCTTGGCCACTTGCGATTGCCAGGCTTTACGGCAACCTGGCCTGCGGGCGGGGGCGCCGTGTTATCGGCCCTTCTATTCAATATGCTGCTGCTATTTTATTTTCTTGTCTGGTGGGTGCAGTGGGCTTCCTCAACGTGATGGTCCCCTACGCTGTGTACCTGCCACTGAGGTATTCTTGGGATTGCTCTGATGGTTCTCTTTCCTCGTGGGGTGCTTCTGCCAGCTTTCTCTCATGGAGGCTGCCGCTTTGGCAAAGCTTGCCCTTTGGGCAGGACGACAGAACGATGTGCCAATGTGTCTGTCAGCGGTGGCTACGCTGCCCAAAAGCAGTGATTCCAGTATAGTTGGCGGTATGCATGGAGGCTTGTTGTGGACTCCGTTTCGCTTGAAATTGGCCTGTGGAGTGCATTTCGATGCTCGAGTGGACTCTGAGTCCGTCCCTCCATGGAGGTCCTCAACTGACTGCTTTTCATGAGTGAGATCCATCATTGAGCTGACCATTTTGTAGCTCAGTCCTGACGTTGTACAGTGTACAGGGCTTGCGCAGCACTTGTCTCGGGGTTGCCGTTTCCGGCCCCCTGCCCAAGGCAGAGTGGCGTGATGTGTTTTTCATTTCTTCGTTTTGACAATTCATTCACTGTTCAGCTGAGCTGTCACAGTCTACTCCCTAGTTAGTAAGTGCGAGAACGCTAGGTTGAGCGACTGTGAGCGCTGGAGACCCTGTACTGCACAGTTTGTTGAACTTCGGTTCCTGTGCAGTTGCCTTGCATGTCCATACCCGAAGCTGTTAACCGCCGCCACAGAGCGGCCGTGACATATGTCATGAGCTACAGCTAGCTAGTAGGTCAGACCAGACCGCTGCGGAATCGAGTTCGAGTGAAACCCATCGAGCATTGTGCTTGCAAATGGAGCAAGCTTGCTGCAAAGCTGATGAGCCTTTTCGAAACCCATGATGCGAGCATTGTGTTTGCAAATGGGGGGGGGTGCGGCCCGTTCCTTTCCCCCCTTTCACGGAGAACTATGGAGAACTATCCTGTAGAAGACGCAAGTGCGTGAACGCCATCTGCAAGCCAGCCTCTGCAGATTCCGCACATGCGTAGCCTTCCCAGGATGTGGGAGAGGGTTGCCTGCACAACAACAGCACGTGTCCTGTATGATTTACACAGAATTTTTCAGCCAGCCTGGGAGGGGACTGGTGCGGCAACGGACCATTCCTAACACGTTAGCAGACACCGATTCATTCTCCTTAACTCCCTGGCCGGATGCCTAAAATGCTTAACAGATCTTAACAAGTCGTAGAAGATGTAGAAAGCCCATAAAGCCCCTCGCCGACTCCAAAGTCGCTCATCAGGAGGGCTCTGCTCCTTCTGCTCCTTGAAGAGGTTCAGGTGGTTCAGGTTGTCCTGCCCCGTGCCCCCGTGCCGTGCCCCCCGTGCCGTTCGCCCCGTGCCGAATCCGGCTTTGGGCCTGGTGGGCAGGAAGGTGTCGCCTTCCACAGCCATGTCTTCCAGCAAATGGCACCGAGGTGCCTGTCCAAACCGCTGAGACGCAAGGAGAACGCTGCAAGTCCAGGTACAGCCAGCCTGCATCCTGCATATGTTCCTGGTCAGACCGCCGATCTGCATATATCTGGAAGTGCTTGTGCGGAGCAGTCCATAGCAGTCCTCACATCCGATATATCGACGTCCAGCTGAAGGTGCCTGCGCTCCGCCATGGGCTGCCTCCCACGAGAGAGCTGCGACAACCTCAAGCTTGCCAAGACACCGTCGGCCTCCAATGGCTTCATGGAGAAACAAAGGAGAGGCTTGGTAGAGCTTCCGCCGAACTCGCTGTATAGACTTGACAAGCATGTAGAATGTGACTCTAGAGAATGCTCCCCCAAATCCTTCTTACACAGTTGCAAAAAAAAACATCGGGCCCTCGAGCCCTGAGCAACCCTTGAACCGACAACCTGCTCTTGAAGCTGGTTTCTCTCAAAAGAGGCTGCGAGCCATTCTGCAGGTATAGCTGTCAGATGGAGCCCATGCCGGAACCAAGACGATGTCGACTCTTTGCAAGCACTTGCCCTTGACACGTTTCACTCCGGCGATGTATGGGGCTGGCAAGGCGCTGCAAGCTCACTGACATCACGCGCTGGTTTGGCCTTGGCCTGCATGTGCGCAGCTCTAAACAGCGGCATCTCAACACTATGGGCAAGCCCGCCTTCTGGAGCTGCGCCGCCTTCTGCTTCAGGCTTTGCTATCGGCGCGGGCTCGTCTACTTGCATGGCATCTTCCTTCTTCGCTGGAGTCGCTTCTTCAGCCGGAGGGACTCCGACCGTCTCCTCAGAGACACCTCCATTCTGAGCTTTATTGTCGCCTGGGTCCTCACCAGCTTCCTGTGTCTTCACAGCTTCCCTTGCAGCTTCGAAACTCTGCTTGTGCTGAGCGAGAGCTTGGCTCAACCTGGAATGAAAATGTGGCTGAACATGGCTGAACATGGCCGAGCATGGCTGAGCATGGTTGAGCCATGATGGCATTCGAGCCTGGACAGTCGCCCATCGAAGTCTTTCACTTTCGCTTGGCAGGGCCCAAGACCTGCCTGGCTTTGGCGGGACGATGACTGCAGAATACTGCGTGCAGGGATGCAGATATGTGAAGTATTTCGAGCATCCCTGTAAAGAACCCCCGAGCAGCCGACTCAGTGATTGGAGGTACTGGGCAGACACTCCACGGAGGGGGGCGAGCCCTCCGCGGATACGTTGGGAGATTCTCCGATGGATGGTCTGGGGAGGGCGGACGCTGCACTGACACGGACACATTCTCTGGCGGGCACTCCGGGCACTCACGAATATGCTGGGGGACTCTCTGCTGGATTGTCTGGGGGCCGAACACTCCACGGATACTCTGGGCACTCCACGCGGGTACGCTGGAGGATTCTCTGCGGGTGTGGGAGGCGACTTGCGCGACAGGATTTGGCGAGGAGAAGATCTATCTGAGTCGAAACCTACAGTCAGACCCCGAAGTCATAACAATTGCAATGGGGGAACCTTCCCCCCAAGGAACTGCACATTATGACTTATTTCTTGGAAGTCATAGCATTTGGCCTTCCCTCAATGAACTGCTGTGAATCAAACACACAAAACAAGTATGCAATAGGTCCTTCTTGCACTGAAAACCAATAGTCGGAACTCATAACATGTCGCTCTCCCCCCAATGAACCGCTGGTGACACAGTAGTCGATCCCATTGTTTTGTGCAGCCTTGCGCACTCCACGTTTGCGGCGTTCCAGGCTTAGCCCTAAAACAAGACCACCGCTCACTACAGCGTACAGACACAGAACAAATGGGTCCTTAGTGCCCTGACATCGTGAAGTTGTGAAGTTTGGAGCTTTGAAATATTATAAACTTCAAGCCATAAACGCTTAAACCTCATAAACCTGGGGTCATTGAACTCCAATGCATCCCAACCCCTCGTTGGCCATTTAGCCCTAATAGAGCTCGCAGGGGGTCCCGACCCTTCCTTCTTTGCTTTTCGCGCAGTGAAAGGGGACGCCCTCTAATAGGGGACCCCCTGTGAACTCGGCTTCTTGTCAAACAACACAGGAAAAATGGTATGTTTTCGGGGTTCGACGGTAGCAACCCCAACACCAAACACCGAAAAGAAAAAACGCAGAAAGACTGGAGCCAAATCGACCATTTGCAGGCATTGGGCAAAAATGCACGCAAGTCTTGTGCAAAGCAGGCCTGGAGGGTGCCCTTCAACTCCTCAAAATCAAACACAATGGCACAATGGCTCTCTCTCACGATATGGCTCTCTCGCGATGGGGAAAAGCGGCTCATAGCCAAAACCGCAGCTCCTCGGAGCAGCCAGCCTCCAGGCCGCTAAGGTGCTCCTTGATGGCAGCAAGCTTGCCCTGACACCAATGCAGAGAGGCACGTTTTCGAAATGTCTTCACATGTCTTCACATGTCTTCACTTCTTTTGAGCAAAAAGGGGGGTTTGCTGGGTTTGCGCTGGGTTTGCAGATGCTGCCTTCGACGCCTCCAGCAATGTTTCTGCCTTCTCTGTGCTAGGCGTCGTCGCCAGACTTTCCTCGTTCATGGACTGTTTTGTGTGCTGGAATGTGTGCCGCAACGCTGTCAAGACGGCACGCTCCGGGGAATTGAAATCATAGATGCGCTCGAGACCTTCTTCAAGCGCCTGCATGTTCTCACAACGCTGCGGTGAAACGCCCTTAAGGACACACTCCTTCGGAGTGTCCCAGGGACTGGCTTTGTCCCCTGCATGGTCTGCCAACCGCGTCAGCGCTGCGTGATCCGCAGCCGCGCTTTGCGGTGAAGATGATCTGTCACAATCTAAGACTCAACGCCTGAAGAGTGCAAGCAAAGCATCACGAATCCTTTGCCCTATGCCTGCCAGCGCGATGGACTTGCATTGGCGCTCGCCGATGACGTTCTCGCTGACACGGCCAGGAATGTAACCCTGCGCTTAGTCAGGTTACCGCTGCTCTTGGATCTAGGCAAGGCAGTTCATGGTCATGTGTCCAGTCACGGCCTTGTAGCCATGGATGGGCGCCACTCCATGATGGAGTACATGTGACAGATCCGGCACCTTCATGTCAAAGGCCTGAAACACACGCCGGAGTGCCCGACAGTCACAGCGCATCCACCAGACCTACAAGTAGATCATTTTTCCTGCTTTTCATCTTTCAGATCGTGCCCAGGAATTGGGACCGTAATCTTAGGAAACATGCAAAGGAACGATGCAAATTTGCGAAACTTTCAGGTTTACTCAACTATATAATTCCACTGCGACCTGCTTTTCCGAAAACCCCGCGCCGACACTGCAAAGTTTCGGAAATTGAGCTTTAGGCTTTTGGGCTTAGGGTTTAGGAGTCTGGTTTGGTACGTCTCCAAGCATTTTGTGCATAAGGCGAGTCCTCTGCGACCGGGCGCGAACTGACGCGGGTTCTTGGAGAGTGTAAAGAGGGAGCATGCTCCGGCACTGTCGCTCCAGCGCGGCAAGGCGGGGGGCGGGGGGTTGCTGATCGAGCCAACTTCTCTGCGACGCCCCAGGGGTCCCCTCCCGTACCGGCCCCCCTTGTGCCCGCGCTAGGCCCTTTCCTGCGCAGTGGTCACTTATATCGGCTGATCCCCGAAGGGAATCCCCCACCAAGAGAGCTACCTGACAACTCCCACAAGCTCCCAAGAGCTTTCCTTTCGTAACAGCTGCTAACACTTGTGAAAGCCAACAAAGCATGCGAAACCTTTTTGCCGCAAACAAGATACCCCTGCGCCAGCACCTCGTGTCTGCCAAGGGGAGCATCCCCACCGGCCGGCAGGACCTCCCTTCCGGTGACTTTGCAACTCGACCTCTAGGGGAGCACTCTTAGTAACTCTTAGACGTGTAACCTCTGATGGTACGCCCTGGCTTTTCCGAAGACCGCGAGAACGAGATCGAGGCCCCAGCCACCCCTTTGCATGGTCCTGGTAGGAAGGATTCCGCAGCGGCATCTGGCAAAAGCAGAAGAGTCCAACCGGAGTGCCGGACAGACTGCTGAAACGCAAAGCTGAAAGCGCATGGAGGTACTGAAGATTCATTTAGCGAATTTGGCCGCTGCCAAGGGGCCTCTGCGATTGTGTCAGAAGGAACGGGAGCCAACGTAGTCCTTCCCTGAAACGGAAGCGTGCTTGTCCAATCTTGCCACACTCATGCAAACGTATGCAATGCAAACGTGTGACTATCTGAAGGTGCTGACCTCTGTCATCAGTGTCCATGTCTTAGGGGCTTGTGCTCGTGCAGCAAAGTGAGACGCCAGCGATGTCTCCTGCAACGCACAGGTGAATAAACATCAGTTTGCTGAGAGTGGGCCGCTCCTGCGTTTTCGACCAGGTCTCTGCGAAAGCATTCTCTGCAACCTTCCAAGACGGCTGGGCACCTATTCCTCACAGAAAACTCGGAAAACTCTGACGGCTGCCGGAAGCCCTCTGCCGGAAGCCCTCTGCCTTCCCCGGTACGTAACCCTGGTAGCCAGGAATTCCTCGAGCGGCGGCACCGCGGCCTCTCAGCTTCCTGGAATTTTGCAAGAGCTGTATCTTCTCGAGAAGCACAGATCTTACACAACCGAATACATCAACATAATAAAAAAAAAGAAAGGAAAAGTTAAGAACAGCCGGCGGTTCCCAGCACCACCGAGACCGTCGTATGCGAGCGACCTGCAAGGGGACCCGAAACTCCAAGCGCCCACCCCTTTCGAAGGAGAAGGGATCACATAGGAAATATAGGGACTTGGGCAACGCGGTTTCTCTGATCTAGCCCTTATTAGCCATCAAAAGGCCGCACCAAGCAAGGCCGGGCTGGAAACTGCTGCTGACTAGATCTGACGTGTCTGGCTGAACAGGCCGAAGACACGTCAATCCCATGCCGGAGTGGTAGTGGAACTTCTCCTAAGACGATGAGCAGACACCGATGCGAGGTCTTGTGTGCATGGATGGCACATGAGTTTTTCTCAAGCAAGCAGTCTGCCAAGCGCTCACTCCACTATCAGAACAGGGCAGGTCCTCATTGGACTCTGGGATTCGTGAGTGACGCGTGTCGCCAGCAGGTGGGTAGCTAACGCCTCTCTTGTCATACCTGTCACACATTCACAGCACCTAATGATAAGTTGCATTCGACGGTCCAGACGGGGCACTCTGGAGCTCGCGTTGGTGGAATCATTGCCCTCAGCTTCCGTAGTGCCAGATGCCAAAGAATCAATCGGCTCTGGGCTCCTGGTCCGTCGATCTTGTTCTTCACGCTGCAATCGCATCGCCTTTTAACTCCACAGTTCTTGAAATTTGTGCAGGAACCCTGTGCGGAGCTCAAATGTCGAGCCTGAACGTCGCAAGTCTTCTGGCTGCGGACACCTTGAGCAATTCTGAGGGAACCTCGCGCAATCGGTAAAAGTTCGTTGCAGTACCATGCCATGTTGAGTTTGAAGCCAGGCGCTTGCCAAGCTGAGGCAAATGCGTCCGAAAGTAGACGCCACAGCTTCGCCCTCTCAAGCCAAGCAAGGGCTTTCAAGTCCGGTGGACAGGTATTTCAGGGTATACGTGTGCGCCTCCAAGCGGGCACAGGGAACGTGACCTGTGTAGCCGGGCCTTGGATGCTGATTCGCCGACGACGGAACTTCTCGAAAAGTCTCCGACAATACCTCTTGCGCACTTTAAGACGCCTTGGAAAGGCCCCGGAAAGACTCCGTTCTAGAATCTGAACAGCAACACAAAGGTTCCCGATACGCCCCCCCATATTGAACCTTTGCATCCGAATCCCTAGGCCCAAAAAAGAGAATTTCATGCGGAAATCCCAAGAAAGCACAGAGAATCCCAAGAGAGCCCGGCAGTGCACGATAGCACTCAGACGCAGATATCATCACGGCAGTCACTTTAAAGATCAGAATAGCAATCGCAACCATCGTACCGGCAATCAGTGCGAAGATCTTCATGGCAATTGAAATCTCAACCCATGGCGGTGGAGAAAAAGTCGGGTCTTAGGGGCTGCCCACCAAAGTCATATAAATTCATACCTGGGTGAGTGGGTCGTGGAGGAGCGTGAACCTGTGCGCACACTGCAGGACACGCCTTGCGCAGCGGCGTGCGTGAAAAATGTGATGTGCCCTTAAACCCAAACTCCGAACACACAAAAACCCTAAACCACTAGACCCTAAACCCGTGCCACCCCAGAGCCTTAAGCCTTAAGCCTTAAACCCCACCTGAAAAGGCCCATAGGAACTGGCAAGCAAACTTTCCCTATCAAGCGGGGCTGAAATTTCGGCCGTCCTGTAAAGTTTGGTGATGCTCAGGGCGCCGCAAAGCATTGCCAATATGGTTGCCAACATTACTCCTGCAACCGTCCATGTGCAAAACGGCTGCAAAGAAGGCATGCCCGGCATGTCATGTCTGGGACATGGCGACAGTCCTTCGCGTGTTGAGGAGCTTCGAGTCACTCCATGAGTGCATCATGGCGGCTCTCAAGCACTTGTTGTGAAACAGCTTTGTGAGTAATGCCGTAGTTCCAGCAAAGTTGACTTTGCGGATCTAGGGCTGGCATAATTCTGGGTCTGGCTTCCGGCATCTTGTAGTTCAACTGATGCCATACACAGCCCACATGGATGAACTGCGCACATGCACAGCACCATACAGCACACAGCACACAACCATTTCATCATGCTTCATCTGAAATCCTTAACAAGCTGTGGGCGGGTCGTCTGTCAGCTCCTCCAAGGATCAGGCCCATACAGGCCAATGCCCATGGCATAGCTTGGACCATGTTTGGCATTATTCGATTCCGACTCTCACGTCCTTGGCCGCAAGTTCCACCTCTTCCACGACTTTCACATACTCCTGACAAGTCTATGGGGTTTAGGGTTTAGGGTTTAGGGTTTAGGGTTTAGGGTTTAGGGTTTAGGGTTTAGGGTTTAGGGTGTAGGGTGTAGGGTGTAGGGTTTGGGGTTTCGGGTTTAGGGTTCAGGGTTTAGGGATGTTTAGGGTTTAGGGTTTAGGGTTTAGGGTTTAGGGTTTAGGGTTTAGGGTTTAGGGTTTAGGGTTTACGGTTTAGGGTTTAGGGTTTAGGGTTTAGGGTTTAGGGGCATCATGCGTCAGGTCAGCGTGTTCAACCGGGCTCTCTCTCCGCCAATGCACCTCCACGTATGACGAGGCTGCCTCGAGCTTTGCCTGCGTAGGATAGCTCAGGACGTCCATGCAACTGCTTTCTAGCTGGCAAACTGCTTGGCGTGGGGGCATTTTTCGCTGGCATGATATGCACGTTCGGTCCCAGTCATCTGGGCCCCAGTTTCGCTCTAGTGGTCATGCATGACCGACAACACCCAACAGATCCCAGTCCTGACACAAGTACAGCTACATTCAGCTACTGCGAGAGCTTGCGACCATGCGTGCAAAAAGTCAACAAGGCACAACGCGATGGCAAGAAAGCAATGTCGAAAGAAGGAACCGCCCTCCAAGCAAGCTCTGCACTGCAATCTGCTTGGCACCGTAACGCCGTAAACCCTGCTGACCTTTTTTTTGTTGGTGCGATCTAGCGCGGCAGCTCTGCCAACGCAACTACGCAACTGAGACCACAGATTTCAGGCCATTGCGTCTATGCTTATAAGACACGCGGCTCATCTGGGCTGCAAGGGGGTCAGCACCAAACGCACTGGACCTGGGATCGACAACGCGACATGCGCAGTACTCTTGCTGCCAACTGGCCACTTCCACACTTCGAGCCGCCGACAATGGGTCTTACTTCTTCTTTGGCAGTTCTTAGCTCAAGGTCGCTCGGCTTGCTGCTGATTTTAAATTGCAAGATGTCAGACAAACTGAGGCCCTGAGGAGTCGACGGGTCATCGACACTTCACCAGCCAAAGCGCCAGCTCTCAATTCCTCCATGACAGACTCCTTCGCAGCAACAAAGCAGGAATGCAGCCATTCCAAGCGATGAGGCGGGATGACCATCGTGGCAGTTCGCAGCTACATATTGCCACCCAGTGCCTTCTGAGTTGTCTCATCTGATTGGAAAGGCCACCACCACCACCACCAACTGAGCTCAACCTCACCCTGGCCGTCGGCCTGTAATTCTGGCGGATGTTCACGGGATGCAAATTGGACCATGACTTGCCAACACATCCCAGTGCCTTGCTCGAGGTTCTTGACCTTGAATGTTCCATAATGTTCCACTTCAAAAGTGTAACATGTACTCATCTGCCTTCTGTTAGGGCCCTTGCCGTTCCAACATGGAAGTCTTCTTCAATGGTGGAGCTGGTGCAAAGGTTGGATCTTCTTTGGTCTCTTTTCTGAGGGGGGCCGGCGCAAAGACGGACTCATCCAAACCCTTGATTTGCGCAAGCGTCGCAGGAGTATGCTGCGGATCTTTGCCAAAGAAAGCTTCCCAGATCTGGCCTTACGGAAAGCTGGGCAACAGCAAGCAGCTGAGCAAGGAAGATTGCAAACTGCGGCAGTCTTGCACCTTGATGAAACTGATTTCGGCGGGTCCGACAGGACCGCGGACTACTTCTGTGACCGCAAAAAAAACAAAATCACATGCAGAAAGATTATGCAGAGCTGCCTTCATCAAACTCCAGAAACCTTGTTCATCCAGTGCACGCACCAACAAAGGAAACCCAATTTGGGATACATTAGTTGCACCCAGAGTTCTGCGGGCTTGCGGAAACATCATGCTTGGGCGGAGGTTCTTGGACATCCAGCTATAGGCGCATTGACAGGGACCGAAACGACAGTTTGAATTTGGTTCTACGGTAGTTACGATTGCTTCGCGTCGAGTGAGGTTGGGACAACTTTCAGTTTACAACACAATGCGGCACAATTGAACATGCTAAACAGGACTGGAACCCAAGTAACTTACCCCAGGCCTACAACTGTCTTCAAATCTGAGACAACCAACTTCCACACATGATCCATAGCTCTCGGCTTTTCAGGGATTGCAACGAGAGCGCTTGAAATCTGGTCTCGCAAGATCCTCTAACCCTGACTCTGTTCCGGACAGTCCAAGCTGGCGATACCAAAACAGTCGACTGACACGCAACGACATATAGCCGTGTTTTTTTAATATCGCCATGGCGTACATGCACGCTGAACTCGGCCCCCCCCTAAGACAAACTGCAGCTGGGATGCTGGGTGACAACCACCAGGGCCACCAGGAAAACCAGGCTACCTCTGGAACGCTCGTCGAAGCAGCAGATGGAGCTGCAGCGGGAGCCGCTGCAGGCGCGGCGGCGGGCGCCGCAGCAGGAGACCCGGCAGGCAAGGAAGTGACGACGGGGGGCGAGAGCAGTGGGCCGTCCTTTGCGTCCTTCTCCTTCTTTTTCTGCTCCCGACCGGAGGAGTTCCCTCCAAGAGCTCCCTGTCCGGACATGCTTCAGTCAGCAAAATCACAAGAACTCTAAGAGATTCTACGAGACTCACGGTGCCTCGACGACTTCCTCCTCCGAAAGTTCCTGCACAGCACAAGAGCAAAGCACAGCGGCGACGTCTTGCAGAATGTAGCCACGGCTGATGCCCAAGCCTTTGGTTGCAAGTGATCCTGCACCAAAGCCTGGCCCGCCTTGCAAACCCAAGCTGGTGCAGGGATCCCTAAAATTGATGGTACATCATGGTACATCCATGTCCAAGTGCATGTTGCGTGTGGCGCGGTCCCCAAGCCTGTAATTGTCCAGGCTGCGTCTTTGCAGCAAACGCCGCCACCAAGCAGCACCTAAACGACCAACTTGATGCGGACGCGGAAGAGCCCGAGAGCAGCAACTTAGGTACTTGCAGGGCCGTGTAGAACTTCATTTGACCTCGATTGACTCTGCAGCAACTTCACTGCAAGCACGGCACGCATTGGAGACATGACCAAGGCATCGCAGCTTCTGTTCTTTGAATGTTGGTTTTCAAGACGGTAATTTCCGGCTTGATGCTACACAAGTCTGCATCTGCAGTGCGACTGCCAAGCATTGCCAATGCCCTGCCCAAGCAGCATGCAAGAGGCATCGAAACATTCTGAGGCAGGCCGTCTGTCCAGCAATGATTACAGATAGATCTGACTGTTACTCTGCGGCATGTTGCCTAGTAGGTTAGAAAATCAGTTCCATTAATAGAGCCTTTCTTATCTTGCCCCATGTCGATTGGCGCTCCTCAGCCAATGCTGCAACACGCCAGCTGCACAGCCCATACGATGCTGAAGCTGCAGCAGCGAAGATTGAAGCTGAGCTCTGTACATGACAACAGCCAACAGCAGACAAATTCGTGTTGCCAGCATGCTTGTTGAAGCAGCGTGGCCACATGTCTGCAGATAGGGCAAGCTGCTTAGCTTCCTCACCTACATCCTGCGAAGGGAAAGGGATGGAAATCAGTTGAATCTCCTGCCGGTCAAAACCTGACTCAGCAACTCATCTCAGTCAAGATGCTTCCAGGGCGGCCCAACACTGCAAGATGCATCCAGAACTGCCCTACACTGCAAACCCAGTAGCTTTTGGAGCGACCAAGGACCAGCCGTACAAACCCAAGGACAGGAAGATCGCAGTCACCTGGCTGGGTCAGGAAGCTTCTGAATCCTTTGTTCAGGTTGAGTGACAGGAACGGCACCCGCAAGGCATACGTGGTTCCACTTGTCCTGTTCAAAGTCTTGCAAATCAGCGGTGTCAGTGTAACTGATGCAACTATTGGTAGGACTTTGAGAATGTGGGATCGTCTGTGAGCACTCCTCGGTGCCAAAGAGGATGCTACGTAGAGCGCAGCAGCTGCATGAACAGCACAATCAGCACCAAAGACCCGTGCCTGCAATCGCTTGTGTTCCTCTAGCTCAAAATCTGCTAAACTATATGAGCTGACTCTGATTCATGATCCTTGCAACATGCAATTCTGCGATGGGCCAATGACCTCTGACGCAGTCATGGTCGCGCCCTCAGCCTGCTGCGAACTCAGCGAACGCAATGGCAACGGCATGGAGCCACGGCATGGAACCCTGGCGTGGCCACAGCAAGGTTTCCTGCCTCCGCTGGCGCGGCCTGCAAAAGTGCAACGGCCCCAGATTGTGCGGGGTATACTGGTATGCTGTCCTGGTCACTTTGTTCCTCAAGCGGTCCTGTGCCCTATGGGAACCCTCTCTTGGGGATAAGATGGGAGAAAAAAGGAGTTGGTATGGATTTGTTGCGATTTTTATGGGGAAGACCCCGCCAGCAGGGCCTGGAACCCTGATACTTCCTGCGGGCCGGACTAGGCGCCGTTCGCATCTCAAACCTCGACCGATGACTCTGCATGTCTTCACGTGCCCGTGTCGCACTTGATTAGGTGCCGTATGGGCCGTGCGTCCCGCAGAGCCGCACACGCCGAACGGCAAGCAACAATAGGTAAATAACTAGATTTGGCCTCGCGGGGCATGTGCCCTGGTCTAAATCCGTGCACCTTCCGTCCAGTCGTTCTCCGGAGGCCTCATCCTCGTGACTGTTTGCACTTTCGAGGCGTGCCATGACAGAAAACGTAGCAAAAGAAGGCGCCAAAAGGCTGCGTTTTGGCTGGACTCCCCCAGGTACAGCTCGGGCGTTGCCAGTTTTTTGAACTGAGATGAACACTTTCGAATGCTCTTGGAGCGCTCTCGACTCGAGGTGCTTTTATGATGATGCTGAAGTGGTTGGGGTCTACGTCGGCACAATTGTTGATGGCGTGCTGTTCTCGCAATACGAGATTTTTACCCAAATCGCGTTGCGACACTGCGGAGCTTATCGCTGGGGATTATGCTGAGGCGGCACCCACCGCCGGTTGCGCCTGTTTGCCTTGCTAAGTATCGACAGTCGTCCGAGGTTGACTTACAGCAGCAGAACGAACCAGAAAGGCAGGTCACAGGTGAGGAGCCATGGCAGCTTCCGAGCTGGCCCTGGGGCGACCAAGACTTTGCGTGACTCCAGTGTCTGGGAGGGGGGCCCACGCGGCTCTCGGGGTGGCGGTTTTCATAGCGAAAACCAAGTGACACATCACTCTGGCCTGTGGCCCCGTGCCTTCTGTGGCAACTAGGACAACCCCCAGTACCTGCATACTTGAGCAGGAAAAGCACTCGATTGACTTCCTTACATTTTGTCAGGAAAACCTCGGTGTTCTCTATGTATTGTGTTGCTGGAAAACTTCCATCCCTATGCTCGAGCCTCCTTTATAACTAGTCGGAAATCCAGAGATCTCCTCTGTCCCCTAGGCTTCCATCGGAAAACCTACATTGAATATTTCTATGCCCTAGCACGCAGCATCGTCGCAACCTTTCGCCACGCGCTCTGCGGAAGCGTTAACATGTCCATCGAGGAAGGGACTTCCAGAGCACATGCTGTGAGAACATCCGACTTCTTGAAGTGCAAAATAAAAGCTGTCCACCAGCGCTTGCACAGGCTTCGAAACATCCGGATTCACGCCCCCCACACCCAACGCTCAGCGATGTTTCTGCCCTGGAAGGAATAAACGGGTGGGGCAGAATAGACCGCCCTAATCTGCCTTGGAATGCCCAGGCCGAGCAATCCCGCTGCGTCAGGAAAACTTGAGCATCTGCTACTGCCTCAAGCCCCCGACACGAGGCGTCGACCTTGTTTCTCCAAGCCTAAAACCCAAAGGACTGCTTGACACGCTAAAGCCCGTGACCCTAAAGACCCAACACCCTGACACCTTTAAACCTGCAAACCCTGCAACCCTCAAACCCTCAAACAATCTCGCGCATCCTTCCCTAACAACTTGTTTGCTCATGACACCAAAAACTGGCCCCCGTTGGAGATGTTTCTAGTGCCTCACTTCTTTCCTGAGGGCACTGACCTTTTCGGACTGGTGCCTCGTGCTTCTAGAAACACGTACGGCTTTACAAAGGAGCGGCCCTGCAAACTGAATAGTAAAGATGCAAAAAGACCGTGCAAAAACATAAACACAAAGAGCAGAGATCAAAAAGCAAATGCAAAAAGCAAGAAGCATACAGCACAATGCGAAAACAAAGAGCGGAAAACCAGAGAGAGAGAGAGGGAGAGAGAGAGACAGGCAATCACTAAAAACAAACTCACAGACACGGGCAACGAATGATAAAGAGATGAAAACGAACTCAAGTTGCAGTGCTTCCAGAGGCCTTGGCTTAGACAAGAGCAGGCTCTGGCTGGCCTCACTAGCAGCCTCCGCTTCAATCAAGCTACGAGGACGGCCGTCTGCCTGCCAAAGCCATCTGCCACGGCTTTAACGGCCCTGAAGACTCCAGGGCTCGGACCGGTGGAGCTGCAGCTTCCTCACACAACACAGCCAAGAGGTGCTCTCAGAGACATAAGAGAGCCCCACAATGACACCGCGGGTCACAGGCTCCTCCGGGCTTGATCCCCAGCCACCCACACCAGCAGTTGTGGAAAGCAATGAGAAGGCGCAGAGGACAAGGCCAGCCTGGGCCGCGGCTCTACATCGACAGCAACTGCCGAGATGATCACTTGAATCTTGCACCGGAATAAAGAAGTAGCTGAAAACTCCGAGACTACATCGGGAATGTAGTCTGCATTGCATTTCAGAAATATGTCTCTGCACACGTGGGTGACAGACACTGTCTGACCTTATCGCCTGGCGCTGGACAAAGCCCCTTGCCCAAGACGGCAATTGCAGGGGAGAGCCACTTGGCCTAAGCACATGGCAGTGACATGAAGAGATCTGAAGACTCCCCAGAGGGGCGAAGTTGTGTGAAGATTTTGTCATGCTGTTTGTTTCTCACCACACCAGCCAGCAGACCGCGCATTTCAATCTTAGTGAGCCACAGAACAGCAAGAGACTCGCAGATAAGCCAGACCGTGTACCTGCGGACACGTGCAGGCGGCTGTCTGAACCAAAAGAAGCGAAATACGACATGCTTCAAACGCGCTCACGCCATGATGACGGCCGATGTGAGAAGGGCACCTGCTCGGACAAAGAGCTTTGAAGATGCTTGCAGCGCGCGGATGTGGCTTTGGCAAAGTGAGGCGAGTGAGGCAAAAACCATGCTCACACCAGTCCGTAATGCTGACAAAGGCCAGGGCTGCAGACCTAGAGTTGGGGTTCGAGGCGATCCGTGCAAGATCCTGCGATTTGGCACAGAAAGGCACAGAAAGCCACAGAAAGGCTCCGGCAAGATCATAGCGGATGCGTTCACAGCTCTGCTGCTAGCATCCTGCGAGTCTCGGCTCGGAATCTCTTTGGTTTTCATATGCTTTCATGCTGGAAACCCATAAGCTACTATAAGCTACTCTCCCTCCTTGAACACACAGAACAGGTAAATTGCAACGATGATGGCACCTGAACAGCGCACAGACGCGAATACGCTGAAGAGGCTTGACAAGCTCGCACCAGTGACATTCAGCCGGCCTAGGACCAAAGCTGCAGACCTCAGACCACATTGATGTGCGCCGAAGCAAGCAGGGTCTTGTCCGAGCCAGCAACGAAAGCAACATGGCCCCAACCCAAAGCCTGCCCAACAAACGGGCGCACGACTTGCACAAGAGCAGCATAAGAACATCAACCCCATTCAGCCCGCACCTGTACCCCTTGGTGCCAATCTCTCGCCGCCTTGCCTATGTGACAGATGCGACAAGGACATCGCCTACTACATCTCACACGAGGCCTCGAGGGCATTGGCATACCAAGTTTCCTGAGCCACTACGCTGACTGCACACGTGGCAGAAGGCTTCCCCTGCCGTCGAAAGTCCGAGGGCTGCACATTCCAAGTGTAGCCGAAATCGATCAACAGAATGGACTGTCGAATGCTACTGATCTTCAGCTGAAGGTCAGGAAAACATTTCTCGAAACTCTAAGCTCACAGGAGGCCTGCAACCAAAAACGCTTTCCGGCATCACAGTCATGCTCCCAACACATCGTACCCCATGAAGGAGGAATGGCTCTTATTCAATGGCGCACGCATGCAGCCACCCCTTCTGCACGTTTTGCGTTGTTCCTTATGCCTTAAATCGTTCTCGTCGGGATGCTGTCTGCATTCTGCGCTCTACGTCGTGTTCAGTCCCGCACGCATGACCCGCCTCTTTAGTGGATCACCCTCTTAAACCTCGAATGAGGTGGGGATGGTTTTAGAGCTATGACGAGCAATTCCAAGTACAGGTACAGCGGCAAACTCGGAAACTATGCAGAAACATGTCATGACGACTTCATACTTGTCTCTGGTGCATGAGCAAGCCCCAGCATGCTCAACATTATACAACAGTTCTTCGCACATTCGCGTCGGCTGCTGCTGCTGCTGCTGCTGCTGCTGCTGCTGCTGCTGCTGCTGCTGCTGCTGCTGCTGCTGCTGCTGCTGCTGCTGCTGCTACGCTCTTCCTCCTTTTCTTGTCTCAAAATATCAAAGCTGTGAGGGCTTCCAGTCCTCAAATAGCAAACCCTAGCAAAATTATTGTTTTTGCTGTTTCCTTGGAATTATAGTACCCAAAAATTTCAAATTATTTCCAAGTACCCGTAAGAGACCAGACCATCTCTGGCTCCAGGCCTGCGCTACCAAGAAGATGGCAGACAATGCCGTGGCAATGCTTCCGAAACCGACCCAAACCTGAGCCCAGCTTGATGTAGGTGGAGCATACGGATACGGCATACGGCAAACAACAGCAACACTGGCGTCAGACCTGATTCGGCAGAAAGAGCGTGATGAAAACGAGACAAACCTCAGCAAAGCACCCGGTGCCTAATTGCATCATTTGCAGCTCATCATCTCCATCTATATAGACCAGTGGCCACCGCCATGAACTTGGCGACTGAGTAGGCCCTGCAGGCATGCACTCTACGGGTCGATAAGACTCAAAATGCCCGTATGCCCGCCCATGGTCGTGTATGCTGACCTCTGCAAGCTGCATTCCGGGCCTAGCCGCTCCCTCGGCGCATCCACTGAGGGACATGAGAAGTAGAGCAAGGAAGACCGCTGTCCCGGAAGCCTCGGACATGAAAGCGCTGTTCGTGGTTTTCCTTGAATTTCGCATAGAGTGCATGTCCGTGAAGCCTCGGTCCTGTAAATCAACTGGTCTGACCTTACTGTGTGCTCGGCATTTCAACACAGCTTCAACATGTTCCAACCAAGCTCAATAACTTTCTGTGAGCTCGGCCAACACTGCCCCTCGGCAGTCCGGCATTCACACACGCCGAGGTCGCCTAGACCTTCGGTGGGCCGTGCGGCTGCTCCCGCTCGTTGTGCAAAGCTTGAAAAGACTTGCAAACTTGCCGGTATCACCGACCAGGTCAAGCTTCGTGCAAGTCCACGGCAGCCATCTCTCCTTCGCACAAGTATTGGTAGCCAGTTTCAACATTGGCCAGTGCTGAAAATGTTGAAATCTCAGCCTTTGAAACCTAGGCGCTAGGTCGCTGGCAGCCGTCTCAGAAAGAAGAAAGGCCAAAGCTGCAGTGAAGATCTGCAAAGTTGGCAAAAATAGCAGAGTCGGCAGGGTCATTCTAGAATGCTACCCAGAATTTTACTCGCACATGGCCTGCAGCCAAATCAACACAAACCTCGAAGCTCTGACAGAGTTGACCTGACCCATGCGTTCTAGAGTGAAGAAGGAAGCTGATGGATTGTGCGTCAGGATAAGTTCAGGCAAAGGCGGTGCCACTGCCCGCCAACTTGCCTGTGAATGTCAAGATGGGGGCTGAGTCGGGGTCTTTAGCCAAGCTGTGAAGACAACGCTACCCAGATTAAGCATCAAGCAACAGCCGGTCGCCAAGCAGCTGCCAAAGCAGCCACCAAGACAAGTGCCAGCCTTGGCCACCGCTGACACTGAAACTGGCAACACTGGTACGAAAGCTAAGGTTCCAACTCCAGAAAGCGGAGCTGTGATCAAGCCTCCCATTGCCTGCTGGCACGCGAAGTGTCTCACAGGCAGAATTGCACGGTTTGCTTCACTCCTCTAGCTTTGCTTTCACTGCTAAAGCTCTGCTAAACTTCAACTTACGAGACGGGGCCTCCGCCGCTAGATCGCAGAGTCCAGAGATGACACTGCTGAGCCAAAAGCACCAGGTGTAGGACCCCGTGACATGACGTGGCAGGAATCAAGTGACCAAGCAAACACAGTACACGTTTCAGCGGACAAGGTGCCGGCTGTTGATTGCCGCCTCGTCCTGAATCGCCATAGAAAGCGGAGGACGTTTTTTCGAACTTTTACCACATGGCTCAAGCAGATCCAGGCACCCGGCGGCAGCGAGGAAGTGGCAACTTGCACTCTACTTGCCACCACTATACTCCAGATGGAGCTTGAAGTCAAATCGCACAGCACCAGACAATGCTTCTAAAAATGCACATGGCATGCTAAGGCAGGCTGAAAAGCCAGGTTTCCAATTGAGTGTTCACGATCTTCTGCGATGCACAAAAGGGCAGCATCAGCACAGATCCTGGCGTGTGTGATCATGTGTGTGCGGAGTTTTCTGCTCGTCGGCTGGCTGTGCTGTTGCAGAGGGGCAGAACGTGTCGCATGCGTACTTCGGGCAGGCCGCTGCCACCACATCTCTTATGGCATTCCCTGAGGGTGGACCTTGTAGTAAACCACTCGATGTGCTTGCAAGCTAGGCTGCCTAGGCTGGTATGGCCAGCCGGCGCCGTGATGGATGAGCCCATCGCTACATCATGTTCATGACTTCCTGTGATGCATCATGCGTTGACATGCAGGAACTTGCCTGCCTCTGCACTGCAGCAGAGAAATGCGACGATCGATAGCATCTACAGTTGGAAGCGTGTGGAATGCATACCCTTTCTGACACCCTAAAATCCCCTAGAAGTAGGCGAGGACCCATATTGGGGGCCCATGCGTGCCCGTGCTGCCCTGGCCACGCCTGTGTCAAGTCTCAGATCCTTCCAGACGCAACTCAAACGACACCGGGAAAGCTTTGAGCCAAACAACAAAACATTGTGTGCACTGGTCCCACATCACAAGGGCTCGTGTGCGCACAGCGGCGGCGTGGCACCTGGAGTGCCTCTTTCTCTGCTTCCAACTCTCTTCGACGTTTCTCAGCCTCACGGACAATGAAACATGCAGCAAGTGCCGTGAAAAAACACGCGGCACAGAAGGCATCTCGTGCAGAGGATGGCTGCAGGCCACTCATTGTCAAGGCCGCCTCTACTCGCCTCCTCTTCACAGCTGCCTGGCAAACAACATTCCATTGCATACGAACGTCTGTTTTTGCAACTGTGGGGCGCCTCTTCTCTGGCCACTCCAACTGCTTGCCGGACCCGTGCAAGATTCTTCTTCTCAACACCTCCCAATACAGTGGGTTATCCTTGCTTCGGGTCAACCGTCATCTTCCTTGGTCTGAAGCAGGCCAAGAGAACCTCCTTTTCCATCTCCATGTATGCTGACAAGCCTCAGCTGCTTTCCACATCTGCCACGCATCGTTGCATAAGTTGTGACGATCTGTTTTTGAGACCGCGAAGTTGTGGGACTTTACGTCTGATGCCCATTTCTACAGGTTCATCAAACCTAATGTCACTCAAGACTCCAAGGACATGGGTTCAAATTTAACAAACCCAGCACATATTGCACACTCGACACCCATCCTAACATCCTAAATGCACCACATCTTCCACTTGTTCCGCCTCGTTTTCAACATGTTGCACGTTGCTGTGGTGCTGGCGTTGCGCAACTGACTCCAGGCGCAGGATGTGCAAGGAAGAGAATGACTGAGACTCGAACCTTTCGACGACTTCTGCCGGAACTTGGAATGAGTATTCTCCCTGAGCATAGGCAGCGATCTCCTGCACATTGCCCGAGTCTCTGTGCCTTCCACACCAATGCGAACCGACAGCTTTGCCTGTGCATTTAGCGCGCCGTCACTGTCAGCATCATACTTTCGAAAAAGTTCCTGTCAGCAGCATGCCTAAACCACTCTGTAAGTATGTGCAACAGTGAGCGTGCCTCTCTTCTCTCCATGAACTTCAGTGCCTCCCACTGAACGAGTGAACCCCAGCTCAGTGCACAGCTTTGACACATTTGTAAGTTCATGCACAAACGCAGCCTTTTCTTTTCGGTGGGCTCCGTCAATTTTAGCCTGCGACGCAGCAAGTGCAAAAGTAAGAAGGTTGCCCTGTCCACTTCGAGATGCATGCCTGCCAACGAGAAATCATCTCTGCAGCATGACGCGCTAGTGATGCGATGTTCAAAGTGCGGAGACCATGTGACTCCACTGCAATCCCTTACCTCTCATACTGCAACTCCAAATTTTGTACAGACCCCCCCATACCAGCCCAATACTAAAGCTGCTGGGCTCGGTAGGGTTTAGGGTTCAAGCCTTGGGGCTGAGAATTCACATTCGGGATCATTTGGGGTTCCGGGGTCACACCATACCATAGACCGGCCCGAATATGGGATTTTGGATGGGGAGGCCAGCTTGGCATTGGGAAGCTCACCGGCCAGCAGTCCGTTAGGAATGTATACATCGGCAGTTTAGCTAGAGCGGAGAAACAGCAGTGCAGTTTCCGACCGTTTTTCAAGTCGGCATATGATGTCCGAGTCGGACATCCAAGATGAGAAGCTTGCATGCAGAAGGTCACACGAGTGCACAGAGAAGGTATGCTAGAGACGCCAACATAGTGACAGTCACAAACTGCGGCAGTGGCGCACCACCACTGTCGTCCACCCCAACGACTGACGCTTGTGAATCATCGGGGGGGAAGGCACAGCAAGGACAGGCAGTCCGGAGGCAGAAGGGTGAAAAGTAGAACGAGTGTGTGGAGAAGGCAGCATCATGCAGTCAAACCGGCGGTGGCGGGTTTTTAAAAAAGGCACGACGTAGCGGATTGGAAGTAGCAGACGGACGGATGCCCTTATGAGATTTTGTGGCGCGGGCAGTGCCTTTGCGATCAGACCACACGTGAACAAGTTCACAAACGAAGGGACAGTCTCCCTTGACAGGGATCCCACCAGAAAGAGGTCCTGATGTTTCCGTTTTTCACGGAGTCTGCAAAACAGCCTTCCGAGACCAAAACATGTGTCATGCTACACATGGGGTTTAGGGCGATACATGCAGGTGCTGATTCTGAATATACCATACATATATACATATTATATATATATATATACATATACATACCAGTCTGCTTTAGGAGACGAGTATTCAGAGAACACAAGCCCTGCGGAGAACACAAGCCCTGCACGTGTGAGCGCAAGCGGGGCTAGCGCGCGAAGACTGCTTTGCGCCGATGTGCCGATGCGCCATGCGCCGATGCACCGACACGCCACTGCAACAACCCTGAGCCCTAAAACGCTAAACCCCCGTACAACCATAAGCATAAACCCCAAGCCCCTGCTCATCGCGCCCGTAGCGACATGTTGCACTGGCAAAGGCCGCAGTCCCAGGCTGCCGTGGACGTATGCCGACGCGGCCCCGTGTTTGGGAGTGGTTTTGGACGAAGCCTACCATGTCCACAGAGATTTGGAATCAGCGGAAGGCAAGAAATGAGGAACCAGGTGCTGGTGTGAAGTTGAAAATAGATCTCAAGTTTCATCCGGCCATGTTGGCAATGATTTTGAAGCTCAGAAGGCTGCAAGAGAGCTCTGAGAGCTTTGGGAGTGCTCAGGAGCGATGACAATCGGAAACCTTGAGAAAAGCCAGCGGAATCGCACTTCGGTCTCCGGCTTGTTCCATTCGTGAGTCTCTAATAGTTACGTAATGTTACGTAATGTTACGTACGCCTTTCGAAACATACGTCCGGGCACAAAGACCAGCGCGACTTGCTCAAAATCTATCGTCAGATGAGCTGTCTGCTCGATGATCATGGTGTGCTGGCTCGTGTTCGTGTCCCGTAGGGCCTGTCGCTTGGCCTCGCAGTGACCGCCACTTGCGTCGCCTGCGCTGCCTGCGCCGCCTGATGTCTCCCCAGGTTCGGCAAAAGCCCAGAGATCGAGTGCTCGGATCCTTTTGCGAATCGAATCCCCCGATCAATAAGGCATAGTGCGAAGTCGCTCATGTGGGACACGTAGCCTTATAGAAAGGGTCCCTCTGATGCACGTGGGAGGTTCGCGACCACTCGCTTGGCTGAGAACAATAGGGCAGACCAAAAGGAGTAGGCATGCCAAAATTGTAGGTGCGCCCGTGCCCCGGTTCGCCTCTTGCGGCCTCCCCAAGCAGACCCCCGCTGGGGCGGGGGAGGCATTAGTGAAGACCCATTCTCGGTCTTCCGGTCATCGCCCTACTCCCACCTTTTATGGTGTCATCCCATCATGCAGTGTTTCAGAAGGGCGGCGCCTGTACCCTGAAACGAAATGTTCCAACCCCCCCACCCCCCCCCAACCCCCCCCCCCCCCCTGCTCCCCCCCCCCCCCCCCCCCCCCTCCACCCCGCCACCCCCACAACCCCCCCACCGCCTCCAAGTCTTGTGTTGGGGTCGGCGGCACTTGTGGCAGCCATTAAATCGGGCAGCGCCATGGCCCTTGTGGTCATGGCAGGCGGACCTGTTCTCCACAAACGACTCCCGTGCGTAGCTAGCTAGCCTTGTGCGAAGCACAATAAGGCCGGACGCCAGTGCCGCCGACCACGCCGTCCCAAAGGTCCCACAAAGGGAGCGCATCATGAGCATCAGCCGGTTGAGTTCCGGAGCCCCAAGCGCGCATTAGGAGCATGAGCGGCCTGCCGCGCGCGCATCATGAGCATTAGCGGCTCCGGCCTTGGATGACACGGCGGCCCAAGCGTGCATAAGCTTTCCCTAGGTCGCCAAACCCGTGCGTTCCGACTATGAAAGCCTACCGGGACGCACGCCGGGCAGGGGCCGCGCGTGCCCCCCCTTCCGGGTTTGCAGAACAACTCTCCTCGAGCTTCTGCCTGCGCTGCCCGCCCATGGGCGCAGCCCCTTAAAATAAGTCAAGCAGCGGCTCATCAAAGGAGGGGCTCGGTAGTAGCGTGGATGGGAGAGCTATTTTGTTGATTGCTCTACCTCCAGTTCTGAGCGCATTGTCTGCAAAGATCATAATGGCAATCACTGCCAAGATCTTGATGGCAATCTCAGTATCAATTCATTGCGGCAGGGGGAAAATTCGGGGCTCGGGGGCCACGCTGCTTTGTGCCGAAACCTCGAAGCTCAAAGACGCGGCATACAGTCATAAAGCGGAATTTGAGGGACACTGAAGCCTTTGCAGGAGCTGTTTCTGACTACATCCCTCCTGCCCCGACAGCTGCCAGGCAACATTAGCAGTAGCACCAGTGATGTTTTTAACCATACTGGTCAAACAATTCTTACCTGCACTTCCACTGAAAGTAGGGCAACTCCAACCACTATCCGGAAAGTGATGTTTTCATAGCACAGCACAAACTTGTGCACCTCGAGACCATTCACGCATTTGGCCATGTTCACGAAGGCACCGTGGAGTTTTCGCTGTAACTGCGGCGGCGTGCGTAATGGGGAAAAGCAGATGCTGACAAAGGGAATGCAAGAGTGTACAGGAAAGCCAAAAGAGCGAAAGACAGAGACACAAATGAGACAGAGCGAGACTCGCTAGACAAGTATCATGATGATGGCCAGCACCCACCTGCACTAGCTGCTCCCGAGTTTCCGATACCACAGATCTGGCCTGGCCGAGAGAACATTCCAGGCGTAAACGCGGATTCGTGAAAGCCAGACCGTATGTCATCTGTGCTTAGTGAGGGCCTCTTCCATGGCATACCTCTTACTCAAGAGGAAATCCGTGCAAGCTTTGCAGCTGGCCTCAATCTGCCGTCAGTTCATCCCCAAAACATGTGTGAGAAAGCAGGTGTCTGGCTTTTGCTTTGCCTTTGACCTGCCCAGAGTGGAGTGAGGAGACCCCTTGGCAGAGACGGTTAATGGCTGTTAGGAACGCCTCATCAAACCCAGCACTGGACTTGTCGAGCTCTGACAGGTCCTGAACCAGTTGCAGAGGAGTGCTGACTACATGTGCTATCATATGCTACTCATGTGAGTACTTGCATCTTCGCCGGCTATGCCCCATGCCAAGTTGGTGTCCAATATGGGCTGCGCTTTCTCCTGGCCATGCCATGATTGCTAAACTTTTGCTCTTAGACCAGGGGGCACAAGCTAAGCGGCCCTCAACAGGCCTTGAGCTCTGAGACGCTGCCCTGCAAAGCAGGTTTCAAGCAGGCAGTTCCTCACCAACAGAGCCTGAAAGGGGAGCCGGTTCACCCAAAAGCCAAGCATTGCGCCACCATGTTCAGCCCAACCCCTCCATCACTATAGGATATGATACGAAAAATAACTGCAGGCAAGTTTGCGCTACTCAGCAACATGTGCACCAGCCTCGGCGGCAACGACCAACTGGGACAGCTCCTGAACAAATTCTTTGGTCCCAGTTCACATGATGCGGGAACCCAAATCGCGAACCCTACCAACCAACGAACTCTGCCGACTGACTGCACGTACATCAACGACTGCGCTTGGGTAGGATTCTTTGATTGCGCCGAGTGTTGCTGCTATCAGCACTGCTATGTATTGCTAGACGGTTCCCTATCCGATCGGTCAGCAGCGGATTCGGACACTGAAAACGCGCGGATTCGGAAACTGGAAAAAACCTGATTCGTAAACTAGAAAAAAAACCTGATTCGGGAAACTAAAAGCGCTGATTCGGGAAACCAGGATTCGTGAAACCCGCTTATTCAGGAAACTGGAAAGCGCGGATTCGAAAACCGGGGGTTCTTGAAACTTCAAAGCGCCGATTCGGAAACTGAAAGTGCGCGGATTCCGGAAACCAGGATTCGGGAAACCTGCTGATTCAGGAAATTGGAGCGAGCGGATTCGGAAACCAGACATGAACGTTCTCATCCCCCCCCACCCACCCCCCACCCCGCTCAACCCCTGCATCGCGCGTTTTCAGTTCCTGAATCGCGCAGTTTCCTGAATCGCGTGGTTTCAGGTCGCAGCTTCCTGAATCGCACATATTCAGTTTCCTGAATCGGTTAGGTTCCTGAATCGCGTAGTTTCCTGAATGAATCGCATGGTTTCCTCAATTCTGGTTTCCTGAATGGCGGGGCTGGTTTCCTGAATCCTGGTTTCCTGGATCGCGTCTCGTTTCTGAATCGCGCTAGGATCCGATCTCTTGCATGGTCCTCCAAACTGTGCATTGGGCCTTTGCTTTGGGTAGCACGAGGTTTGCCCTGCTCTACTTCAGAACACCAGTTCGCAGCATCCTGCAGGAGTTGAGCAGCGATGGCTTCGCGTTCCTTCATGCGTTTCTCCTGCAGAAGCGTGCTGCTCTACGCTGCAGGCATCAGCTCATGACAATACAACATGATACGAGAGAGCTCTCAAGATCGCAGAAGTCCTAGCATCGTCGGCTCCTCCTCCTCCCGCTGCTGACGATACATCTCCTTGCGCTCGGCAGCCATTTGCGTGGCCTTGGCAATACTTCTTGCAAGCAGCAGCTCCTTGCAAATGGCAGCATCCGACAACAGCACTGGGCCTATTTGACTGCTGTCTGAATTTCAAACATGCCCGGCCGAGCCTGGTAGACTTCTTGCTGCAACCGCTGCCACATGTTGCCGCACTGATTGCCGATCTTGTTGAACACCTTGACAATTAACAAACGATTCTCGCCGCCAGATCAAGCTGACAAAAGCGCACATCTGGAAACAATCGAGCAGCAGACGTCTTGCATCTCTGCGCAACATTGATCTAAGGCTTCGGGAGGCGTTGTGCGGACTCTGTGAATGGCCTTGAGCACCCAGGCAAATCACCATGAGGCGAGAGGACGCAAGGCCTTGCCTGGCGCACCATCTGAACAGCATTCTGCTCCTGTGGACTGGCAACTGTGCGTCACACGAATGCTGCTGGCGGCAAGTTGAGCTTGCGAAAAGTCGCAACGATTGAAACTTGACGAGTGAAATTTGATGACTGTTCTGGCGCTGCTCCAGTGCTCCAAAAGCGACCTATTGCAGACCCCTCTTGATGCCCGCAGCTCCTCTTGCTGTCGGCGCTGTGCATCTTGCCTGCAGCTGAGCCATGCTAGTTCATGCCACTGGTCCTCTGCACGAAGCTGCGTCCAAGTGTCCATTCGTTCTGGCCCAGCTGCTGATAGCCAGCCTGCGCTCTGGCAGAATTTGCTATGTTTAACTGGCACCACTAGCAGTTGCTCCACTGACCCAACACAAGCGATCGGCATGTGAGAAATGTCGGATTCGGACTGGGGGACGTATTCGCCATCATGGATGGTTCGCTACAAAAAGCAACTTCAACAAAGCAGCTCCTGCATCCCTTCTGTGACATGTGCGTATACCTCGAACCCCTGAGCACCGAAGATGCTTCCAATTGCCACCGCCTCATCCAAGCATCCCGAAGATGATCCACCACAAAAGCTCACACTCCCAACCCTCCTTCCCTTGACAACCCCCGCCGCAACCAAAACGGCCAAGCTGCTTTTTGCAAGCAGCCCTACTTTACGCAAGTCTTTTGCAGATTCCAGTCTTGGAGGAAAGCTTGAAAGCGTTGGCTTGAGGAGCAACTTGCCCGTTGCAGCTCCAGTATTGTCCACAGCTACTGTGAATCCGCGGCATGCAACAGGAGAAGTAGGGGGCGGTACAGCTGGTAGGAAATAGTGGACATCAAACGCCAGTTCCATGCTACTCGTATGCACTGAGGTCCAGCTAGCTTCTCTCCTACTTGGCCCTAACATTCGGCCAGGTCAGGACTTCAGTGCAGCTATCGACTTCAGTTCAGCTGCCGACGTGTGACATTTTCCGCGCGACTGCGACGCCATGCGGTATGTGAGGCGTGCTGGAGCCTGCACATCTGCTCATCCAAGCTTCGGTGTTCAACGCGGAGCAGCTTCTAGAGCCCGTGCACGCTGAAAGAATGTGCTCCGTAGCACTGCAATGTGGTGCGCACGCTGACATAACATCTAACCACAACTCATTTTCAGCTCGCACTTGCACGAGCTGACACAGCCCCAACTGCGGAGGTGAATCGTCCCAAATTGCATGCCGGCCCTGCCTGCCCGCATCCCTGATGAGCATAGCCTTGCTGCACTGCTTGCTGCTGGTACCTCAATGCCACTGCAAGGATACTGCATCTCGCACGCACAAACTGTCATTGGCTGCTGAGCCATCTCAGGCCAACACTGCTGATTCTGCTGCTGGGCCAGCCTTGCTGAAACATGCTGACGCCCCGAGTCAGCTGTGGAGCTCTACTTTCATGGCCAGATGAACACAGGACTGCTCACAGGTGCATCCACGCAGCTGCTGTTGGTACGACGCTTGCTGCTCCTCTGCAAGCATGGCGGCTGCACTACAAAGCAGCGCTGCATGCTCAGGACGGATGGTTATCAGCCATCGTGCGGACCAAGCTTGAAACCAGAGCGCAAATCCTAGCACTTGCAGCGTCTCTGCTCTCGAAACCGTGTGAGGATCGAAGGATTATTGAACAAATCGAGCTTCTGGGCCTCTTCCGGGCCATTTCGTGGGGATTGCTTGGGAAATATGTTTCGCTCGTGAAGGAAACTTCTTGTCGGAAAATCTGCTGTTCGCAGGGGTGCTAGCATTCCTCACACCGTCACTTAAGCTGAGGTTGGAAAGGAAGCTTTTAAACTCTCCAGTCTTGTGGTGGGCTTCCAGCGGTCGGCCATGGGGAGAACTCTGAAACTGCAAGCGTGGACCACGTGCCATGCAGCTAAGGAGAATCCGAGGATCCACTGCTGAGAAGATGTCTGGCCCACAACTCTCAGCCACACAGGCAATGGATGCTGGAAGCCTACCTGTACATGGTGTTGCGGAACTAGAGAATCAATTGCGCCTCCGTGCACGCACCATCTGCCGTGTGAACCCATCTGAGCAACACATCCGCAAAACCACGCAACAGAAAACTGTCAAAGATAGGGTCAATCTAAAGCTAACTGAAAAGCTGGGACACTCCGCACTTTTCCTGGGTTCGCTGCGGTGTGTGTCCTTGTTCGAGCCTGTCGTCGACAAGACGTTCCGAGGCTCTGGTGTGCATTCCACATGCACCTGGTGCACAGCTTCCTGTACTGCGTAGATGTTTAACACCCCGCCTTCGAAGCTGGTGAAAGTCGTTCCTAGACTAAGCTAGCTTCGACTGTCGTGGGCTAAGTTGATTACTCGGATCATTTTCCTTTAGTCAACAAAAGCGAAAACAAAGTTCCTGAAAGTTGCCAGTAGAACGGATACTCCATCCTTTGTTCTGGCTTCCTTCTCATCTTGAAACTCACTCCTCACTGCTCGACTGAGCGCTGCTGATCCTTCCTCTGCTTTTCCTTGCTTCTCTTCTCCTTCGCTTCTTTTCCTTCCTTCATCCTTTCACTTGCTTCTCCTGTTCCTTGCAGATCCTTCCTCCATCTTCATCTTCGCTGTCCTTGATCCACAAGTTCTGGTTCACGTCGTAGTAGAGCCATGCCTTTGTGGCCTGCACCCATTTCCACTGGAAATCTGATCCTTCGTAAGGAAAGATCGCATACAGTTCCTGAGCTCCTTCACTTCCTCCAACTCTGAATTGGCTTCGATCCTGTGGGCCAATCGGCTTGTTCTTCTTTCCTTCTCCTGTGCTTCCTTCACTGTCTGTGGCCTTCTTGAGCTCTTCCTGAAGCGAGACGATCTTCCTTTTGTCTGAGGCTTGCTGTTCCTTCATTCCTCTGACCAACTCACGAAGCTGGGCCATCTCAATCCTCAAACTTTCATTTTCATCTTCCTTTCCTTCTCTTGTTGCTGGCTCTTGCTTCTTCCTCTCTGCTTCTGCTGCTGCTGCCTCTCGTCTCTTCCTTTCTGCTTCTGCCGCTGCTGCTGCCTCTCGTCTCTTCCTGTCCTTTTCCTCTGCTGCTGCTGCTGCCTGCCTTTTCTTCCTTTCCTCTTCTGCTGCGGCTTCCTGCTTCTTCCTTTCTTCTTCTGCTGCGGCTTCCTGCTTCTTTCTCTCCTCTGCTGCTGCTGCTTCCTGCTTCTTCCTTCCTTCTTCTGCTGCTGCTTCCTGCTTCTTCCTTTCCTCTTCTGCTGTGGCTTCCTGTCTTTTCCTTTCCTCTTCTGCTTCTTCCTTCTCCTTCCTGGCTTTCTCCTCGGCTTTCCTCTTCCTGATTCTTCCTCGCCTTTCGCGTTCCTTCTGCCACTTCTTCTCATCCTTCTCTGCCTGCTTCTCTGCTTCCTGTGTGGCTCCTTCTTCCTGTGGTGTAACTCCTGCTGCTTCAGCGGCTGCTGCGCTTGCCTGCTTGTCAGAGCTGCTGCTCGCTCCTGTGGCTGTGTTCTTGGTGCTTCCTTTTCCTGGTCCTTTTCCTTTTCCTTCCTTTCCTTTCTGGTACTTGTAGACGTAGTCGACGCCAACTTCGACCTTCTCGCCCGTGATCCTGTGCTGCTTGTACACCTTGCCATTCTCCACGTAGATCTTGTACTCGGTGTCGTCGTAGGGGTACGCAAAACCTCTTTCCTTTTCCTTCTCCTCTTCTTCTCTTTTCCTCAGCTCCTCATTCACTTTCCTGATCTTCTCTTTCCTCTCCTTTTCCTTCCTCTTTTCCTCCTGCGTTGATGTAGTAGACGCCGACGAAGATCTTGGTGTGGTAGAACTCGATCCTTCTTCTTTACTTCCTTCTTCTCCTCGACCATGTCCTGTTCTTCGTAGCTCTCTTTCCATCTCTGCTCCTCTTTCTTCTTCTTGAAGCTTCCACCAAATCATTCCTTTGATCTCTTCTTCTTCCTTCTCGTACTCGGCGATCTTGGTCTCCAAAGCTTCTATCCTTTCCTTCAAGTGCCTGAGCAACTCCACATCTCGCAGGTGTTGGTCCTCAATCTGTTCCTTGAGGCTTGCCTGTTCGCGACGCTGTTCTCTGAGCAACACGTTCGTGGTTCCTTGGGCTTCTTTCAACTGGTTCAACTGAGAGGTGAGCTCTCTGAACCAGCGTTCCTTCTCGGAGGCACTCGGTTCCATAGCTGCTACTTCCTTCTCTACAGCTACTGTCTCTTCCTTTTCAGGGTTCCTAAAACAGAGGTCCTTCACTCGAGGCATCGAGCTGCAAATGTTTCCTACTTCAAGCTGTTCCTGCAATCCTAATGCACATGCACTCGTGTCACTGCACATGCCGACATGTTCCTGCACAGTTCCTACACATGTACTGCACGACTGCAAAAGACATGTTCCTGAAGCTACTTCAACCTTTGAGCAACCTTCCAAACTTCCTGAAAGCAAAGAGAAAAACAAAGCTGCAAACGCGAAGTTCCCTTTGGACTTGATTCTCTTGACTGTGGCCTTAGCTTGTTCCTGCTGTCGATGTTCTTGAAGCTCTTCAATTCCTACTGGTTGGTTTTGTTCGTCCTTGAAGCCTAGCCAATGCATCAACAACTTAATGCGTTTTCCTGAAAGCGGCTTAGTTCCTATATCAGCAGTGTTATCCCTGGTACCTACCGGGTGGACACTAAGAATTCCTTGTTTGTGGAGGTCCTGGAGAAAGAGGGTCCTAATCTGCAAATGTTTCACTCTTCCTACTCCCTGCCTGGTAATGATACCACGAGCAGCGGGAGAATCTAGATGCAAATGCACTACGCACTTCCTACAGGTGAGGAATTCTATCGCTTCCTTGAGCAACAAAGAGTCACTAGCTGAACTAGCTGCGGCGTAATATTCTGCCTCTCCAGAAGACAGAGAAATACTCCTTTGGGTCCTAGAGAATGCATAGATCAGTTGAGAATCCAGGAACACAGTTCCTGAACTTGTGCTGCGACGACTGTCTTTCTGTCCTGCCCAATCTGAATCGGAGTATACCTCCAACAAGTGATGTTCCTTGGGTTTGACTTGGGAAAAGTCATAGGTTCCGTTACGAATGCTCTCGTTGAGGTTTGACATTCCTCGAGGTGTTTTCCTATACGTGCAATGGTAACCATCTGTCTTTGTCATGTACTGCACAACATGAATCAACTGCTTCTTAGCTGCAAATGTTGGCAATGACATCTTGGACGCTAAACCTCTTACTGCGAACTGCAGATCCGGCCTGTCCTGACAAACATATAGGAGGATTCCTACACACTTCCTAAACGAAGCTGCTTGTTCCTGGTCAAGAGGGTTTGCGTTGTCTACTGCCTGGCTCTCCTGTGTGCACGGCGTCGGCTTTGATGCCTTTCCTGTCAACTTGAGTTCTTCACGAAGTTTTCCAAGATACTTTGGGTCACTGTGAATGTGAAGTTCGTGATTGTGATACGAGTACTTCCTTTTGAGAAATCTCACCGTCTGAAGCGACTCGCCAATAGCAAGTTCCTGCGCGGTAAGAAACGGTCCTTCAATCTTCAGCTCGTACACTCGTCCTAAGCTCTTTAGTACAGGGTCGACATGATGACTCTTTCCTGCTGCTTGAATGTCATCAACATGAACCACAAGAATGCTTTTCCTTGAGTCTCGAAACAGAGTTGGACAAGCTACACTTCTCTCAAAGTCTTGTTCCTTAAGCGAATCACTAAAATGATCCGACCAAAGCAAAGCTGCGTCTCTCTGTCCTGGCAACACTCGGAGCAAGAGTAGTCCTTCCTGAAGACAAGAGGGATCAGTGTCCTGAAACAGCTCCACATATTCCTTCGGGAATTCACACGCCGTTCTAGTCCTTTGGGGTACTTGCAAAAACGCATCTTTGACGTCAATGCTGTAGACTGAAAACTCTTCCTGAAGAGCAATCACGGGGACTAACCTTGTGAGGCTTGCTGACGTGGCTGGTGAGAACACATCGCTTCTGTGTTCAGTTCCTTTAAATTCACGAGCCACTAGCCTAGCCCGTCTTTTCCAAGACCCTGACCTGAACCGCCAATCGAACACGAATTTGGTTGTGAGCCATTTTATGGGTTCCTGTTCGATCTCTTCTCTCTCATTCTCTCCATCGTCTCTCTTGTGCCAACCAAGTTCCTCCAGCGGTTTCCTAGCCAGTGCCTGCATTCCTGAAAGTCTCTCCATCTCGGTGATCATGGCCTCTCTGTCCTTGGCCTTGAGCTCTTCATCTGAAAGCTCTGGTGGTCCTGCGTCCTCATCGTTGAAAACTCTCTCTCTCCTCTTCGTCTTCTTCTTCTTCATCTCCTATATCTGAGTATGTGTCCTCCCAACAGATGTCGTCAAGTCCTGGCTCAGGGAGAGGTTCGTCGTTGTGCTCAAACACGCGTCCTGCGTTAAACGGTGGAAATTTCCTCTTCGGCGACTCGTCAGTCCTTGGGATTTTGGACGAAGTTCCTACGTCTTCATACTCATGCTTTCTGACTGCTGACGGTGCTCTTGGCAACAAAAGTTCACTACCTTGACT